GTACGTCTCTGATGTACAAATAATTCCTATTCTTGGACTTGCCTCGTTGACGTAAGAACGAATGTCCAAATATTAAAAACCGGTTAACCAATAACCGAGTGTATTGGGAGATCTCGAGATGACGAGATCAGTGAACATATTTCTTTTTCATTATTAAGAAAGTTAACATTAATGTGTATATTACCTTAATGTTAAATAGGTAGATTTTTTATATCGAATATGTAAAGAACTTGTTAAACAAGTTATAGAATTTGTATAAAATAAATCTATTAGCTAATCAATAAAAAACGAGAGAAACTATTATACTACAGAGGTTCCAAACTTATTAGAGTGGATCAGACTAGAGTTTTATGTATCCATCATCAAATAAAAACTCAAATTTGTAATTTGTACATAGGATCCAAATTTTGATCAGTATTGTACACTAATATATAATAACCCTACGTATATTTTTTTTATCAGTACTGTAAACCAATATTACAATTTATAAACACAGTACATCAATATAAAGACCCAAATTTTAAAATTTATAGATAGTTAAAACACTCTCAGCCCATTTGGAGATGAAATATTAATATTTCTTAAGCCCAAAGACCAACTGAAATAATCTTTCAAGATGTTAAACTTTCATAGGATAAAGATGGAGGAACTAATTAAGAAATACTCTCTCCTTTCGTTCTTAAATATATGGTGTCTTAATTTTTTCTTTGTTCCACAAAATATAATGTTATAGAATATTAAATATTTTTTATATAGATTTCAAGAAAATTAACTGAAATTATTTAAATTTTTAAATATTTATTAGTTAACAGTTATTAAAAATAATCATTGTTAAAAAATAATGCATTGATAACTAAAACATAATTATTTTTTAATTTGGATGAACATGCTAAAACATCATACTTTTTGTAATAGAAGGAATAATAATTAGTTTTTTTGGATCCGAGTGAAATAAAGAGAGCTGAAAAGACATAATTTCCATCGAAATTTGGTATATTTAATTACTGTACGAAACAACCCAAATCAAGAGTACTACTACTTTTCCAACAAGCATGTTCCTCGCTGAATGCTTTCTTCTGGTTTTGGCAGTCTAAATCGATAGGTGGAAATTGGCAACGTACAAAAAAACGTTTGACAAGTTCAATGCTTTTTATTCATTGACCATTTTAATGGCATTTCTCCATTTTTCACAATTCGTTAGCCTTTGCAATCTTACGTCATCGTACCTGATCTCTCATAAATAACGTAACAAGTAGTAGTTAAGAGTCTTGAGACCATGAGCCAGTTAAAAAAAAAAGTAGTTGGGACTATGACAATTAGAATTTGGAAATTCAGTAACTACTCTTTGTTACTATATCGAATTTGGACTTTCTGTTATGGGTGACGACAAATGAGATGTGCGGGAAAAATATCAAGATATCGAACAAAAAATATTCCACGTATATAGACTACAAGTATTTACAAAAATACTAACTGTCGATAAGTTTCACCAAGTAGTAGCGGATTATTGTGGTTACTGTCTGAAAATAAGTTATTCTGTAAAATTTAGGTAAGAAATTATTTTATCTCAAACGGAAAATTATCTAACCATTTTTATTTCGGCAATCGAAATGGTGTCATGTTTTATATCTATTATAATCTTATGATTGGTTGATTAGTATAACATCTTAACACCTTATCGCATCAAAAAAATCTTACTTTTCCAACTTTAGTTACTCTAATATATATGTACAGATATAATTTGACTGATTGACCTCTATCTACGTGTAAGCGCATGTTCCTCCCACATTCAAGTAACACCGGCGTAGAAAAAAACATAGAATAAATATAAGTCTTCGTTTGACCAAAAAAAAAAATAAGTCTTCAAGAAAATTCATATATTTTTTTGGATATATTGGCGGAACGTGAATACTTGGATATATATTTTTAATTGATTTCTGCCATTATATATATTTATTTTATTTTCACAGGTTTTATGACTCTTAACTTTTATATTATCCAATATTGCTGTCATCCATCAAACTTGTAATCAAGTTCTAGCTGATATATGAACATAAGACAAAAAACAAATCGTACTTTTTAAGATCAAAGATTATTTACCACCGATGTCATTTAAATTCGTACCGTTAAGTTTTTATTTAAAAAAAAAATGTAATTCCTTTAACAAAAAAAAATCTGATAAATTTCCTGGAAAATCTTATTATATGTTTTCCACTTTTCCTTAAAATATAGTATATTATTTGTCACGATTTAGAATATTCTCTACAGCCTCTATTTTTCTATAGAAGAAACGATGCGGAGTATCTAACATTAAAGTTAGAGAATTCAATTAACTTTTAAGAGACAATTAACTTTTATGACTTTCAGTTACCGGTATTGTGCCGTTTGTAGCCGCCGAAAAGCAAATAAAAATGTGAAATACTATTTTCTTTTAACAGTTTCTGATATTTTATTATTTAACAAACAACAAAAACTTATGATTTTATTAATATCAAACAAACAGTACAAAAAGTTGAAAAGCTTAGAGATGCTTAGCATCCACATGGTACTACTCATATCATCCTTGCAAATTCAAGTGATGCTACCGGCCGGTCTAAAGCATTATTATGCTGTCGGGAGACTTTTTGAGTACCAAATTAGAAGTCCATAGAAAGATCATGTAACCAAACAAAACTCCTATTCAAACAAATTTAACCCATTTTTTGTTTAAAAAATAAAAACAGAAACTAACAAACCACACACCGGATATAAAGTTTCGGTTGGAAAAATTGATCAAAACTGGCTCAATAATTCAGCGGAGAACAGATCGTTTCCTAAAGTTGTTGCTTCGGTTCTTCAAAGCAGAACAAGTTTAAACAATGTTGTCTACTGCATGCTGCTTCGTTGGGGATTAGGAATATTGCCTTTGAATCTGAGTCGCCCAGCTTCTAATCAAAGCAATTTATTCGCATTAACAAGTGATCGAGATCTATGTTATCATATCAGATATCTCTCTAAGCTCTCTCCTATCTGATAATGATAATATATCTTTCAAAATTAATAAATTTTATGTAGAGAATTTAATAAATGTGGAATATCATACACTATAATGATGCGGATAAAAACTTTATATTGACAAAACTATCTATACAGTTAGTTAAAAATCAAAATATATTAATTATATTAAAACCAAAATATCTTGCATGTAAGTAAAAAAAAAAGTAGACCGAGACAAGTCCAGTCATGTGCTTTGAAAAACAAATAGAGTACTATACATATAATTCTTTTAAACAAAAAAGGAGGGACAATTACTATTACGTTTAATAGGTTTTATCTGTTTTTTAAATCTTTTTTAACTTTAACATTCAACTTTGCTTAGTAACAGTCAAATAATTGAACTTTCATATTCAACCAAAACCGGTTCAGTAAAACGGTTATATTAAATTTAAACGATAGCACTGTATACATATATTCTTTTAGCAAACCGTTTAACATTAGTGTAGTATCCATTTATCTATATTGTGTAACTAACTTTATTCTATTTGCCTAAAACCTAGTTTTTGTGAAGATCTTTAGACAAATTTTGAGAATATTAAGAGGATAAGAAAATTTTCATCTTAATCGATATTTCACCCTGTTGTGTGGATGGAGTGGTGGCTTCATTCACACACAAAAAGTGAAAATTTAAATTTAAACAAAAAATAGTTTGGGATTTAGAAAAAAGATTGTATAAAGCTGTAAATTATTGTCCTATCTTTCCTAAAATGGTAAGAAACTTTAAAACAAAAGGAACATACAATATTTAAAATTTAAAATATGTGAATAATTAAAGATATGCAAAGTAAGGCTGGCAAATATATATGGAGCTGTAAAAGAAATTTATAAAAAAACAAAAAACAGTAAGATCGACAAGTGATATATTGAGGAGTCAAACTCAAAGTGGCGACAAGTGATCAAGTAGAATATACTACAATAGTATAATTATAACTCATTAACATATAATCAGAAATTTAATGTGTAACAAATTTAAGATATAATAAAAGAAAATGAAGTTCAAAATTACAGGCGGAAAATAAACAGATATATAAAAAAGTAACTCACATAAAGGTAAACAAAATAACATTGCGATAAGGATTTACCATTTACCAATTAGACATTTGACGACCAAATTAGAGGCGAACCACATAAGACTTTAACACGACCCGAATTTGTCGTACTGGTCCTAGTTATGGCAGAAAGAAAAGTCTCGTTTCGTGATATTTAGAGTTTTGACTAGTAGCATTTATTTCCAACTACCCGAAAAATGAAGATCGTATGATTTAATTCTAAGGTTACTAATAAGGACTCTAACAAGAACTTTGATATATAGATAAAAATTCCCTGGATTTGGAACTTTTTTTGGGTCAAGAAAATCCTGTAAAAATATACGTTTTAACAATTTGTCTGAGACATTAGACATATATCTTCGAAAAGCTTATTATTAGTACTTCAACAACTGATAATAACCACGTGTTTGATATCTATGTCGGTAGAATTATATTATCGACCACAGAAATAATATATAGAGTTAATTTGGTAAATAACAAGAATAATATTATTTTTTAACATGTTACATGAATAAATTTCGTGTCACAAATATTTATAGGTAGAGGTAAATATGTTTATAAGACATGTTTTTATCTGTGTTTTTTACTTGGATAAAAAAAGGTCATCACGGAGTACAAAACTTCTTACTTAATAACGTTAACAAAACAAGTATAGCAAACGTTGACGTTGAAAATAAACAGTGCATGCTAAACATTTTTATTTCTTCAGATCTTCTTCTTGTATCTGACTACCTACGATGTCTATAAATAGCTGCCCGTATCATATAATTTATTCCAACGAGAAAAATCTTCAAAACTGGTATCCTATTATTTATTTTCTTGTTCAACATTTTTAGATCCATGTTCATAAGCTGAACATTAAGTGTTACAACGTATTATATCTAATATATGCATGTACGTGTGCATGTGTGTGCAGATTGAAAGGGCTAGCTTCTCCAAATAAAAAGATCGGCTTTAAGTGAAGTTGTTATCTCTTCAGAGAAATCTTCTGTTGTAAACAATGAAACAGTAAGTGAATTCTCTGAGAGAGGAGCTTATACAATATGGGTATCATAATTTTGCGTGTATATCTGTGTTTGCGTTTGTAATGTATGAGCATGCAGCTTGTTTGTAATGAAAGGGCATGCAGCTTTTAGAAACTTTTAACACTGTGTTTATTTATACAACTTTTTAGCAGAGGAAAGAAGAATTGTGACAAGAAGAAATCATTCGGACGAGCTGATTTCCCACAAGGTTTCCTGTTCGGAACTGCTTCCTCTGCTTATCAGGTAAGAACACATGACTATGACAATCTGCAAGACATATATGTATTGTGTGTAGGACCCTCTCAAAATATATGGAGATTCCATGCAAATTTTTTAAAAAAAAAAAAAAAAAAACGGACGTAAAAGAAATAAAAGATAATAGTGTACGAAATTTTTTGTACCTTGTATATACAAACTTAAAATTAAAAATACTTAATTAAAATTCGGAATCCTGTGTGATAGAAACATCTGAATATGTGCATGGTCCACAACGATCGACTCAAATTTCGTTTCTTTGTGTGTGTGTGTGATATAAGTACGAAGGAGCTATGAAAGAAGGTTCCCGAGGAGAAAGTATGTGGGATAATTTTGCTCGCAAGTATCCAGGTATTGTCTATACATATCATCCATATCTCTTTAATTGATGATTGCTTGCGTGAATCCTCAACAATCTGTTGAAATAAATATTTGAAATGTCATTTATTTTTTTGTTCAGAAAGAAACTGCCGCTCTACTGCGGACGAGACGGTCGATTTCTATCATCGTTACAAGGTGGGTACATATTACATATATATATCCTTGGTAGCGATCATTTTGATGTGTTTAGGTCTTATAATTTTTCTAATTAATAAAAAATTGAAACTTTAGATTAATTAACTACTTTTATATATGACAGGAGGATATTCAAAGAATGAAGGATATAAACATGGATGCTTTTAGATTCTCCATCTCCTGGGTCCGGATATTACCTTGTAAGCTAATTAGCTAAAATAAAATAAAAAATATTGTAGTAGATCTTCACTAGTTTCTGATGATTAATGCAAAACATCAAATATGTATATCTCTAAAATTATTCTCATATTCTAAATTGCAAGATGGAAAACTAAGCAATGGAGTGAACAAGGAAGGGATCAGATTCTACAATGAACTCATTGACGAACTACTAGCCAACGGTAGATATATAATCATTCACTTGTCTAACATACAGTCTTATCATAAAATCGGTTAATTAATTCAAATTCTGACATCTTAAACATTAACAGGAATCACGCCTCTTGCGACTTTGTTTCATTGGGATACTCCTCAAGCTCTAGAAGAAGAATATGGCGGTTTTTTAAGCGAAAAAATAGTGTAAGCTAAACTTTACATAATATGTCTCGAAAACATTGCTTCGAGCTTTATGTAATAAAATATCTACATGGATGTTTATATAATGCAGACTGGATTTCAAAGATTTTGCTAGCATATGCTTTAAGGAATTTGGGGACCGAGTGAAGCTCTGGTTGACGATAAACGAGCCATGGGTTTACAGTGTAGGTGGCTATGATGCAGGAAGAAAAGCACCAGGACGTGCTTCAAAGTACATGAACGATTCAGCCGAGGCCGGACAATCCGGTCATGAGGCTTATATTGTTAGTCACAATCTACTTCTTGCTCATGCCGAAGCTGTTGAAGCCTTCAGGAATTGCCATAATGTATGAACTACTAATCTTGTTTCTTTTTCTCTTCTCTTGATTGTAGAAAAGATGGATCGAGAAAACTAATTCATATACGGTCAAAATGTTATAATCAACATATTAGTTCCGTATGACAATATATTAATGCATATATAAATGTGTGTGTGTTTAGTGTAAAGATGGTAAGATCGGTATGGCGCATTGTCCTTTGTGGTACGAGCCATATGATCTAACTTGTGTCGAAGATATTGAAGCAGCCGAGCGAGCTATGGAGTTTATGTTTGGATGGTACAGAGTAATTCGTAAACATTATTGTAATTTTATATATAGTATTAGAGTGAGTCCAAAGAAACTTACACGTGCATTATTACTTTTTTTTACCTCTGTAGGCACATGAATCCTACGGTTTACGGAGATTACCCTGAAGTGATGAAGAAAATAGTAGGAAAGAGATTACCGTCTTTTACCGAAAGCCAGTCAAGAAAGTTAAAAGGATCTTTTGACTTTATTGGAATAAATTACTACAGCTCTGTTTACGCTAAAGACGTTGCCGAGGTTGATTCTGAAAAGCCCTTTTGGAGATCAGACCAGCATGTGGAATGGAAAAGTAAGTAGTCAATTAAAGAAAATTACCGAAGTTAATTATGAGATAATATGCACATTAGTTGTAGAATTCTTAAGAATTTTCGTCTTAGGGTTTGGTTCGCTGATTCCTTGACTCAAAATCTTTTCTGTTTTCTTATATTTTAAAACAGAACAAAATAAGGCGGGCAAGTCTATTGGTGCACAGGTTAGATTTAAAATAATTTAAATTTTTTATATTTTATATTTTTCACATACTAATTTTTTTTATCAACTAAATACTAATTTAACGTTTACATCTTCTTTTTTGCGTGTTTAGGGTGGGGTTGAGTGGAACTTGATGTATCCAAAAGGACTACGAAAAGTATTAAATTATGCCAAGAATAAATATGGAAATCCTAAATTTATTATCACCGAAAATGGTAAAATCTAAATCTGAGATGAACTGAGATGCTTCAACTTGATACCCAATGTGTAGATTTTCTCACAATTAGTACTAAACTTAATTGACCAGGGCATTGTGATGCATACGAAAAAAAGAAGCCAAAAATCTATGAGTTGATGGATTTGAAGAGGACTGAGTATCACAAGAAACATATTAGCAACCTTCACCAAGCCATATAGTAAGCTCGACTATGGGGAAATTTTTTTATATAACCCATTATTTCTTCATTTAAAGTGAAGTTTATTGATTCAATGTGCATGGATATTAATTTTAAAACTAACTTGTTTCTGTAGCGAGGATGGGGTCCAAGTAGATGGTTATTTTGCATGGTCATTGCTGGATAATTGCGAATGGAATTGCGGATATGAGATACGGTATGGAATGTTCTACGTAGACTACGAAAATGGGCTTAAGCGTTATCCAAAAATGTCGGCGATGTGGTTTAAGGAGTTCTTAAAGGAAAAAGATGAAGAAGACATGGTGAATAAATCGAAAGTGAAAAGGATTAAGATCTCGGAATTTTGAAGCAAAACAAATTTTATGCAATAAGGTTGATATGGCCGTGTTCTTACTACGCTTATGTTGATTTTTTTTTTTTTTGGGTTCAACTCGCTTATGTTGATTTTTCTCGTAGTTTTGTACCTCAGGAAAAGAGTTTTTCTCCTGTCTAAAAATTCGGAAAAAATAAAACTTAGAAATTCCCGAATTTGTTGTATCGATCGATCATTTTGATCTCTCGGTCCAGAACATAATGTTTTTTTTATCGAAACCAGTAAAATTAAATTTGGGCTTATGAAGTAAACATGGGCCTTTAGACCAGCATATCGGGATGACATTATTGGGCCTATAATCCCGATGCTCATTAGTCATTACGAAGGTACCTTGTTCAGTTCCGGTAAATTTACCGTAATGTGTGTTTCGAAATTTAATTCACGTTAAGATGCAAAACAGGTGAAGAGAGGTCATTAAATAGATTCGAAGATGATGTTTGTCAGAGTATTGATAGTTCAATATTTATATGGTGAAAATATTAAAAGGAGATGTTGTTACATAAATATTATTAACAACGGTCAATATAACTATTTAGCTTTAAAGATTAAATCCAACTAATTCGGATCAGGATCATAAAATAAAACAGAAATTATTATAAGCTCTGCAGCAAGATAAAAGGGGAACTAATTCAATGCAATAAAGAAAGCACATGGGAAGTATAAAGAGAAGACAAAGGTCACATGCCATAATTCTAGTGTTTGTTCCCTCTCTACTAAACATCCATTCTTCTTGTTCCCTTCTTTCTTTCTTTCTTACTCTTCTTCTTATCTTCTTTCGTTTTTGAACTTTTAATTTATTTTTAGTAACTAAGAGTCTTAAACATTTGTTCGTATTCTTTCTATATGAACTGATCGCTGATAATACATATGAGCAGATTTTTATCATCATGTTTGTTTTGTATTAAATATGGTTCAAACAAACATGATTTAATCGTTATGATCGACAGAGTCCAGGTTCCTAGTCTAGTAATAATGATGGATAAGAGACATTGTCGTCGGCTTTAAATGGGCCATGAACCCATATGTGAGAGTCTTTCATGTGAGCCATCAAATTTGGGACACCATCTGTTTTTCTTTTTTCTTTTACATCTTTCTCCTCCATGCTGTTTAAATGAATTCACACTTCTCTACGTTGGCCTTTTTTACGTATTCAAGTCAAAGGGCTAAAACGTCTTTGTCAACCATAAGGGTAAAACTGGAAGAACAAATTCAGAAAACGATCGTTGTAATTGGCTGCCACTAAGTTTGGCCAATCGTCGTCTGTTAATGTCTTTGGTTCCCATATGATTGGCGTATTGCGAATGAGACCAAAAGACCACAGCTTATATATCTGTTTGATCCTTTCTATATAAAAGTGGCTTATAACATTAATTACTTTTGCCTACTTAACAAGGCACCTTGTGGGGATCTTATTGACCACCAATTAGATCAATGATCATATACAAATTTTGATTCTTTCGGTAAATTATATCGCATTAGGTTGATATTAAATTTTAAACCAGTATAGTTAACATATAGCATAAACTAATAGAATGAAAGCCCTATCTCCAATACAATTCAGTTGACAATGTTTGGTTAATTAAACCTCACACTGGGAGGTTGCAGATGCGAATTCGCATTTCCTTGAAAGAAGTGTAGAATTGGATAGGCTAACACAAGGAAGTTGCAGATGCGACATTGCATCTCCATGAGAGAAGTGCAATATTAGAGATTAAAATGAAAGAAGTTGAAGATCAGAAAACACAACTCGAGAATGTCACAGTGTCTCCCATGTGAAAACGAGGTGATCCAGGCATTGGCTGATGCTCACTACGACATTGAGGAGACTCGGAATATGGTGGACGAGCTAGAGCTTCCCTCCTCGATGAGCAGCATTTTGGCACCTAAAGGCAATATCGCCAAAGATGAGCTGAGACTTATGATGGAAACGTTCGTTAACATCACAACATTAAGAACAAAAGGAGTAAAAAAATATAAATAAAAAGTTCAAAAAAAAACATCACAGCATTCATTATGACTATTGCAAACGAGGATTTGAAGTATTTGGTATGGGATGTCATTGGAAACTTGGCCAGCCTTGTTGTGGGAGAAATTTTCAACAATGTCGTGAAATGCTTAGCCACGGTAGTCATCTTTTTCAAATTCGTTTTGCTAATTTTATCTAAAAGCAGAGCTTCTTGTATGGATACTAATCGGAGGGTTCCTTCATATACTAATTGGTGGATTTATACCAAACTGGAAATGGAGGATAGCTGTTACAGCACCTGTTACTTTCCTGCTCAAGGGATTTTTCGCTTTGTGTTTGCATAAGAGCAAGGCATCTCTTTAGGACATGGGATATGGGTAGTTATCTCTGGAGTGCTTGGCATTGGATTAGCAGGTGCTCTCCATGCTCTCAAATAGAGCATCAGAGAAACAACTTTAACAACTATCTGCTTTTTTCTGCATTTTGTTTCAAACATTTTAGAGAGTATCCTATGTGATTTATAACTATTCAAGGTTTACCATTTATTTATTTGGATTGATAGTGTGATTATCCAAAAGCTAAAAGGTATTGTGGTAATGAGATACAAAGCTGATTACAAGTTTTAGATACCTAAAACCAATTTCTTCTTCATTCGTCATCCAAATGCACACAAAAAATGGCTGGAGAGGAGTTGTTGAAATTGTTCGAGCAAAACTGGTCTTCAAAAAAGACAAGTTGGAGAAAGAAAAGTAGAAGAAGAAGCCATAGTCGTCGGCTTTAAAAGGGCCATGGACCCATATGTGAAACTCTTTCATGTGAGCCATCAAGAAGAAGCCATTGTCGTCAGCTTATACATCTGTTTGGTCCTTTCTATATAAAAGTGGCTCATAACATTAATTATTTTTGCCTACTTATTAACAATGCACCTTGTGGGGATCCTATTGACCACCAATTAGATCAACGATAATATACAACATTTGATTCTTTCTGTAAATTATATCGCATTAGGTTGACATAAAAAATATTTTAAACCAGTATAGTTAACATACAGCATAAACTTATAGAATGAAATCCCCATTTCCAATACGATTCAGTTGACCATGTTAAGTTAATTAAACCTTACATTGGGACTACTTGAACGTTTTTTCTTTTTCTTTTGGTAGTAACTACTTAAGTGTTTTGCGAGTTGAATCCATGATTTTCTCATCAATGATCTATAGATTGCTGTGTTATTTATAATAACAAAACATGTGAAAGTGATCACCTTGCGATAGGGATAAGATAAGAGAATGCTCAGTTTTTCTCACATGAGGATGGTCCCATCATGTTTCACATCTTTATAAGAAGAGTTCATTGAAACTTGGTTCGTTTCAAAAAAAAAAAAAAAAAAAAACTTAGGACTATCAACGTCTCTTCATAATGATACCATTTTTTTATATAAAAGGACATATCCTTTGTTCTATGATCAAAATGAAACTTTGGATTTTGGGTTTAGTGGGAAGCCTTACACATTTATTTATTCCATTATAGTAATGATTCGAAAAGCGCAGGAAAAAAAAATGTTAATTTTCTAGTTACAGTATTTATAGAGAGCGTGTTTACTTGATTTTCAAGTTCTAAGTACCTTTCCACTTTTCTGTAGCTTGTTAAGTATGTTTATTAAATAATTGTTTTAAGCATGTGTTATCTCCAAAAACTCTGCGAATCTAAAAGTACCACGTCGCACATTTTCGCAATTCCACTGGACAAAGTAAACACGCAGGTACATAAGTGTTTCAGACGCAAACAAACATCTCCACTTCTCCATTCTCAACTATGATTGCAATATTTGAAGCCAATAATTCTCTCAGTTATCATTTTCCCAATTTAAAACGGGTAAAATAACAGAAATCAGTTACATATATGAAGTTCGAAATATAAAGTCATTATTACCGCATCATGATACATATATAGCAATCATGATTAGTCCATTATAATATTGGATGTTAGACCCATGTATATTAATACAAACAAGTTTTTATTATTATACTTATACCAAGATATAGCATAAACTCAAAGAGTGTATGTATTCCTATTGGTCAATAGCATAATTAATACCAAAAACTTAACTAAAATAGTGACGTACTTAATCTCTTGATGTTGAATAACAGTTGTGACTTGAATGGAAACTATTTATAAGAGATCCCAATATCTTCCTCTTCCAGATTAGGTTAAGTTTAGTAAACAAGAAACTATGAATTGCCATCATAAATCTTAATATATAAGCAAGCAGCACTATACACTTTATCCATCCAAAGCAAAGTTCTACTACGTTTCTACATATAACATTTTGATTTGATCTCCGATGGCACGTAGTAGAATCTCTACTGGTCCTATATCATTAACTGAATATAAAGATTATGTAATTTTTTTCTATCAACTATGTAGAGTAGTTAAAACCTAAATGCTGTTAATATATGAATTCGATTTCTTTTGTAGTGTCTTAAAATATAAATTATCCTTGAGATAATAACTGATCTTCCCAAAGACTACCAACCCTCTATATCTTTCGAGATACATAACATTGGTATATCAATTATACTTGTGGCAGTAAGTAGAATTTAGTGAATTGAATAAGACGTTAAACAACTTATGAAACCACACTGTCCTTTCTTAAAGGTTTTCTTGGCCAAAATATTTAGATATTAGTGTTAAAAATAAAAAAAAAGTCTTCATTAAAGGTTTAACCCTGAAACTTAACTCTTAATGGTGGTTCAACTTCTGTTTGTCGTTGATATGTTCCGCGTAAATGCCTCAACGCATCAGGCCAAAAGAAAGTGATAAACAATAACTAATTGAAACTAAACCCAATTGAATATTGGCGAACTAATAATTACTAACTAATTAAGTTGATGTACCAACTATCAGTACCATCGTCGCTATGCATATTCATCTATTTTCAATTTCTATCCATATTGTATAAAACTATAATTATTATTACTTTAATCTGTTTATTTTAATAAGTTGATTATCCCAACATATTTATTTTTTATATATTTGATCTGTTTCAATTTATTAATTTTCTAATTTTTTATGCATTTTAAAAAATTATTTACAATTTCATTTTTTGTTTTATTAATTTAATTGATACGTAGGTTTTCTTTTTAACTAATAAAATAGTAGGAATAGATTAAAGAAAAAAGTACTAACTACAACTATAAAAAAAAACCAATTGTATATTCTAAAACATGTAATCATTTGAAATGACGGAATATAAAATAAATCTATGCAAATGGATGACTAAATGGCTGCTTGTGCAATTGATATCATATGCTAAAATTACATTTGTCATGAGGAGTTGTTAAGCTAATTAAAATGTTTACAAATGACGATTGAATATTGAAATGAAAGAATTAGCATGATTAAGATAGCTTTGTCCCTGTTGCTGAATAATTAGGTTCCGAGTCATCTGTTCTCTATACTTAACTAATTAAATCCTTTGAAATTTTCCGTAACCGGTATACAATTATGTTGTTGAGACAGCGACATTGTACTAGTTTCGCTACCGATCATTGGACTCCGACATGATATGGAGCACTGATTAAATGAATTTTGTTATTACAACAAAGAGTTTTAGTTCCATGCTCGATTAATGTTCTAGTTTGTATATTATATGTTTGTAATTTGTGATTTATGTTTAATAATCTTGTAAAAAATTCCAATCATACAGTTATGTGCAACATGTGATTGATGTTAAATGTGCAATTTTACACATTTAGTGGTAGGAAATGTTATTCCACAACTAAGTTAATTCAACTTTTCTTGTTCATAACCATGTTGTCAATGCCTCGTGACTTTTCATATAAAATGTTTACAGTTCCTCAATTTCACAACGACATCAATCAGAATCATAAATTCATTTAAATTATCATATTATAACTAAATGTGGTTAACTTAGTTTCGTTCTAGTCTAGAAGAAATGACAACTATTAAAAACATTCGATCAACTTTCCATGTAGACCGAATCGTCTGGATAAAAATCCACTTTGGTGCCGTACCTATGCGTATGTGTGCACACGTATGTATAACATGTCCGCATCTATCTACAATGGACTAGTTAAGCAAATGATATGAAACTAATGGGCATCAATGATTCCTTATGCATTCTAGCTCAGTTGCATATAATATGGCACATTGTTTCCGTATGTTTTGTTGCACGTAGGTCCAACTTCATTGCCGCCAAAAAAGGATGATAAAAATTATTTTAACTTTTGGTTCTTTAATTTAAATTATTGTTCTTTGAATAATTGGATTTATTTATTTATGTTAGTATAACGTTAACTTAGAATAATTCCATTCGTATACTTCGAGAATAATTTATTCTTCCCCATAAATAAATTCTATGGGAGTCGCGGGATTAGTGGAATCTCAAGAAATACAAACTTTTCAACAACAAAAACAAAAATAAAATACAACAATATATGCACTAGTGCAGTGGTTTTAATTTACCAATAATTTTTCTAATCTGTAATATTGAATACGATAAGGGCGGTAAAAGGGAAACGTGAGGGCAGATCTATCAACACAGTAGCACATGAAATCGATATTACAAAAATAATATAATCATTTAGTATGCCTTATAGTTTTACGGTAAGATTCGCTTTTTGTTGTAAATTGAGGAAGTGGTGCAACGTGATGACATTCTGAAATTCCAATAATTATAAGGTTCCCAAAAATTCCGACGAATATTTTAATTAATCATAATATTCTCTGAATACGTTTAGTTATATATTTATATATCATAACTTCGAATACTGTCGTTTGGATAAGGACGAAGAAGCATGAGCTCATGATCGTCTACTTCTCTTTCATCACAACGTAAATATACTCTTCATTTCATTGTTAACTTGGTCAACGTCTCGAAAGCGTGGCTCGTATTGGCTTGATATAAAAATGTATATTCTGAATTAATTATACACCATTAAAAAAGTGAATGAGAAAAATGAAAATATATATACAATGGATAATCACACACTGAAGACAGACAGATCTAGCAAGGCCAAACGATAATATACCTAATTTATCTATATATATGATTAATTAAATTTCGTTTTCAGTAACCAAACCAGAATAACCAAGCCCACACGAAATATATAATAATACTATTGTATATTTGAACTTATCAAACTTCCACATCTTATGATGTTCACAAGTCGCTAACTTACACCACTTAACTATCACTCTGTTATTTTTCTCAATTGTTTTGCTGTATAATCATATTTGTTAATTTCATGTTCCGTTTATTTTGTACTGTTTTGTCCTACCATCACTATTCATATATACTTTTCGAATACAAAAACAAAAAAATACTCGTGTCGTAATTAATCATCACGTGTAATTTCTGAATAATTCCAGTGCTAGCATAATGCCATTGTTACTATCGAATATTATAGTCAAATAGTACAAAATATAACTCGCATCAATCTCAATGTTTCGGTTGATAAGAATATTAGACCTTGAAAAGTTATACGATCCTTTAATTTTCCTCTATTCGACTACACTGGTCTCAAGAAATGCTAGTGGTGAAGATGAACACGTGGCAGCTGACAAGACGTCTGATGTATCCGACGTGGTAGCGAATACCGATGTGTCAAGTGGATTCCAGCTGGCATCCACTTGGATAAAAGGTTGGATATAACTTGCAAAGTAATTCAACAAACAAAAGAAAACTTATTAAGAAATTACCCTAATAACATGTGATTGTGACCTAGCGGTTAGCTTACCTTAGTTGCAAGATGTCGTAATACGTTTTATTATCATGTTCATGTCCAATTTTCAATCTTCAATCTGTATAAGTTAGTATATTTTTTGGGGGGGGGTTCTTAAGTTATAGTAATCTATAACTCACTTGTACACAACACGATTGTTGACCAAACAATGTATAATTTTATATTATTAGCAATCATTTTCGTTAGGGTATAATATTCGAGGAGCGAAAAGAGATGTTGTTGTTTTCTTTCTAATATAAATAAATAAAAACTTTGAAATAATAATTGTTTAGGTATAGGCTTATTAGGAGAAATGTATTCACAGGCTGTCGTGTGTGAACTTTATTAATTCTTTTGTTCTTTGAAGTTCGAATGATGCAAGTAAAACAGCTGGCCGTATCACAAAAAGACACTGTCATCGTTGTTGGTGTACGCAAGGGGGCTAAACATCATTTTGTGTTCCTCTATTGGTATTTAGGGTGCGTGTAATTTTAGTAATATTTTAGATTAGTAGATTGGTCTCTTTTAGAAATATTTTTTCATCATTAGTTAGAATGAAAACTGAAGTGTGTTGGAGTTTTCCTTTTTTACTATCATATACCATAATAAACCATATAAAGAAATTTGTTCAACAACTAATATAACAAAATCTGAAACCTTTACATGTATTTCGTTGTATGTGAAAATTTGTCATAATGTTGTAAGTTTTTTTAATAAAAAACCTCCATTTATTTTTATTCGATTTGATAACATATTCATTTTATTTTGTGATGACATATTAATCTCAACATACTTGTTTGTGTTTTCCCAAAGATTTTGATATGTTCTTAAATATTAATTGAATTCATCCAGAATAGCTCATTTTTCATGTGAAATTAATAACTTGATGGACCCACCAAAAACTTCCAATGACTTTATTATACAGTATTGTTGTAGGTAAAAACGCATTAAACATCCTAGTAATCACTTTTATCTTTTGGTCAGAGCCTCACTTAAGATTCATTTTTTAAAACATTTGTAATCACTTAAGTTATGAAAGAGTTTACAGTCAAAATAAGGGATAAACTTTAATTAAGTAAACTGTTTAACAAATTCAAAAAAAACTGCCATGTGGTCTCTTCTTTCTTCTTTCTTCTTTCTTCTCTCTCTCTCTCTCTCTTCCTTTAAGAACGCGTTGCAGGACTTTGATCAGACTTCGCGTTCCCGCCGCCCATTTCACTCTTTCTCTCTCACACGTTTTTTTCTTCTTGTCTCTCCCTTGTTCATCGCCGGAAGCTGTAACGAAACTTATTGCCAATTCTTAAAAAAACCTCTCTTTCTCCCACCCCATTACCCAAATCACAAGATTTGCTCAAAGACTCGTCTTTTCTTTCTCCGTTTCATTTGAAAATGGCGTTATCGAAAAACAGTAACAGCAGCAGCATCAAGAAGAAAGTCTCGTACATCTCAGTCCCTTCTCAGATCATAAACTCTCTATCTTCTTCATCTCTACAATCACTTCTTGTTTCCCCCAAGAAATCCTCAAGATGCACCAGCAGATTCAGCTTCTCGTACAGAAACCCTAGAATCTGGTTCTTCACCCTCTTTCTCGTCTCACTCTTGGGTATGTTGAAACTAGGATTCAACGTTGACCCAATCTCTCTCCCTTTCTCTCGCTACCCTTGCTCGACCACTCAACCATTAAGCTTCGACGGAGAACAACGAGCCGATTCCCATCTGGGTTTCCCCTCAAAAGACGACACGAAATCGAAATCTTCTTCTGGGTATTCGAATTCGAGTGCGATTGTTCAATCAGAGGGTGGAAAAAACGAGACTTTGTTGACGGAAGGTGATTTCTGGAAGCAGCCTGATGGGTTTGGGTTTAAGCCGTGTTTGGGATTTAGCGGTCAGTATAGAAGAGATAGCAACTCGATTCTGAAGAACAGATGGAAGTATCTGCTCGTTGTTGTCTCTGGTGGGATGAATCAGCAAAGGAATCAGATTGTTGATGCAGTTGTGATCGCTAGGATCCTTGGTGCTTCTCTGGTTGTTCCTGTTCTGCAGGTTAATGTCATTTGGGGAGACGAAAGGTATATATAAACTAATCTCAGGAGATTTTCAGTTTTCAGCAATAACAATGTGACATTTTGTTGATCTAATTGTGTGTTTTCTCTGTATTTAGTGAATTCGCGGATATATTCGATTTGGAGCATTTCAAGAGTGTTTTAGAAGATGATGTTCATATAGTTTCGTCTCTGCCTTCGACACATGTAATGACAAGACCTGTCGAAGAGAAGAGGACTCCACTTCACGCTTCTCCTCAATGGATTCGTGCTCATTATCTCAAGCGAGTAAGAAGATTTCTTGCAAACAATCCGATTGATTTATCTACAAAAACTTTCTTTTGAGCTAACTCTGTTTTCCTCTGTTTTTTTGCAGATTAACAGAGAAAGAGTCTTACTTCTCCGTGGCCTCGATTCAAGACTCTCCAAGGACCTTCCTTCTGATCTCCAGAAACTCCGATGCAAGGTAGCTTTCCAAGCGCTGAGATTTTCGCCGAGGATCCTAGAGCTCGGCAACAAACTAGCTTCAAGGATGCGTAACGAAGGACAGTATCTCTCACTTCATCTGAGAATGGAGAAAGACGTTTGGGTCAGAACCGGTTGTCTCCCCGGTTTAACTCCCGAGTACGACGAAATAGTCAACAGCGAAAGAGAACGCCACCCGGAGCTCCTAACCGGAAGATCAAACATGACTTATAACCAAAGAAAACTCGCCGGTTTATGCCCTTTGACCGCTCTAGAAGTCACAAGGTACAGTAACAACAACAATTCCCTTTGCTTATGGTGCAGTTTCTTTCGGTTTTAGAGAATTTTTTATTAACATCTTGTTGCGATTCCACAGGCTGCTTAAAGCTTTAGAAGCCCCAAAGGATGCGAGAATCTATTGGGCAGGAGGAGAGCCTCTAGGTGGGAAAGAGGTTTTGGAGCCATTAACGAAAGAGTTCCCTCATTTGTACAACAAGCATGATCTTGCTTTACCAGGCGAGCTCGAACCATTCGCCAAGAAAGCTTCGGTTATGGCTGCGATCGACTACATTGTCTGCGAGAAGAGCGATGTTTTCATACCGTCACACGGAGGAAACATGGGACACGCGTTGCAAGGGCAGAGAGCTTACGCTGGTCACAAGAAGTACATCACTCCTAATAAGAGACAGATGCTTCCTTACTTCATGAATTCCTCGCTCCCTGAATCGGATTTCAACAGGATTGTGAAAGATCTTCATCGAGAATCTTTAGGACAGCCGGAGCTGAGAACGAGCAAAGCAGGTAAAGATGTTACCAAACATCCTGTTCCAGAATGTATGTGCTCAGATAGACAACAACAAGAACAACAGCATTCAGAGGCAGAGGCTTAAGCGTTTTGGTCATTTTCACACTGTTGACGGCTCGGAAGATGAAGAAGGACACTGCCAATTTTTTTGTTCCGATCACCGGAGGTTTATTGAGGAAGACGATTCATGGTTCGTGCAATATTCTTTTAGTTCGTTTTTAATTCTGATCATTTTTTCTTCTTTGAGAGTAAATATGTCTGAGGTTATTTTTTACATGTTTTACAAAATACGTGGGGAGTAGAATAGTGAGGAGATACGATATGATTCTTTGATTCGATTTAAATGGACTGTAATTATATATTACAGAGTTGTATACGATTATAGTTGTTCTTGTACCATAAATGAAAAGCAACAGTTGCATATATAATTACTTTTCATATGTTCATATTACCAGTCTTTTGTTGTCGCAAAAGTTCAATTTTTTTTTGGCTGAATGACATAATTTTAGATGGTTGCATTGCATCTGAGCATAAACCTTGTGAGACGTTGAATTTTACTCTTTTGTTAATCTACTAGCATTTTGTGCCAATCTATGGCACAAACGACGTCGTTTCAAGGGTTTTTTAGTTTTAAAACGGTGTCGTTTGGCCTAGGGCTTCATTTTTGATTAAGCGACGCCGTTTGCTTCTTCCCACTCTCATAGGTCCAAGTCGAACAGTCGTGTCAAGGTTTTGGGTTTTCAGAGACAGAGCTTCTGGGTCGTGTTCGTGTTTGGTCAGAAGGGTGAAATTTGAAGTGTTTTTAAGCTTCTTCTCGTTTTTATACCGGTAAGCTTTTCCAGCTCCGGTGTAGTTTTCTGATTAGGGGAACTCATCAAAGGCCTTAATCGTAAGCCGTTTCTTAGTAGTTTCTTCTCTCGTAGCCTCTCTATGTGTATTTCCATAATCTAGAGTTCCTTGAGCTTAATTCATCGAGCAGGACAGATTCTTATGTGCGTTTATAATAATTTTGAGTGAATTAGTCTGAAAATTTGTTAGCTTTGTAAATTTGAATAGATGCCTCGGAGACCATCAGGAAGGAGATTTTCAAAGCATCAACCTTTGGGATTTTCACCGTTTATGCGGTCACTTGCTATAGCTTCAACGTCAAGGCGTGAATTGCCTCATCATCAAGACTCTCAATCTCAAGGTTCTGAGGAGATGTCTTTTGGTGAGTTAGAAAACCTTAGAACTGAGAAATTTTCTATCAAGAAACATTGTACAGTAGTAACCTGTCATTCTAATTTTTGTAGATGAAAGGCTCCCAAATTTATCTAAAAAGGAGAAAAAGGAACAAACTTCAGACTCCTCTGAATCTGATGAAGAAGACTCTCAGGTAAGAGATTACAGTTCTGTTGATTTTTGTTATCAATAGATGAAAAGCTCCTTTATTTATCGTTTTTCAATGCTTGATCTTTGAAGGGAGATGTCCAAGCAGACTTTGAGTTCTTTGATCCTAAAACTACAGACTTCAACGGAGTCAAGATCCTCCTGAAAAACTATCTTGATGACAAGGAATGGGATCTGAGCAGTTTTGTTGATTTGATACTGGAACAGACGACAGTAGGAACCGTCGTGAAAGTAGCAGATGATGAGGACGAGTCGGTCTTCGCTGTTGTCTCTGCTCTTAACTTGGCAAGATACAAGGAGAACAAATGCTTCAGAGAGCTAAAAGAGTTTCTTCTTAAAGTTTGTTCAGAGAAGAGTATAGCGAGTGATCTTGAACTGCTTTTAGAGAAAAAAGCACAAGATGTTGGTTTATTGGTATCCCAAAGAGTGATGAATCTTCCTCCACAGCTTCTTCCTCCACTGTACGATGGATTGTTCGATGAAGTCTCATGGGCCACTGAAGATGAGGTTTCGATTTTTTTATATAAACCTTTTTTGGATAACTTCTATGAGCAATTCAAAATTTTGACAGTTTTTTTCTTCTGTTTGTATAGCCTACAGAGAAGCTTCGTAGCTCATTCCGCTTCAAGTCGTATATTCTAGTCACCAAGATTTACAAGGTAATGTTGTGTTCGCCGGAAGAATTTGTTTTTGTTCTGTTAACGAATCCTCTCTTAATGTGATATGGATTCTTGGTTATGTAGCTGAAGAATCCAAAGCAGAGAAAACCTCGTCGTGGTGAAGAAGAGGATGATGAAACAATATTCCTTAAGCCTGAAGATGAACTTTTCCTCGAGGTAACTTTGTTCTCTCATTACTTAGTACTTACTCGAGTTCCCGTTTGAAAAATAAGAAAATATTATCTGAACATTTGTTGGAACAAATGCATTTGCAGCTTAGCTCTTGGTCCTTCACATTCCCTATGCGCTCACAGCTCGTGACTTCTCAAGAAGTAAGTTTCTCTCTACAGAGGCATACACATGGTTTTGAGTTTAATTGTTTGTGATATGTGATCTTTGGTTTTAATGGCGATTCTTGCAGATGAAGAATTATCAGCTGATGGGTCTAGTGATGGCTGTGGAAGCAAAAAAGATTCCTGAATTCAGACAGAAGTTGACTTCTCTCATTGATGAATAATGATGAAGATCTTTCATCTTCTTCTCAAATATTCCGTTGATGGGTCATTTTGTGTTGTTGAGCAATCTTCTTCTACATGTCACTAGCTGAAAACGAATTTAAGGTCATGTTTGAATAGTTTTTGAATTTGGGTTTTTAAGTTTTTGGTTTCTGATTACAGTATGTTGTAATATTCGTAAGTTTTTTGCGGAAAGAAAATCCCAAATATATGTTTTTGGTTCTTCTTTAATATTTTTTTGTCAAAACATTTAAAATCTAGTTTCCATATTTTGTAAAAAAATTGTTTTTTTCAAAATCTTGAATGACTGTAAAATACCAATTCAAAAACCAAAACCAATCAAAGCCCAATACTCCTTCTTTGTGGGTCTCTAAATAATTGAGCTTAAGCCCAGCCCAAAAAGTCTTATTTTCACTTATATAATCACTGTATAATGAACAACCATGGTCCATCATTAGTTGATACTTACAAAAATTAATTTATTAAAAGTAACCCAAAATTCTCTGATAATTTTCGACTAACCCTAAAACAATATCAAATATTTTAATAGCTCCAGCAACTTTACATTTCTTCGTAAAACAGAAGAGTCACCGTGACTCGATCATCTGAAAGCAATCAATCTCGACATATGATGAAGAACCATCTCTCGATCTCCCTCAAAGCGTAGTGATTCCGGGTTACCGAACGTTAGTTCATACGATGTGGAGAAGATCTGCGGTCTCTTGTTTCTCCTCGAGGATCTCTGTCTCTTCTTCTTCTTCTTCTTCTTATTCGTTGCCGAACCCTAGACTGATTCCCTGGTCCCGCGAGCTATGTGCCGTTAACACTTTCTCCCAGCCTCCGCTACCGTCGGAATCAACTCCTAAGCTAGCGATTTCTGGGGACAGATCCGATGCCAATCGAGTATTTGCCTCAGGCACTGTCGCCGCCACAGGTACCGCCGGTGAGATTTCGTCTAGAGTTGCGGCTGCGGCTGGACTAGGTCACCACTACGCTCGCTGTTATTGGGAGCTTTCTAAAGCTCGACTCAGGTATGTCTACTATTCGTATCTCATTAAAATTTTGGAAATTTGGATTCAAAATTGATTTTTTTGAAAAGGGTTATCTTTCATTTGTTCGATCGTTGTAGCATGCTCGTAGTTGCGACTTCTGGCACTGGATACATTCTGGGTACAGGAAATGCTGCAATTGACTTGGCGGGGCTTTGTTACACTTGTGCTGGCACCATGATGATTGCTGCTTCTGCTAATTCCTTGAATCAGGTTTCATCTCTCTCCTCCCTCTTGATTAGTGTGTGATCTCCTTGATGCTTAGGAGTAAATTTTTGGATCCTAAGCTGTGTTCATGTAGCTCATCTTACTTGTTTTTTTCCGTTTTTATCAGATTTTCGAGATAAGCAACGATTCCAAGATGAAGAGGACGATGCAAAGGCCACTACCTTCAGGACGAATCAGTGTTCCACATGCTGTTGCTTGGGCAACTATTGCGGGTACTTCTGGTGCTTGTTTGTTGGCTAGCAAGGTGACTGCTTTTTTACCATGTGGTTATCTCTCTTCAGTGATGAGATAAAGATTTGTGAAATCTGATCTTTTGCTTCCACGACAAGGTTATTGCAGACTAATATGATGGCTGCTGGACTTGCATCTGCCAATCTCGTCCTGTACGCGTTTGTTTACACTCCGTTGAAGCAAATTCACCCTATCAACACTTGGGTTGGTGCTGTTGTTGGTGCTATCCCACCTTTGCTTGGGTAAAAGTTTGTTCCTTTCCTCGTTAATTTCACTTAGTTTCATGGCTGAGAAAATAGAATCATCTTTCGCCATATATTTATGTTTGTTCTGTTTTGGATTTCTTCAGGTGGGCTGCAGCTTCTGGTCAGATCTCATTCAATTCGATGATACTTCCAGCTGCTCTTTATTTCTGGCAGATCCCTCATTTCATGGCACTTGCATACCTCTGCCGCAATGATTATGCAGCTGGAGGGTAAGTACTATGGACCATATGGTTTCATTTAAGATTAGAATGTCTCTGCTCATGTAGTGTTGATCTTGAATGTGTTCAATTGTGCTCAGTTCCCTAAATAGATTTGAATTTTTTCTGCTAACACTGCAACCAAAACCAAGCTCTGATCTTGTGCCTTATTTGTTTTTCAGTTACAAGATGCTGTCGCTCTTTGATCCGTCAGGGAAGAGAATAGCAGCAGTTGCTCTTAGGAACTGTTTTTACATGGTCCCTCTCGGTTTCATCGCCTATGACTGTGAGTCTTTCTCTCCTTGTATATTAGTTCAAAGGCAATAGACTGCTGTTTCTGATTTTTTTGCTGCTCCTTCCATTTTTTTATGTGTGAAGGGGGACTAACATCGAGCTGGTTTTGCGTCGAATCAACACTTCTCACACTAGCAATCGCCGCCACAGCGTTTTCGTTCTACCGACACCGGACCATGGAAAAAGCAAGGAAGATGTTCCATGCCAGTCTTCTCTTCCTACCTGTTTTCATGTCTGGTCTGCTTCTGCACCGTGTCTCAAATGATAACCAGCAACCAATCCTAGAAGTAGCCGGTTTATCAAATCCTGCAACGGGTGAAGTAAAAACTCAGAGGCGAAAGAAACGTGCTGCTCAACCTCCTGTGGCTTATGCTTCTGCTGCACCATTTCCTTTTCTCCCGGCTCCTTCCTTTTATTCTCCATAAAAAAATCCTCTTGAATTTTTGGACACACAACGTATTCTCAAAATGTTTTTTGAGTTTGATCTTTTGTAATAAGGAAGTGGAGAACGCATACAACATACAACAAGCTTATGTAGTTTTGCTCCACAATATTTTATTTGTTCCTATCAAAAAATATATACACACATTTTCTCTGGTTAAACAAGATGTGAGTGTTAGGTCTAAGACGTCTAACTAAACGAGTATCAATGAATTTGGTTCGTTTTTGGTTTAGGCATTGAAATCCGATAACCGATATTGGTAGAGTTAAAGGACTGAACCGGGTTAGTTTAATGTTTCGACGGCTGCGAAATCGTTCCATCAGATTCAGGACAGCAAAGCTCCGAGAGGTTTGAGGAATCACCGGCGATGGCGACGAGGCTGAAATCTATGGCGACTTTGCCAAAACTGATTCAAAGCATGAGAAAAGAAGTTCCGAAGCGTTCTAATCCTCCTGTGTTGCCGTCTCTGAGACGAGCTTTCTCTCTCTATGATCAGATCAATCTCATTGACAATGTTCCCGAAGACCAGCTCCGCTTCCAAGAGTAATATATACTCAAATTCGAACATCTCTTGTTGTCTGTCGTCGAATTTTGGACTTTTTTAGACCGTTGCTGGGTTTGATTTTGATGAAATTTTAGGGCTTTGGATATAGAATGGTAAAAATTGTGGTGGTTTGTGCAGATTTAATGAGACGAGTTTCACGGTGAATGGGGTCAAATACGAAGGTAGCTTGCTCTGTGTTGGTAATTTGCTAATGTCATGGAGCCCTCGTAGCTTCTCAGAGATCACCCCTGATAGGTAAATGTAAATCCTCCCTCTTCTCTAATTAGGCAAAAGTTATTCTTCAGCGATAACAAAAGCTTGAAACTTTGAAATATGTAGGTAGATGCTTGCTTAACCTAGATTCTACTCAATGTTCTGTCACAACCTTATATCGAGTTTGTAGTCGTTTTGAGAGTGAAAGTCATGTGCTTTAAACAATAGATTAGTTGAAAGTTTCAATTTTCATCATCGTCAGAGGATTTGAAAAAAAAAACTTTATCAGGTTTGATGTCTTTGATCAAACATTTGGTGTTACGTGTTCTCTGCTGCTGATATTGGTCTTATGCTCTTTCTATCTAGTTTATGAATAAATCTTGTCAAATAAGCATTTTGCTAAACGACCGTATGTTTCTGGATGCAGCTTGTCTATCTTCCAGACGGTTCGTCCCATTCCAGGTAACATTATAGATCAAATACTACTACTGCTATTGCTGCATATAGCATCAATCTCAGGTCTTTTTATTTCAAACTGTGTATTTTTCTCTGTGCAGAGCTCTTAATTGTTGGTTGTGGAAGAAACATTCACCCGGTAACTCCAGAGGTCCGACAGTTTGTGAAGTCCATCGGCATGAAGCTAGAAACAGTTGATTCTGTATGTCTTCTCTCTTTTATCCATTACAATCTCTCTCTCATTTTTTGTTTGGCTTAGTTCATATAATATCAGATGCGCTTACATTGATTCAGAGAAATGCTGCATCAACTTACAACATTCTGAACGAAGAAGGAAGAGTCGTGGCTGCGGCATTGCTTCCATTTGGAGTTACATCCTAAAAAGAAAAAAACTAACAACAACTTGAGCTTTGGTCTGTATAAAGTCTGTAGATGAATATTCAGGCTTTGCTCAAAATCTCTCTTGTGAAAATAAACCGAGATCCATCGGGTTTTTTCTTGCTTTGTCGAGCTTATATAAACACACGTTGTAACAAACAGGAGCTTCTTCTTGCATTTCTCACCTTTCAATATATCAATCAATTTCGATCAGTGTTTGGTTACAGAGATATGGCTACGGTTAGTTGATTTACACTTACGGTTAGTTATAGTCATACAAAGTTAGTCGCCATTTCGTATCTCGCGGGCTTCAGATAATAGACGAAGAAAAAAAAGACGGCTTTTTACTGCTTACGAGCTTTTTTAAAACCCTAAAATCTCTCCGGATCCATCGATTATCAGGCGAAACACACAAAATGGCGTCTCTTGTTCAACCATCGCACGCTTTGCCGGCGGTAGATCTCCGGCGGTCTTCTTCTCTCATTCGTCGCCCTTCTTCCGTTCGATTTCCTCTTGTAAGTCTCCTCTATCTTTCTATCTGGTATATCAATAGTTTAACAGTCTTCGCTCGCATCTGATGAATCTTCTTTTTCTGCGATTGGTTGTGGGGAAAAAAGAGGTGTAACGCGGCGGATCCGTTCAAGTTCGACGGCGGAAACTCCGCCGGTTTCCATCTGCTTTCAGGCGAGTCCGTTCCCGCGAGTGCTCTTCTTTCCGGGACACGTTTGGAAGATGCGATTTACAAGAACAACACACGGCTCCGTATATTCTCGGGCACTGCTAATCCTGCCTTAGCTCAGGTTCATTCTTATTTTGTTAATCAATGGAGTTTCTCGGATTTAATTGCTAGAATCAGCATCATGAACTGGGAATTTTGGTCTTCTACTTCGGATAGTTGCTCAAGTGCAGGACTTTGTTCAAATTGCTTATTAAATGATTAGAGAGAAACAGATTTCTTGCAAATTCATGGATCTTGTCGTTTGTTCATTGGGGTTCTTTTTCCGCTGTATTCAGGAGATTTCTTGCTATTTGGGTCTGGAGCTTGGGAAAATCAAGATCAAACGGTTTGCTGATGGCGAGATCTATGTTCAGCTGCAAGAGAGTGTGAGGGGATGCGATGTGTTCCTTGTGCAGCCTACATGCCCACCTGCGAATGAAAACCTTATGGAACTGCTCGTTATGATTGATGCTTGTCGTAGAGCCTCAGCCAAAACCATCACGGCCGTGATCCCTTACTTTGGCTATGCTCGAGCTGATAGAAAGGCAAGTCCTTCTTTATCTGTCTTGGAATCAATTACATCTGTGTCTGTTTCCAAATTGTGAGCTTAGCTCTCTGCATGAAGCTGATTTGAGTTTCTAGTCGATGGCTAAGAGAGTTTTCAAATGATTTGTTCTACAAATTCGTGCAGACTCAAGGACGTGAATCTATTGCTGCCAAGCTTGTCGCCAATTTGATAACAGAGTCTGGTGCAGACCGTGTTCTTGCCTGTGATCTTCACTCTGGACAGTCTATGGGATACTTTGATATTCCAGTCGATCATGTTTATGGCCAGGTAAAACAAGGTTCCTATCGTAAATAGATTGATTTCCTTTGGTGAAAATGGATTTTCTTTCTTATGGTTCCTTTTTCATTTTTGCTTAAACAGCCTGTGATACTTGATTACCTAGCAAGCAAAGGCATATCCTCTGACGATTTGGTAGTAGTTTCACCTGATGTTGGTGGCGTCGCAAGGGCTCGTGCTTTTGCCAAGAAGCTATCTGATGCTCCTTTAGCGATAGTTGATAAAAGACGTCACGGGCACAATGTTGCAGAGGTAACTAAAAACACTTTTGACAAATACTTTTTTAACCAAGACTGGATATGACATTTGAACAATCTATATATCATGTAGGTGATGAACTTAATCGGGGATGTTAAAGGGAAAGTAGCCATAATGGTGGATGACATGATTGACACAGCGGGTGAGTTATATACGCCATCGATCTCTGTATATAGTTTATCCATAAACACTCTTCATTATGCTTAATAACTTATGTTGTAACAACTTAGGAACCATAAGCAAAGGTGCGGCTCTATTACACCAAGAAGGAGCAAGAGAAGTATACGCTTGTACCACTCATGCCGTTTTTAGGTAACTCCCTGAAACCTTCTCCATGTGTTGAAAGTATAAAGAGAGAAAAGCTAATAGAGATGCATGTGTGTCTATATATATATGGAATCAGCCCTCCTGCAATCAGTAGACTATCGAGCGGTCTGTTTCAAGAGGTGATCATAACCAACACGATTCCATTGTCAGAGAAGAACTATTTCCCTCAGCTTACAGTTCTCTCAGTAGCAAACCTTCTTGGAGAAACCATATGGCGTGTTCACGATGATTGCTCTGTGAGTGAACAACAAACATTACTTCAAATGCAACTTTTTGTTTAGGAGTAGTATTGGGTCTAATTTATTTTTTTGGATTTCTCAGGGAGCTATTGAGCCTTTTTCGACATTGGGGATTGATTGAAATGATGCAGCAACGGTAAAGAATCGACTTATAGCCTCTCAGTAGTATGAATTTCTGCGAATGTACAAATTCTTTTGTGCTGTAAATGTTAGACTTGAGTGTGAATGTTAAAAATGTAACACTTTTGTAGAGAAGAGAAGAAGATTTTAGGAACCAACTTTTCCTACTTTTGAAAATACTTCTTTGATTTTTTGTCAGATTTTGAATCGGAGATCTTCTTCGTTCTATGTCATGGTCTGTCTCGTTGCAGCAGCAAGCCTTAAGAACATATAATTATATCAATGTCTTTTGTTTTAATATCGAAGCCATATTATATATTACATTTAGACATTTCGAAGAAGCCATATTATATATTACATTTAGACATTTCGAAGAATTCAAACTACATAAACGAACAACCCAAGACAATGAGGTGTGAAACGAGAGAAAGATTAAGCAATGGCGGCCAAGAGACCAACAAGCGGAGCAACAGTGACGGGCGCAGGCTCAGCTTTCTGGTAATCAGTCCTGTCATCTCCATAAGCATCATTCTCGTCAGGTCCTCCCACGACTCCTCCGACTATTACGTTTGGATTTGGTGCAGGATTGTGAAACCACTCGCTGAACCCTTGAGAGCACTCCACGAGGGCGTTGCTCTTCTTGATTGACACTATGGAGGCTCCTCTATGGTGTGGTCTTGTGGGATAATTGGTCCCGAATCCAACCATGTAGCTCATTCTCTTCGGGTTCGACCCAAGTATATAGTCTACCTATAAACATACGCATAACATGTCATTCCATTCATTGATATCTTTCCAAGAAAATGTATTGTGGTTGGTATATTATAACTACCTGAGCACGAGCGAGGTTGACAAGATCAGAAGCTTCAAGAGCGCCATTGGGACACTTGATGGAGGCATTTGTGTCGTTAAGATACTTAGAATATGCAGAGAGGACGAAGGAAGCGGATACGGTGTATTGGAGGTTGTTCCATGGCAAGAACCAGAGCAAACCTCCAGGAGTTTTCTTAACATTATTGGAACCCTTTTGAGCGCAATTGCAGATGAAGCTCTCCGCCATACTCTTGTACTCTGCGATCTTCCCATCGTTCTTCACTTTCCCTTCAAGCGCAAGCTGCATTTGCACTATCTGGCGTTATGTTTGTTCCTTGTCACATAAGTTACTGGTATGGTTTTTTTAATAGTGAAACTAGACGTAACCTACCTTAGCCATCAAGACTTGTACACCCACAAACTTATCGTCCCACGCGAAAACAGTCCTGGAACCTCCGGTATTAGATGCTTTTGTTACATAATCGAGATAAGTCTGGTCGTTGGTGGCACGGTGGAGCCAAGCCGCAGCCCACAACAACTCATCTTCGTATCCGCTGCTCGCGTAGAAGCCACCCGCGTTCGAAATGGAGCTTTGGTACACGCCAGGGTGAGCCTTGGCGAACTCAAATAGATCTTTTGCGTGACCTATGAGTGTTTTTGCGTAGGCTGCATCAGTTGGCGCAAAGGCTAAAGAAGCTGCAGCCATGGCGGCAGCTGTCTCGCCCGCCAGGTCAGCACCTGGATGCTGAGCATCGATGCGGTACGAAGGACGCGGGGTGGTCATGTCCTCGGGTCTCATCCAGCACGCGTGGTCCGAGTTTCCGTCACCCACTTGTCCGTAAAGAACATTGGGCTCTGGATGGGCTTTGATGAGATAGTCAGTGACCCATTTTAGAGCCGCAAGGGCGTGATCGTACTCATGATGGGCCTTAAGTTGCGATGACATCTCTACGCTGCTCCAAGCTAGCATTGTCGCCGTGAAAGCTAATGGAAATCCAAACTTCATGTTGTCTCCCGAATCATAGTACCCTCCAGTGAGATCAAGCTATATTTTCACAAATAACATTTTACTTAATATACTAAATCAGATGATTATCATATGTTTATGGAGAAAAAAAGAGAAATGAGTATTAAATTACGTGAACATCAGAACCGTCTCTAAGTGCAGAATCTCCTCTCCAGCTAACCCTTTGGTTCGATGGGAGTTTTCCAGAGCGTTGGGCTTCGAAATACAAAAGAGTCTTTGTCAGAGCATCTCCATAATCTGCAGAAACAGTTCCACGAACCATCGACATTAGTAATAACACAATGCACATACTTGTCCATAAGCATTGTGAAGATCCGTTTTTCAGTTGAGACATCGTTTTTCTAGTTCGTCTTATACGATCTCAAGACCAATTAACTTTTTACTTGTGTTGACATATATTTATGCATGTGTATGTATAATTCAACTATTTATAGAGTATCTATCTTTAAGGTGGAATCCATGGCTTATTAAGGATCATTTAAAAACCTTTTTACTCAAAAAATGTATTTGCTAAGAGATTTAGCATAGAAATATAATATTAGATATCTTCTCATATATATCCTAATAGATAAATAGATAAGACTATGAACATATAGTAATTAGGTGTCATTAGATATGTTCATATCTGTAAGTTTTAATATATATATATTACACCCCTTAAAAATTCTGCACAGAGGGGGGATTTTGCTTTACAACAGAAACTACGAAAACATATATAAGCAGCCAAAGAGGGTAAAAAATTAAGTAACAACATCACTAGAAGTTAGTTTTCTTGGATTTCATGGTAACAATTGGCATAGTTTTAGTTTTTTATTATATTACAAGATGTTCTAAGTCTAATATTAAATTATGACACTTTTATAATTTTAAATTATACTTTTCAAAGGTCTATTTGTCAGGATCAAAAGTGCATTTTTTAATATAGAAATTTTTAAATTAATAAATATAAATATATGTATATATATATATATATATTGTGGAACTAAAAGAAATAAACGGAATCAATATTTGGAATGGATAAAATGAAACAGATAATAGAAAGGAAACCAAATTCTCAGTATGTCTCAGTAAATCAAGTTATTATTATAATAAATCAAATTCTTATTTCATTACTAGACTAAAAATGTTAGTCGCTAGAGCGTCTAGACAAAAATGAGGTCCAAAGACGCCAAAAATAGAAACAAATACAGAGCTGTGTTCTAAGATCATGCGATGGCAGCCAAAACACCGACCAAAGGAGCAACCGTGGCCGTGTCGGGCTCGGCGTGCTGAAAATCAGACCGTTCATCTTGGTACGCATCGTTGTCGTCGGGTCCACCTACAATTGCTCCAACCAAAACATTAGGGTTCGGTTCAGGATTGCTGTACCAAGCAAACCCTTCATTGCATATAATCGGTTTAGGATCTTTCTTGATTGACACTATAGAGGCTCCTCTATGGTGCGGTCGATTAGGATAATTAGTCCCGAATCCAACCATGTAGCTCATGTTTTTGGGGTTTGACCCAAGTATGTAGTCGACCTGGTAAAATAAACAATGTACGTGGTGGTTAGCATATGACAATTATCCACTGAATCTGTCTTTTTCTTCTTATTTCAGTCATAAACTTTCATAAATCTAAAAAGAAAATAGGAAAAAACGGAATGGAATTATTGAATCCTCGCCTAACCTGAGCCCGAGCGAGGTCGAGAAGATCAGAAGCTTGAAGGACACCATTAGGGCACTGGACGGAGGCTTGTGCAGCTTTAAGGTATTTACTATAAGTGGACAAGACGAAAGAAGCACTAGCTGTGTATTGAAGGTTGTCCCATGGCAAGAACCAAAGCAAACCTCCCGGAGTCTTCTTAACGTTATTATAACCCTTTTGAGCACAATTGCAGATGAACTGCTCCGCCATGCTTTTGTGCTCTGCCATCTTCCCTTCGTTCTTCACTTTCCCTTCAAACACAAGCTAAACATTTACAAAAAAAAAACTGTGTTAAATGTTTGTTTCTTGTCACTTAAGTTAGGGTATGATCTCTTTGGAGAATACACATCAACCTACCTTGGCTGCCAAGACTTGTGCACCTAAAAACTTATCGTCCCAGGCGAAAACAGTCCTGGATCCTCCAGTATTAGAAGCTTGTGTTAGATAATCGAGATAAGTCTGGTCTCCAGTGGCCCGGTGAAGCCAAGCCGCCGCCCACAGCAACTCATCTTCGTGACCACTACTCGGATAAAAGCCAGCCGCATTAGGAATGGAGTTATGATAGACTCCAGGGTGATCCTTGCCGAATTCAAATAGATCTTTCGCGTGATCAATGAGTGTTTGAGCATAGGCTGCATCAGACGGCGCAAATGCTAGAGAAGCTGCAGCCATAGCTGCAGCTGTCTCTCCGGCCAAGTCAGCACCTGGATGCTGAGCATCGATGCGGTATGAAGGACGAGGAGTGGTCATATCCTCAGGTCTCATCCAGCACGCATGGTCCGAGTTACCATCACCCACTTGTCCGTACAGGACATTGGGCTCTGGATGGGCTTTAATGAGATAGTCGGTCGCCCATTTGAGAGCCGCGAGGGCGTTTTCGGCCTCCCCGTGGGCCTTAAGCTGCGATGCCATTTCTACATTGCTCCAAGCTAGCATCGTCGTCGTGAAAGCGAGAGGAAATCCAAACTTCATATTGTCTCCGGCATCGTAATAGCCTCCGGTGAGATCAATCTGTTCTTTACAATTAGTAAATATTGTACTTAATAGATAATCATCACAACAGAAAATATGATTAAAAAAAACAAAAGGATTGGATTTTAATTTACGTGAGCATCAGAACCGTCTCTAAGTGCAGAATCTCCTCTCCAGTTAACCCTTTGGTTCGATGGCAATGCTCCTGAGCGTTGAGCTTCAAAATACAAAAGACTCTTTGTAAGAGCTTCTCCATAATCTGCAGAAACAGCTCCACGAGCAACCGATAGTAATAATAACACAATGCAAATGCTTTTAATTGTGAGGAAGCGTTGTGATGAACCATTTTTTAGTACACAAGACATGGTTCTAAGTCGTTTTTAATCAGCTTTAAGAAAATACAGCACTTGATTATACACGTACGTAATCAATATATACAGTATATATATATATATTCGTTTTCAAAAAAATCAATATATACATATATGTATATACTTCCTTATATGTGTACGTATCTTTTTAATTGATTTCGCGTGATCTTTCACTATATAGGATGTATATCTTTATTTTCTGAGCGGTTAACAGAAAAATTAAAGTGAATCATGAGCGGATCCAACGGAGATATATTATTTTCTTCTTTAAATCATTGATAGATCATCAATGTATTCAATCTTCACGGAACAGACAACATATTAGAAAGTTCAATGTTTCAATGGATTACAAAAATTGCACATTTACTAATTATATGTCAATAATTCTCTGATATATTTTCTAATTGTATGTCAAAGAAACTGATTAAAGAGAATTGTAATGCATACAGTATAATAATAATAATAATGTTGGATCTTCAGTTATTTATTGGCTCAGAGTCAAAATTATGAGCGTGGAAACGTACATATGTACCCTACTATTTTTTCAAGCATTCTTAATGTACTGTAACACGAGAAAGATAGACTCAGAGATATCGAAATGTTACTTAATTCACGTTCCAAGAGTGAATCTTCATAAATGGGATCGAGCTCCACGATTATGTCGGTCGCTCCAAAATACGGAAATGACTTGGTTGAGCCCATGATTGTCTTCTCATCTACCTTTCGCTGCAAGTTAATAACCTCCATAGCATTAAAATAAATGCGTATATATATATGTACGAAATATAATATATGGTTGTAGGGTTTATGAGTTTTGATGAGAATGAGACCAACTTACAACTCTTAAAACCTAGCTAGAAAACAAATGATGTAAAAGTGTTTTTAATTTTTTTACTGTTGCTTCGTCGATGCAGAAGAGTCGTGACCTGATTTTCTTTTCCGGCAGGTTTATATGTAATTTGTACGTACGAATTTCATAATTGATGGCACGAGAAAACAAGTTGAATCCGTGAATAATAAGTGACTACAAACATAGCTGTCAACACAAATGTTATAAAAGAACAAAAAATACAAACAGTAATACTTCACCGGCATTCACATTTATGGAGCTCATGGGTTTCAACCTAATATATTAAGTGGTGGCGAGCATGTAAGAAATTCAAGAAATTGTTAAGTGTCGTCATAATGTCATATATAAGCCTCATAACTCACTAGTGTAGTATAATAAGGGTGATAGTTGATTGTTTTTTTAGATTATTCCCTAGGCTACTCGTATTATGAGGGTGGTACTTGTAGTTAATTGTTAATTGGGAAATAATGAGTTCGTTGATGGATTAAGTAAATCAAGTTCTGTGTACTCTAGCCGACGTTGGATAAACTAGATTAACGTACGCGGAACTTCTACAATAGCTATAAATTTTGGATCCAAGAAACTATATAGGAAAAATTCGCACAAAAAAAAAAAAGAAACTATATAGGAAAAAAGACAAACTTATTGTTTTTTTTAGTAAAAGACAAACAGACTTATTGTTTGTTTGTTTGTTTTGACAAATTTATTGTTGTAGCAAAAAGACGGGATTTTCTTGTAATAGAGACAATTGCTTGATGTTAATTGTGTGGAGGCAACTTAAACGATGACTTAAATGTGCGGTAAATGGAACAACTGAAAGTGAGGTTTTGCAATAAGTCAAAACAAACTATGTCTTCACAAGTTATCGAATGAAAAGTGTCTTAAACTAAACTAGTTCGTTACTAATATGCAAATAATTAATACACATATTTATACGTTTAGTTAATTTAAGGCTATAAGAAATTACATATTTATACAAACTATAGAATCAACTCACATTTTGTATATGTTATGAATAAAATGAATTCCTAAATTATTAGTTAGATTAATGTAACTGTTGATCTTATATTAATGTTTATTGTTCGCCAAACCATTATTTGAAAGATTAATTAAACCCACTTGTTGGAGACTTGGACCAACTCTTTTTGGTAGTGGGTTAGATACTAGTGGGTAAGAAAATTGTTATAGTGGTGAAGAAAAAATAACATTCGAGGAGTGTACTTATAACAAAAACATTTATGGACAACTAATTAATACTGTCATTCTCTAACTTTATTCGGTGACTAATTTTGGTGGATGGGAAATAACCCGTATAACCGATTTAATTATCCTCCATACATCAAACTTGTATATTTATTTACCCAATACATAACAAATCGATTTAATAATTCATTAACGCAGATGTTTTCAAAAGTTATAAATCGAAATTAGTAGCGAACTCATATTTTGTCCAAATTCGGAAATTTTTGTCTTTTTGTTTTTTGTTTTTTGTTTTTCTGAGAGTGACAAAAAGTACATTGATTACTGATTACGCGATGACGTACGTCTGTCTGTATATAAATAAATAAAAAAGATCGTCTAAATTTTTTGATAAGACTCAAGTTAAGGCTTAATTAAAAGAATTAATAAATGTAATGATGACGACAGAGCTAAGCCTACGCGTCGGAGGCGAAGGTTCCTTTGGTGAACAACTCGATTACGCCGGGAGGAACAATCAAAGCAATCAGAGGATTTCCCGGCGGCAACGGCGGAATCTGAGCTCTGCACAGAGGACACGTGGACCGCTTCTCCAGCCACGGATCGATGCAATCCGCGTGGAAACAGTGGCTGCACGCCGTTAACCGCCTCATCTTCTCTCCCTCCGCCGCAACTTGGAGACAAATTGCACAGTACGGTGTCGAATGATCTTCTTCCGCCGTCTTCTTCCCCCATCTCCGGCGACGAATCGTGAATGTACGGTAGCGACGCCATGGACGGCTGGCGAGGAAAGAAGCGAATCTAAGGAAGAGACGGAGAGAGAAGACGACGACGGAGGCGATAATGACGCATTCGGCGATCAACTGTGAGAATCTAATCACAGATTCAGCAAACATTCTTGAGAAAATTTTAAAAGTTTTTCTCGAGAAAATGTTCTGTGATTTTGGGCACAAGTAACGAAGCTCTGTTTGTGAAGGTGTATATATAAGCGTTTACCTTGTATGAAAATGAACGGTCCTGATTTTAAATGTTTGGGATTTATGTGGATGAAATGAACGGTGATGATCTAATCTGTTGTTGTTTCTAAGCACTTGCTAATCCCAACGTGTACTACAAATTCGTCAATTTTGATCGAATGCTTCTTAAACTTGACTTGCAAATCTAATCATTAAATATGTCAAATGGTCACTAGTACACATTCGAATTCTCGAGTCTACGGATTATTAAACGATGCTAAAACAGAGGGAGAATTGAACTTAAGCTTTGATTAAATTAGTTTATTAACTTACAACTCGTTTATAGCTTTTAAATAATCAAAGCTGGTGCAACAAACCCTTGCAAAGAATAAAAATTAGGAACCCCGCTCAACACATTTAACGTAGTCCATTTTACTACTCCTTCATTCAAACAAAGTAACAAACTAAAGTCTCTTTCAGTCTTTCTCAAAACAAATAAAACGTTTTTTTCATTTTAACGTTTGTCTGTAAAATTTATGAGTATGACTAGGACAATCAGGTTCAGTATTGGGCCCAGCCAATAAATTCAGATTTAAACAAATAGATAAGTGCTGGCCCACAAAAACAAGAACATGGGTAAGAGTGTGACCATTAGTTTCACAAAAAAAATTTAAAACTTATTTAAAGAAAATGTTTTGCATTCTGTTTCAAAAACAAGTATATACATTTTGTTAGTTTGTGAAGTCCTTTAGGAACTCAAATTTGGTCTGACAGTATTGGTCTATATGTTTTCTTTGTGTAACACAAAGTCTCAGTATGTCTCACTAAATCAAGTTATTTAGATCATGCGATGGTAGCCAAAACACCAACCAAAGGAGCAAAGACCGGTCATCTTGGTAAGCATCTTTCTCGTCCGGTCCACATACAACTGCTCCAACCAAAACATTAGGGTTCGGTTCAGGATTGTTGTACCAATCTTGAAGCCCTTCATTGCATGAAACCGGTTCAGGATTGTTGTACCAATCTTGAACCCTTCATTACAAATCTCGTTTATAGTTTTAATAATCAAAGCTGGTGATTTTACTACTAATTCATTCAAACAAAAGTAACAAAGCAAAGACGAGCTTTAGAAATAGAGGAAACTATCTTGCACTAAAGACAGGTTCTGCATCAGCTCTAGGTTGTGCTCTGCGTGTGTATTTCAGAAGCAAACCTTCCATAGAAAGTCTAGGAACATGAAGATCCCTGCAATTACATAAAAAAAAAAACCAAATCAATCCAACAATTAAAAAAACACTCAAATCTTCTGAAGAAATCTTTCACCACAAAATTTCAAAATCACACCTCAAGTAAGGCTCCAAGTCTTTCCATTCCCATTTCGGTCTATGTTTAAAGAGCACTTCGAACCGTTCTGCTGGAGTTGATGGGAGAGAACGTACACTGAATGTATAAACCCGTGTCTCGATCCCGATCTTCTCTGTTAAAACCTCTCCTTCAAGCATCTCGAACCTTCCTTGCATCCCTTCAGGGATCTTCTTCTTCCACTCTTCCATGAAACTCTCTAGTCTCATCTTCTCTTCTCTCAGTATCTGTCTAGCAAAGTGCAAGCACACAAGCCTAGGTTCAAGCTTCCACTTGTCATCCTCGTTTACCTTCGAGCCAAACACACGCAAGCAGTGACTCGCGAGTTTACTAGGGAACTCATCAGCCACTAAGGCACTCACAACCTCAACTTCATCTAGGTCATCAAAAGACCAATCTTTCAGAACACAGTTGTGTAGGAGAATCCTCAGAATCATGTCCAGGTAATCATCGTCTATAACCCTCCAGTAACCATCAATCTCAATAGCAGAGAGGCTTTGCAAGCCGCTGCGTAGCTCTTCATCGCTAGCTTGAATCGTGTTAACCAAATCACTCCACGTGTACAAAGCAACATCTCTCTGATGGTCGAAGTCATCATCCATCATCATGGCTTCTACTTCACCGGCACCGTAAGGGTTTTCCGAGAGAAGCTGCTTGAGTTTGTCGAGCCTAGGAGAAATCTCAACGAGCTCCATGCTACCAGGAGCAGTTTTTAAGACTGATACTTTATCATCATCCTTCGCATCTTGAAGAAAACCGGGGCAAATCGATGGAGGAATCAGGAACATGGAGTTAGAGTTACCAACAAATTTGATTGCGTAAGTCTTAGATTTGGTGCAGAGCACAACATCTTCATCAGGAAGCCCCCTCAAGGTTACCCTAATCACACAAACCAAGAAGCATTTCCATGGAAATTAAACATATGATTAAAACTTTTCTCTCGAAATTGGTTTCTACAAACTACAAAAACAAAGCCGAAGCTTTCAAATCTTACCTTCCATTGAAGATATCTGAGACAAGATTGTCATCAGCTTCGAGAAGAAGTAGATCCTCGTGAGGCCCAAAACATGGGTGATACGAAATTGGTACTGAAGATCCAATTCCCAGATTTATCACTGCTTGAGCTCCTCCATTTCTCCCACTTTCTTCCATTCACTATGATTTCAGTAAAATTACAGAAATTAAAACTCACGAGTGAGCGAAGATGAAGATTTCGTTCACACTGATGAATCTCGTGACGAAGCCTTAAATGGAATCGGAGCTCGCGACTTCAATCAAATCGGAAAAACCCAGCGAAATCAGAAGAAACAAAAATCCAAAAATTCAAACCCAGCAGATAAATACAGAGGAAGGAATAAAGATGCTAAGAGAAATGAAATCAAACCTGATGCAAACAACGAATCGCAAGATTCAGTATGAGAGATCGGACTTTTTCGCTAGGTCTCTTCCGCTGAACAATTTCCGCCATTTTTTAGGCGCGTTGGTTTTGACTTTTGAGCTATTTCGCTTAACAGGTCTCAAGGCCCAATGCAGGTCTCAAGGCCCAAATTCATTAAAAAAGCCCAAACTACGAAACGGCTCAAACGCCGCCATAACATTATATTCCGACGATGGATTCCGATGGAGAGATTACAAATCACAATCCGAGTTTAGAGGTAAAAGAGATAATGATAATTTGTATTTTATAACCACAAGTACTAAATAACTATGGAAGCAACAAATCCCGTCGATAGCTCTTTTGTTTCATAAACTTAGATGATTATACATATGTTCTAAACCAATAAAACCACGAAGCTGTCACAGGGACACTTAGCTACATCATCGAAACCAAACCGCTGCATCAATCTCATCTCTAGCCTTCTTGTATAGCTCGAGCCTCTTTGCACACTGCAACCTCCTGTCCAACATAACCGGGTTCTCATCTAGCAAATGCCCCAAATGTTTCCCCTGCGAAAAGACAATGACCCAATATCCTCAAAACCAAAACCGGACTGAGTCAACCGGATCGTAAGAGGAGACAGAGACATACCTGACTCTGACTCATCTGTGCGTAGAAGTAATTCAGCAAAGCGAGTTTCGCCTGTCTGACCTGGCAATGAACAACGGCCTTAGGAATGGTGCCAACAAGTGTGTCCGAAACCATGTTGATGTAAGCAGCTACATTCGAAGCTATCTTTCTGAACTCTCCTTCACCGTGTTGGTCTGTTGTTGCAGTAGTTGTTGGTGGCGAGGAAAGAGACGCGGCTTGACTTCCTTGTGTTTCCGTTACGTGAAGGTTACGAAAGAAATCGACCGTTAGATATGAAGCTTCCATGTCGACTAATCTAAGAACCGACTTCATGCTTTCATCACGAAACTTCTCTAATGATGAGTTTGCTGCAGCAGCTATCTCAGTTTGTAGCGAAGGGAACCTTTTTAGCTCCTGCATTGTGTTTCCCAACAAAGAATCAATAACCCTTTTTTTCCTCCATTTACTATATATTAAAAAAAACAACCAGTCTCACCTCAGTTTCTGTGATTGATTTCCTTACAAGATCTTTTAAGACAAAGTGAACCTGTTACAATCACATTTCAGTTACGGTCTCACATAACATTTATAGATACTGATGAACAAAATTGAAATGAAAAAAAAGGAGGTATTACAGCATTCACAGAAGCTTCAGCTGGACCTCTAAAATGATTTAAGGATCCTTCAATGAGACGACGATAACCTAATTCAGGAGCAATCAAGTGAGGTTGATAGCCATCAGATTCCGAGACTATTCTCTTGACACTTTGCAATGAAAGATGACGATCAAAAGGAAGGTTTTTAATGGCTGCTGGAAGTTTGTTGTCAAAGATTCCATAGATCTGAGCACCTCCAGGACGCCTAAGATTTGTTTATTAATCAAAGATTTTTAATACACACATTACAAGAAACTTGGGAGAAAAGCCACACAAAAAAAGATTCAAATAATGGTGTTATTTTTTTACCCGCCATCCAAATGCTCTTTGAATATCTTTTCGAATGCACGACACATTCCCAAGATAGTGTATAGTCGAGCCTGAGAGACACACAAAATTTTAGAAACATATACTATTTCTAGTAAGAAGATTATTCATTGAAATGTATGTACTCACTCCAGCATCAATAGCGACAGGCCTACCCAATCGGTCTAACTCTCTCTCGAGCTCCTCTATGTTTTTGGTTATTGAGGAGATAATATTTGGGATACGAGCCCTTATAACAGATTCTAAGAGCTGAAAGAGAAACAGAGACCATTAAGTAAAAACAGAACGAGTAAAAAAGCTCATTCATTGAGTAAATAATCGAGTAAAAACCTCAGAGAGACTCTTTGCAAGATATTCTGAACCCATTCTATTGACTAAGTGACCATAGTCAGGACTGGTTTCAAAGTATTCTCGCTCTTTCCTTCTTGCGACCATCATATCAACGCTCTTGTTTATATCTGCTTGTGAACGGTTCACAACCCCAATCCAAGGATATTTCAGCCTGTATGACCTTCCTTGGATAACCTTATCAAGTCAAAGATTCAATCATAGTCGCTATGTAAGGACTCAAGATGATCATCATTCTTACAAGGAAAGAAGAAAGAACAAGACTTTTGGGGAGAGACTCAATTACATCCAATGCATTAGTCCCATTGTCCATCAAGTCTAACTTTGTCAGAACTCCAAACGTTCTATCACCTAGGTCAATGAGAAAGTCAGAAAAATTGTTTTCCTAAATCACTACCATCCATTGGCTGAAACACAAACCTTTTGGATCCACTTCTCTCGCGAGCTTGATCGCATCCGATGTGGCTATGTCTTGGTTTGCAGGAGATATTGCTAGTATAAGACAGTTTGGCTGGTGAAAACAAAAAAAACGCATAATCAAAAACTATCAAACTACAAGAAAAAGTGTAAGAAGTAGCAATAATACTCACCTTTGCGACGTATGAGCGAACCATGTCTTCGATATCTTCAACAATAGTTTCTGGTTGTCCTTCTGGATAACACAATGGCAATGTTAACTAAGTAATGACGGGAGATCCAAAGGAAGTAGACTCCAAATAAAACATACCAACAGCAACTTTAGTCAAACCAGGTAAATCAACCAGAGTAAGATTCACAACTGTTTCAAAGAAAAACAAAAACAAAAAATTGATGTTAGTTGGATAAAAAATGTCTGGAAACAAGAGCATTACAGAAGGTGATAATGAACCAACCATTGGGAGAGAAGATGCTGAGGTGAATGGGAACTGGAGATATCTGTTTGCTTTTCCCTGTGATCCTATCAGTCTCATCTTCAATCTCCTTGCGAACCAAAGCTGAAAATCGGAAATATGTTTCGATATCAACTAACATGAACATATGATGGATTCACTATAGCCAAACATATACACATAATAAATATATATACAGGTACATACAGAAATCGGTGAATTTCTTATTGGTAAGGTGAAGAAACTCAGCGTATTCCTCTGTTCCATTTTCCGTCTTATGAAGCTGTAACACCAAAGGCCGCCTCGTAACGATACCTGCAAAAAACGATGAATCATCAGTGTCTCCTTACAATCATCAAATGTACAAAACCTAAAATGGGTTTACGTTAAATCACAAACCGGATCCTCTAGGAAGAAAATCCCTCCCAACAATGCTCTCCAGAACCGATGATTTCCCAGAACTCTACACTCGTGAAGAAGAACACCTTAAAGGAAAGCTAAGAGGGGAAAAAAAAAGAAGTCAGAGAGTTATCCGATGAGACGAAACCTGGCCACCGACGACGGCGACGGTAGGAAGTGCTCCCCAGAGAGAAGAGATAGCGTTGTTTCCGCCGCCGTGATCGCCGAGCGCAGTGCATGCTCTTTGTATCCTGTTAACCAACCCGATCAAACTATCCATCGTCGTCATCTTCCTTTTACACCTTTTGCGATTCGATTGAGGAATTCAAAAACTTTCCGGCGACGGGAAAGGACTTGCGACGAACGCAAAGCGACCAGAGAAGAAGAAGAAGGAAGTTGGAAAACGTGAAAACAGAGAGCGGGGGGCGTTTTCAATATGATAAACCAAACAAAGCCAAACCAATTAAAGTATTTCACTTTATTTTTTGTTTGACAGCATTTATGTTATTAACTTTGAAAATTTGACTGACTCAATTTTGTTACTTATTGAGATATTTTACCATTTATTATATCTTTTTCAAAAAACTGAAATCTTATCTCATAGTTTTACCTTTATTTTTTTTACCTTTATTTTTTCTATCGGTTTCTTTTATAAATGAATAATATTAATTACCTTTGGATATGTTTTGATATCAAAATTCACGTTAATTCCAAACCAATGTGTTTTATCTAGTTTTTTACCAAAAAAAGTTTTATCTAGTTCAAAATACTAATTATTTATATTTTGAAAACGAGATAAATAACTTTACCTGTACATGTTAAATATTTTACATATCTTTGTAAATTTGTAATGTTTCACTATGTATTAGATTTTAAACTCATTTTACTCACTTGAATTATTCAGAGACTTGGAAGTATTTGCGTGTGGTTATTCAATATAGACATATACTTTAATAATAAAAATCCTTTTGCATTTTCAATAGAAATAATAACCAAAAACAGAAAATATTGTAAATGTAATATAAGCCCAATAGTAAAGCATTATGGCCCATTGAGAACGAATATAAAAGGCCTTTAATCCAGTATGTAATACTGTAACAAAGAGTGCAAGGCCTTGAAGTGAAGGGGTCGGAGGCCACGTGGCTGACCCAAGAAGAAACGGACGAACAAGCGTGTGGGATACATAAAACGACGACGTCTCGTAGCACCTAACACTTGTCGGCTTCCACCATCCACGAGCCCCAATCTTTTGTGTTGCCGTCACATGCTTGTCTTTCCCTTTTATAAAATGTACATACATTCAACAAATTATTAATATAATAACATGATTGTAATTTTGTATTTGTTCCTCCTTCGCAAATCGCAATCACCACTACGAATTTATTTCATGATTGTTTTTTTTTCAAATAGTTCAAAGAGAGTGGATTACTTTCCATGTACATGTGGATTGGATTCATATACCTTTCCATTACATTTAAAATTATATTCCTATTCTGCATAATTCTATCATAAATATTTCAATCAGCAACGCACATGGACACTAACCATATATGATATATGTACAAATTTTAAACGTGTTGCTTGCTATTCAAAATAAAACGAATCCACTAATAACTTTGTTTTGGTAGTTTTCCATGGAATTTCGACGAATTGTTCATATAACGTTGACAAACGATATCCTAAGTTAAAAAAAAAAAAAAAAAAATATCCTAAGTAGGTTGGTCTAATCCAATTAAATATGGTTTTAACCAGTCAGATTAAGAGGACGTTTAGTTCTTAAGAAATGTTTTTTTTAAGTAATAAGCTAATGATTACATATCCCATTTGTGATGAAGTGATGTATGTTTTGACAATGATAAAAAAGCAATGTCAACGACAATAGGAATCATGAAAACTATGAAATGTTCGTCTTCCCACTACAAGCACACCAAAAAAATAACTATAGTGACGTTAATTAAAAATTAGATGAGATTATCTTTAACCATAAGTATAATCATCATCATTGCACAACATTGGTTTGTACTATTGTTTACCCAAACGCTAACGTGTCAAGCCTTTATTACCTGAAATCGTATTTGTCTATACTTAAAACCAAATCTGCACATTTCCATGTACTCCGGCGATTCTCTTCTCAATAGATCCTCTCTCTCTCTCTCTCTCTTAAAGAGAAACCTCAGAGCCAGAAGAAGACAAAATAATTTTGTTATCCACCGGATCTTCTTCTTCTTCTTCTTCTTCTTCTAATTCTCAGCAATCGAATTTCGCTTTCTGGCGAACTTTCTTTTTGTTTTTTGTTAATTTTTTTCGATTTTCCGATGAGGTGTAAGAGACATACAGTTGATTTCAGTAGCAGCATCGGCGTTTGTGCTTCTTGTCTCCGTGAACGCCTCTTCTCTCTCGCCGCTTCAACCGCCGCGTCTGAAAACGACGATAGCGATCATCACCATCATCGTCATTCGCGGATTTCACCTCCTCCTCCTCCTCCTCTGGCTTTTCCTCGCTCTGTTTCTCCTTACGTTGCTCCTAGAAAATCCGACGCTGGAGGAGGAGATTCCTTGACTTCGTGTAATAGCCGCTTCTTCGCCACGCCGCTGGTGGGCTCCACCACGGACCAATCGAACAGCGGAGGATCATCGGAAAAAGTCTTCGAATCCGGCCGATCGTTTAAGAAGAAACGGAGCGGTTTATCCCGGTTCTCTAGCTTCTTCAGGACGAGATCTGACGACTATGACTCGCGCACGAAGCTCTGGTCTCGCGATTCCTGCAACGCGTCAACGTTTTCACCGTCGTCGTCTTCGTCGTCGCTGTCATGGCTCTCGAAGGTTCTCTCCGTTCGATCGAAGAAGCAGCCGACTGCTAATACTTGCTACATCGAGGATTTGATCGCCTCTGAATCGGATCATCACCAACATCGACCTAGACAGAGATATTGCAGAGGAATGTCGCCGGCGGGAGATACAGCGGCGACAGATTGCGACCGTGGATCAGTCGAGGAATCGCCTGGGATGCAGAGAAGAACGCCGGCGATGGGAACTCCGGGAAGAAGAAAGACGGCGACGAGTGGGATAGGGAGGAGTGTGTCAGAGATGGCTTTCTGCTTGAGTCCGCTAGTGAGAGCTAAACCTAACTGTCCTTCTAAATGGAAAGGGAAACTTCCGCCGGAATTTGGATATTCCGGTGAGCTGAAGTCTCCGACGAAGCCTCACATTTCTGCGGCGGCGTCTTTTTGCGGAAACCGGTCTAAGAAGCTTGTGGATTTAGGACGAGCTGATCACCGCCGTTGATTTTTTTTTTTGTTGGTCAGCATCTCACCGTTCTATACGAAATTACTTAAAATACCCCTCACAAGATTCATATGAAAGTTATATGGTGGCTTTACTATACCCAACAGATAAAGAGTGAAATTTTTCTTTCTCATTTGTATATTATTTCTTTTTATTATTTTGGGGATTAGAAGAACAATGTCGTGTGCCATTTCTTGTTTTGCTTGATGGAATTTTTTGGGTGTACAAATCTAAAAGACAGATTTTAGATTTTAGATTTTAGAAGAAGAAGAAGAAACATATGACTAGGTGATGTCAGAATTGTAAAATATTGCAATTATTTTGTAGTTTTTTTTAAAATTAAGAATCAACGCTTTGTGGGTAATAAATGTGATACATACCCTTGTGTTTCCCTTAATCTGGAAAAACAAAGTCTGACCATATTTCAAAAAAGTTCATCACTTCTCCTTACACATGGAAAAGTCAAAATGAAACCATTCACAAATCCAATTTAATAGTCTCACTAGACACATCAAACTTATAAAAAAAAAGAAAGCTAGGGGGAAAAAAACGGGCATATAGATCCAATAACATAGGTCACAATTTCGACGAAAGATGACGACTTTTTTTTTAAAGTATCATCATCTTAGAGAGTTTCAAAGGTTTTTAAAGAGTAAAGACTAAAAGACTATGAGTTTAATAAAAAAAAAATACGAGGTGGGTCCAAAAAGATTTAAATTCGATGGGTCCATAGCCGTGAATGAAGAAATTACACTATATATGATTCCATGGGTGCAATTGTAATTTGATATTTCGTCATCTTACACTATCAACGGTCATAAAAGGGAAGTTGGCATTTAATGAGTGAGCTTGAGGCGAAAATAGTGTTCTTTCGTGGCTCTACCTTCTCCTCTCACCTACATCTTCATTGATTTCAAGTTACTCATTCTGTTTATATATTTATATTTTTTGAAAGGGGGGGGGGTCTCTCTAATTATGGCCATTATTGCGAATTATGTGTTGGAGAGTTGGAATTTTCAAATAAAACACAACTAGTGTCATTTGGATTTCTTAGTTTGGTACTAACTAATACTATATATGGGCAGTTTGTTAGATATCTTAGTGATGATATGTGTCCTTATATATATATAACTCCATCAAATGAAAGTTTCTAGATAGCTTAGTTAGACGATGCAATAATACGGAAATACTCTCAGCTGCAATGAAAGAAACCAAAAAAGCATACAAGATTTTTTTTTGTTTTCTTCTCAAAATTACGCGTTACAATAAGTAAATAACATCAGAAAACGATTGAATACATTAACTACTTTTTTCTAGATGACTATAATTATTTTTCGTCAACTTGCGTGTGAACAAAATACTTAAGACTCTAAAAACGAAAATGTGAGTTGTTGTTTTTTACATGACTGGCCAAATTTAAGTCATTTGTCACTATTATTCTACTATGTTAAACTATTCGTTTCATTTAGTTAAGCAAAACAAAATATTCATTTCATTTTTAAAAAGAATCATTGATGAGTATACACATTGTTTGAGATAATGCAGAGTTAGACAAGCTTAATTTTTTTTGGGACGAAAAAACTATATTTTTGTTTAAGGAACAAAAGGATATTCTCTTATAAAAATATTTCTATCAAGGTTATGGAACAGGAGAAAAACCTGGGAGCAGTGAGATGTTGAATTTAATTGGGTCATTAAAGTGGTCTGACCAAAAGACATGTGTTCGAACTTAAATCCCTGTTTCATTATGGTTTTAGAAAAGCAATTATATATGTTCGAACTTAATTCTCTGTCCTATTATGGGTTAAAAGAAAAATTATCTGCTTCTCTCTGTTCACCTGTCTTCACATGGAAGGAAGAAACTAGAAGAGTGTGTCTATTATATAGCTGACAGTTAATATAATTCAATTCCATAGACAAACAAATCACAATTTCGGAAAAAGTTGTTAAAAACATCAAAAGACAGAGCATTTAAAACTCCAAAGACAACAAAAGTTGAGAGTTAGGAGGACCAAACCAACCATAGACTAACACAAAGTCTCTTTTAAAACAAAGTGATGAAAGAAAAAAAAAAGGAAAAAAAAAAGCAGGCAAAAATTTTACAGATGGAAGATAATAACGGATCGGATCATGCGAAGGCTCGAGGGACTTTTTTGTTTTTTGAGTTTTGTTCTCTATCAATTTGTTTGTTTGTTGTTGTAGCCAATTTTTTAACATGAGCATCCTCCTGATTGCTGCTGAGACAGAGATGCATTTGCATTGGAGGACTTGAGATTAACATCGACCATGTCCTCTTGCTTTGTCGAAGACAATGTCTCCATTCCGGGTAAAGCCGCTGCTATTTTGCGGAAGAGCGCCTGAGAATCAAAGAAAGGTTCATAAAATAGATATAGCGTCATGAATTTGCGGTCATTGTTTAAAGTATCAAAGAGAGATCCGTACGAACGAAGAGGATATACAATTAATCCTCAGTATTAATCAGCAGGTCGACATTATAGTCTAGGTCAAAGTTAGGGATTAAGTGAATTTAGCAAGAAAGCCTCAGAAATATGTGAAGAGAAGTTGTTTGTTACCTTTATGTTGAAGCCCGCTTTGGCACTGGTTTCGATAAACATTACATTAAGTTCACGAGCCTTGGCTTCTGCTTCCTCTATCGATACTTGCCTGAGAAACAAACAATTTATTACGCAGGTCCCGTTGGCAGTAACAAATAGTAGGATCCATTAAGTGTTAACTGTTAAGCGTGTTGACCATAAAGAAACGGTTTGATTATATATACAGTTGAGCACCAAATGAATTTCCATTTATTATTTGTTGGGTCGTTTGTGAACATACTCAATGCAACCCGAAAAGTAAGACGTGGTTGTTAGTACAAAATGACACTCATTCGTCTCAAGAACACACTTAGAGAAAATCAGACCGTGTTTGAACAAGAAAGACTAGTATCAAATTTCCAGTCTCAATTGCTATTAAACAGTAATTTGCACGCCGAGATTCAACAAGAAAAATGTGAAGCAAGAGATGGTAGATCATTATTACCTTTTGTCCACAAGGTCAGTTTTGTTTCCCACAAGCACAACAATGACATCACTACCACGCTCTGTCCTAACCTCATCGATCCACTTAGTAGTGTTTAGGAAAGATTGCCTGCCTATATGTCAATTGAAATCAAAATAATGATATCAAGTTTCCACAATACACAAACTTTGAGGGATTGAGAAAAAGGAAGAAATCAAAACTCTCATAAGATTACTGGATATCACAGCCGCAACATTCTCAAATATGGGAAAGTATACATGTGTTTTTGACAAGTTTAGAAAAAGCAGAGAAAAAAGCAAAGGTACACATACTTGCGACATCATACACAATAACAGCAACAGACGAATCCCTGATATAGCTCGGAATAAGACTCCTGAATCTCTCTTGCCCAGCAGTATCCCTGTCATATGTTTATCATCAAATCATGAACTACAATGTTATTATTCTTCGTGTTAGAAAATTGAAAGAGGTTCCAGAACTTACCACAGCTGCAGTCTCACAGTTCGATCTTCAAGGTACATTGTCTTCGATAGAAAATCTATACCAATTGTAGCCTGATGATTATGAAACAACATAAGACTTACTGAGAAAAAGGAAGAACACTGGGTATAATGATGATGATAAGCAATAATAGTTCATTTACTATTAGGAGCTTAAACGTAATTATCATATTTTTACAAATCACGATCAGATGCTTTAATTCATCCAATTGCGATAACATTCAATTAGATAAACAATGATAACAGCCTCAGCACGAACTAGTCAAATTCCGTAAGCATATCTACGATCTTCTACATTCGATTACTTAAACTCACGAACGATGAGAGGTTAACGGAGATCGCACATGATCATTATGCTGATTGTTTACGTCCCATACATTAAACACGATCTACAAATCAGATCACACATAATTACACAGAATCTAACGCGAGATCAGGCAGATGAATCAGAACTTCTAACCAAAAAACACAAAATCTCGTCCGTGGAAATGGATCTCAATATCAACCAAACCCTGAATTTTTTCCGGACTACAATCCCAGAAAACCCAGCCAACGTCGTGCATCGTCGAGGTAATTAACTAGATCGGAAAGTGAATTACCTGGTAAGTATTGTCGAATTTGTCGTACATGAATCGAGTGATGATACTGGTCTTTCCGACGGATTGATCTCCCAGAAACACCAGCTTATACTTGGCGAGCGCCGAGACCGGAGCCATGATTCCTCAGGATCAAACTAGCCGGAAGGATCTGAGATACGTCGAGATCTCGCCACGAAGAATTTCCAATATTTGCCGGAGAGAGAGATCCCGTCGCTCTGGAAATGCAATTACTGTATTTACTGTCGTAAGCTGGTTGATGTTTATTCGAGGAAACAAAAATGGATCACTTAGTTCAATCAGAAACTATTGGGGATATTTTACAAATATATAGAACTTTGGATGCAGATTATAAAATTCGAAACAGTATGGGCTCCAAGTACAAACTATATAGTAAGGCCCACGTTGGGAGTTGAGCTGGGCTTATAGTAACGGGCACGTGACAAGAACGTGCCATCTCGTATGACCTGAACTAGTGAACATTTCTTTACTCTCTCGTGTCTTATCAAATCCCTAAATCTCAAGCTAGAAGAGACGGAAATGGCGCTGAGAGCTGCAGTTCTTCGTCACCTTAGGGTTCCGGTGCAAAAGCTAACAGTGTCAGGATCGAATCAGTCTCAAATTGGGTTCCTTGCTTCGATCCGTTCTTTTTCTTCGCACGATGATCATCTCAGCAAGCAGGATGTCGTCGATAGAGTCCTTGATGTCGTCAAGAGCTTCCCCAAAGTCGATCCCGCTAAGGTTAGCTCTATCTTCGTAAAAACTACGCTTGCTTTAGCTCAATACTCAGATTCGGATTAGACCTGCAATTTATGAGATCAAATTTGTGATTTCATACCTTTTGTTTACCACATTATTGGAACGAAATCGTTTTTTGGCCTCTAATCTCTGTCAATGGAAAACCTGTTGCAGCTTTTGGTTGATTCGCATTGCTCTAGTGAAAATTTACACGAAATGGTATCTGAAACATTTGTAAAATTTAGGGTTATTGATAACAACGGGTCTAGTAAGTTGCTACTGTTTCTGTCAATGAATTTGATTGATATCGTCGCTCTTATGGATTTTGCATTCGTGTTTGAAATAGATGAAAAATTCTTATTGTGTTGAAGTCGTAGTGTCATACAAATCATCTATCTTTTTCTAGATTTCTTCGATTGGTTGATCAGTTTGTTGTGACGACGAATCCACAGGTGACTCCTGATGTTCATTTCCAAAAGGATCTGGGATTAGATAGTTTGGACACAGTGGAGATAGTGATGGCTATTGAAGAGGAATTCAAGCTGGAAATCCCAGACAAAGAAGCTGACAAGATCGATTCTTGCTCTCTCGCCATTGAATACGTTTTCAATCATCCAATGTCTAGCTAATCCTGTGTCTTCTCAAGGTTTCTCCTTTATTTTTTTTTTTGTGAAATGAGGTTCTTTCTCTCAAGTTCTTTCCTGAATGATGATGGGATTTGCAAATAAATCCAGTTCTGTTTGAAGAGCATTGCATTGTTGTCTCTTTTAACAGATTCAATTTCGTTATGCAAAGACCCTTTTTGCTTGAATATTCTGTAATTTGGCACTTTTTTATTTATTTATTTACAGTCTGTCCTTTGTGCAACCTAATGCTGGACAAGTTAATGGAACATGATGATGTTGTGAACTCACCCCCAACCTTACCATCAAAAGTTTTTGTAGAGTGATGATTCATGTAATTATCAATCTAATTATGAATGATCAAGGGTGAGAATTTAGGGTGCAGTTTTAACCAATTTATTCATAGAAATGGGTGTTCTTCCATTTATCCTCCACCATGTACTTTGCATCATTTGTTTTTTTTTTGCCTTTTTAGTTGGAACTATACTTAAACTTAAAGTTGTAGAAACCTTTTCCTTTTTCTTTGTAGTTGAACTTCTCGCTTCTACGTGATTTACTTCATCTTCATCTTTTTCATCTGATGACCTATTTTCACTATTTACATTAGTACAAATCTTAGCATTTATAAAATTGTCAATATGATATATATATATATATATATATATCTACATTACAATTTATATAAAACTTCTAAATCATATAAATTACGGTGTAATATAAATTAACAAATTCATAATTTAGACCAATAGTTTAAAGTTGACAAACAATTCTTTTCATTCTAATATACATGATATAAAAACCCAACAAAAATATAATTAATATATAAAAAACATTGGTTCCACAAATTTATTAAGAACCATCAAAAACAAAAGACTTACTCCATTGAAAAAATGAATTGTTATTATGCCAGTATAATTTGATGACATCTCCATTTTTGAGATCTCTATCATTTTTTAGGTTATTCCATCCCTGTCCGAGTTGATACCTATTATTGTATCACATAGGATTTGTCATTATCTTTAATTTCCATTTGAATACTATTTGGAGGCATTAAAAGATTCATCTTTTTAGTAAGTTTTCTATTTTTTTTTGGGTAAACATAACATACGAGAACGAGAAAGATCACTATCTGTTAACATTTTTACTATTATCATATTTTGATGTATTACACTGAACTTATAATTGTTTTAGAAATATAACTTGTAGAATGTTTTCAGAAAATAAAATAATTGAGGATTTTGAAAAACTTAATTCATATATTTATATATAGTTCTCAACCAAAATAATATTTCATGTCTTTAGTTTTTATTTTAATATTATTAATGCTCTTAAAAAAACTCTCTAAATTTAGTTATTTGCAAGGATATGTTTTCAAAGTTAGCAGATGATATTTTTAAAATTAATAACTTTAAAGATTTAATTAATTAATTATTTTATTATGGTTAATTATATTTATATCACCCTAGGTGTTTTTGGTTCTTAAAAATATGCAAGCTAAATTTATTACAATAACTAAAAAAAAACAGAAAATCTATTAATATCATATAAAAAATAAAAATTTCCAAACACTCTAGAATTGAGTATTTGGTACTTCTGTTTTTGACTTCTATATTTAAAATTTAATAACGACTGGTTTACAACATTTATTTTTCAAATTTGAAAACACAATTAATAACAAGCAATCTTCTGTTTAATACACAATTTGTTTTGTTTTTAAATATTTGTTATTAATATTGAAAAGTCACAATAAAATATAATTTTTTGTATAATAAATATATCAATGCTGTATAAAATTATATATTTTCTGGAAAGATTCAACTACAACTTTTTATATACTATTATTCATCGAGAAGCTTAATAATAATACTGTCTGTCTAGCTAATAAGTAAGCAAAACCCTAAATGGAATTGAATTTCAGTCGACTCAGATGTAATTGGTTTAGGTGCCTGAAAATAGAGAAGGGAAATCCTGGTGATAGGTCAGTTTATCACCACGGTTTTGGTTTGATTCGGTTAAAAACCAGACACAATTAAGAATTATATATTCAATATTTTCGAATTAGGAACCAGGCCCATTATGACAGCATATTAAAGAAGCCCATAAGAAGGGCCCAATGCTAAAGCTTAAACCCCCTTTGCCTCCTCAGCTTGGTTATACACAGGAGAGATAAGGAAGGAGAAAGGAAGAAGAAGAAGTTGGAGAAGAAGGAGAAAATGGCGAATCTCGACTCGGCGATTGATTCAGTATTTTGGGACCATAACATTTCTTCACCCCAAACACTTGAAGGCACGGCTCGTTCTGTTCCCGGTGCGCCATTTCCCGTCGACGGTGCACGAGCCAGCCGCTCTCACCGGATTCAGCAGCTCTCTCTCCTCCGCGAAGGCTTTCCTCTCGGAATCATCCCTTCGTTTGCTCCTTCTTCCGACAAGAGACTCGGCTCTTTCTCTCTTAACTCTCTCTTGCTCAGTCCTTCCTCTTCCAACTGGTAAAACATTTAATCTCTCCGCTGGTTTTACATACTTGAGTGGTGAAAATGACTTTGTCTTTGGTGTTTGAGTGAGTAGAGCTTAAGTTTTTTTTTTTGCTGAGGCATTGAATTCAAAAACCCAATTGATGAAATCGAAAAGTATTTGGATATTTTGTCTTTTTCTCGGTGTTGATATTGTTGGATTTGATGAGACATGTTCTTAGGTCCTTAAACTCAAATTTGTCTTTTGGATCGTCGTAGGTGGGTAGGATTGGTTGGGCAGTTTAAGCCAAAGAAGCTCTTTGCTGATGTGAAAGCAAATATAAGAAATGCAGAAGAGTGGGATCTCCAACTTTTCAAGGATACAACAAAACACATTGTAGACAAATCCCTTTACTCAATTGGTCTATGGACTCAGATTGCTTTAGGCTCTTCTTCCTCTCTGTTGCTGAACGCTGAACGGCTTGGCGATAAAAATGGACTCCGAAAGAAGCTGATGTTTGTTCATCCGGTAAGCATCTGTAGTATAGACCCATGATGGATTCTTTGTATTTTTTTTTTTTTGGAGCACTTCTAATCTTCTTTCAATGTGACTGAGCAGCTTGAGAAACATGATCTCACTGTGGAAGCAGCTTGGCCAGATCTGTTTTTGGACCATAAAGGACGCTTCTGGGATGTCCCTGAGTCATTGAACTTTGATGTCTCATCTCTTGCTCCAGAAACCGGGCTTAGGTACCGGTTTGGTCTACACAAAAGCAAGGGTGATCCTCAGCCTGTGAACGCTGTTTCTGCGAGTGGTGGTGATGCTCCTACATCCTTGATGCCTGGTCTATGCGCCAAGGCTGCTGTTTCGTACAAGGCGAACAGAGACTTGTGGAGGCCGCAAGAGAAAGAAAACGAAACAGGAGAAGAGGATACACCTGTCTTTCTGCCTTACGATTTACGTCTCAAGGAGCCTCACGCAGCGATTTCAGGAATAGTAGGTACGCTCTCTTGAAAACCCGTAATGCTTAAACGAGTCTCTTTCATTGTTCTTGACTTTGGATTTGAAGGCTGAGTTCTCTCAATGTTTCACTCTCTTAGGTAGCAGCTTGGCAGCTTGGATTACTGGCCGAGGCATGCTGGTTAATGGCAAGAAGCGGAGTCCGATAAGCGCAGACGTATTTGGTTCTGCTTGTTATACATTCCAGAAAGGGAGGTTCAGTAAGTTGTATGGCGATCTAACACGCGTAGATGCTCGTGTGGACGTTTCCTCAGCTTCTGCCCTTGCTCAAAGAATCTTCCATGCGATTAGGAGATCTCCAGGTGGTGACAAATCATCAGATGACGCATTGTGGTCTCCCAGACTCAACCTGATCTTCCAGCAACAGGTATTAGTCTTTTGTCCAGAGATCAAAAAGTCTCAGTCTTTGATGTAAAAGAATCAGTTTGTTAAAGCAAGTTGTTTCTTCTGCAGGTCGCGGGTCCGATTGTGTTCAAAGTAGACTCGCAGTTTCAAGCAGGTGCAGGAAAGTATGGTGCACGCATGGAAGATCTGATTTACAGTTTGAATTACTCGTTGAGGCTTCTTGAGTCTGGCAAAGTCGTGGCTTGGTATTCTCCAAAGAGAAAAGAAGGCATGATCGAGCTTCGAGTTTTTGAGTTTTAAATTTAGTCTCTTTATCTGTTTTTTCTTAGTATATTGTACCATTTAAACATTTGTTTCAGAAGATGCTAGAAATCGACAAGAAGCCTTTCATTTTTGTTTAAACTCGTTGAAGCTCTTTTGGCTATGGAATGTCTCAAACTGATATTCAATTGAAAGATTTAACAGAAAACAAGAAACGCTGTCTGAAAATTACAGGAAATAACTAAAAGTCCTCAAGAAATCATTAGATGTATCCTCGCGGGACAACAAGCCGTTTTCAATTCCTCAAGTCACTCGACGAGGGCCAACAAGTCGCTCTCTTTACAAAAGCAATGCCTCGCACCAGTTCCCAAATCGACCTGACCAATAGATTCAGAGATGTTAGAACCACACGAGAACTATGATCAAGTCATTGGAGAGAAGATAATTATCACAGTACAAGAAGGGAAAGCATTTGAACTTTTTAACTAACCTCATACGCGCTCACGTCAGAGAAGAGAACCTGTGAAAAAGGCAAAGGAGAAACAAATGAAGAACATTCACAGTAGCTACAATGGATGATGATGATCTCCTAAGATTTAAGAAGAACCTCTCACCTTCTTTCCAGGCCCAACTTGTTGTCCAACCTCAGAACCAACAGAGATAACCTGGGATATGATTAAAACCATACTCAAAGATCCTCACGGCACATGATATCGATAGGTATACATATAACATAAGGAGCAATCCCTTACCTCTCCGGTTAGGTACCTCTCAAACTTTACAGCTGCTTTAGGCAACAATACTCCCCCTGAGGTTGTCTGCGGAATTACATCAAAAAAATGATACAAATAATCAATGATTTTGGCAGCGGAATTGCGATAACCAAGCGTAATCAATAACAGTTTCTTAGTTTGATTTCTATGTGTGTTTCCTGCTTATTTTGTAATCATGATAACATTTCAGATCATAAAAAGGAGCTATTGTAAGAGATAAACCTGAGCAAGCTCTTCAAGACGAACAAGAACCCTGTCTGCCTGAGGAACAACCTGAAATTGATCATATCAACAAAACAATAAGTGTCCGATTCAAGAAAATGAGATGAATACATTTTCAGATGAAATCGAACGGAGAGGCAGTACCTTTGTCGGTTCCCATTTAGTGGAAATCGCGTTGATACGAAGACAACCTCTTCGAATTCCTGCAGGAACACAAGAGAAATCAGACACGAGAAAAACAAAAAAAAGTCTGAAACGGAATACAAGAAAAGGCTTTTTTTATCCGAAAGGTAATAAGTTAAGGATTTGTCCGTACCGAGAAGCTTATGGTTAGCTGAAGGAGGAGTAATGGTTTTGACGGGAAAAGCAAAGAAGGGTTTTGGTAGAGAGACGAAAGTGGAAGCCATTGGAAGATAAGGTTTTTCGCAGAAGCAGCAGATCTTCTTCTTCCGTCACGACTTCGGCTAGAGATTTCTCCGAGGTTCTTATGTTTTCATTTGGGCTAATATTACGGCCCACTGGTTGTTTTCATTTGGGGCCTACCTACTCGTCTTTCATTTTGAAAATTTACTATTTAAAGACTTCATGACCCAAAGACAAAATAACCTGTGTTAGTAGTATTTAAACATAGTATAAAAACAAAATACATCAAGTTACTAGAACAAGAGTCTATATATGTCATGTGAGGATCCTCCGGAGCTGCCAAATCCAAGAGTACATAATACCAACAGCACAATATGTTGAGATCAACATTAAAGGCATGAATGCATATTTGTCACCTAGAAAAAACGGATGCAAGAACTGTGACACAATCTCTACCATAACCAAACCCATTAGATAGCTCTTCTCTAAACATCCAATCCCAAACTTGCTCTTTAATTCACCAGCCTCCTTCTTCTTCGATGCCTTCTCGTCTGCGTATTGAGCCGCAAAGCCGAGCCACATCACCATGCAGTGCAGTAACAGCAACAGAACCTTGATCGGATATTCCCGAGGCTCATATAAGAGCGGAAAGAGCGAATAGCAAGAAACTGCAAAGAGAAATAAACATTAGTAAGTTTGATTATATGATCCGCGAAGGTTGATTCTGATTAGAAAATATTACCTATGGAAACCAGAAAGTAGTGTTTAGCATCTTCTAGACTCTGCACGGCAACGATTGCAAGTGGGATAGTGAAGTGTAGCGATGCTTTCTCATGGACGTGCCATCCAAAGAGAAAACCGCATGTGTATGCATAAGCTATCCATCTAGCAACGTGCCCGGGCTGTGGTTTTTTCCAAGCTTTGATGAGACATGGAGTAATCGCAAGTAACACCATTGCAAATGTTGTCAATGGTGTGATCTGTCATTTGTAGCAGTCAATGCAAAATAAGACCAGGCGGAACATTCAGGATATATGGTAGACAGTCAGACAAGAATGTGAGATGAGTGGCAGTACCTGAGGGAGAACTGCAAACGGAGAAGAATCACCAACTAATCCGCCAGTGAAGGAAGCTGAAGGAATCTGAATTTCGAACCCGAGCTTTCGTAGTAAAAAGGCAAGCCCTTTGTCGAGTATTATGTAGAAAACCCAGACATTAGGTGCCCAGTATGCATGGCACAATCCTCTCCCGAAAGGAAACATTCGGCTTATGACTTGCTTTATCTGCAACACAATAAGAATAAGAACAAACAGTAAATTTACCACCATAAGATGATTTCTCAATGAATCTAATCCGGAAAAGGTTTTGACTTTTATATAGAGTAGTTCACTTATTTCAGCTATGTTAAATTTTCCATTAATTTAAACATCGACATGGGCTTTCTCTGCAATCAGGAGATATCACTCATGAAATCGACAAAGAACAGAGGTTTCTGTGACAATGTTTTCACAATGTGTACTTCTGCTTCCCCAAAATGAAACCAACACCAAATTTCACACTCTTTTCTCAATTCAAACAGTAAAAAATGAGTTACAATCTACTAGACATCAAGAACAATAGAATCTTCAACTACAATCTTGGAAATTTTGGCTGTATTTCTCGACATTGTAGATAATAACACATGAAAGACAAAAAAAAAAAACCAAACTTTCTTCCATCATAAAAAGAAGAAATAAACTAACCTGTCCAATGTAGATGAACGGTCCATAAGCGGCGGCAAAAACCGCCACAACCACCGTACCAAGAGTCACAAGCCGTCGGAAACCGGTAGATAAACCGGACCAGCAATAATGCCTGAGGAGGTAGACGAAGTAAACCGGAGCAGCGACGGCGAACAAATGCTTGAAGCATAGAAGAACGGCGAATAGAAACCCACCAAACAGATCTCTCCCATCTTGCAGAAACGAAATCGAAAGCAGCAACCAGCCCAGTAGAAACCCATTGTACTGAAAATGAATGTGATCAACGATCAATAGCCCCGGAGACCAAATCACCAATGCGCAGATCAGATTTCGCTTCATCGGTTCCAATTTTCGAGTCAATCTGTAGACACCGTAGAGGAGACATAGATCCGAGACGATGACGCTGATCCGTTGGAAGTAGATCACAGATTCGGCGCTGTAATCGAGTCCCGATTGAAGATCCACGATCCTTGGATCGACGAGACGCGCGAAAACCGATAGAAAACGTTCGAAGTAGGCGAAGAAGGGAGGATAGTCTAGTGTCCATGGGCTCGTCTCGTCGAAGTACCACTTGGAGAGAGGAAGAGAGTGTGTGATAGCTAGCCAGTTACGGTGGACCTCAAAATCGGTGCTTCTGTACGACGGGATGAGAAGGAGTTTCACGGCGGTGGCCACGGCAAAGAACCGTAGTAGAAGTCGCCGGTCACTACTCTCCCGGAGTTCCATCTTCAGCACCGATAGACTGAAAACATTGCGGACCGTTCATTACAAAAACCCATGAATATGGGCTCACTTTGGCCCACGCAACGGCCCATTTTAAATGGTATCCTCAGTGTTTAAAATAATGTTGACACACATGGCATTACGTAATTGGCTTACATAGGTGACATGGCAATGCTTGTTTTTCCTCTAAAATATAGTTTTTTTCAATTATGGCCCCAAAAAATCAATGTTGAAATAAACCGATCTCTGTCTTTCCCAATGAATTTTTGCATTGAGAGATGATTTATTTTTGGTTAAAACCGGTTAAACCATAAATAGCATAAATAACATTTCAAATTGCGTGTATAGTTCGCTACCTACCTTTTCAACTGCCCAAAAGGAGGTAGCTTGTGGCTAGAGCCTAGAGTTAGACCATCAGAAACCAATCTACGGCTGAGATCCTTAACAAATGTAAACAAATCAACGGCTACATCCAACGATTCCTTTACATAAAATCCTAACCGTAGAATCAAAACAACAGAATTTAATTCCCATGCAACCTTAAGACATTCACTTAACCGCCACGTAGCACAAACTCCGAGCCTAGCTGGCGCACGAGCGAGATTCACCACACGTGACAAGGGCAGGTGGGTTAAGAAAAGAAAAAAAAAGAAAGGTAGGGCAAACGGGGTACAAGGGCAGCTGTCATGGGCCCGAGAGACAAGGACGTCGATTATTGGGCTTGAGAGAGGTGATTGTGGGTCCCATAAATAATTAGGCCTTTTTAAAGGGTTTTTGTCTAGTCAGCCCCTCGTTTGATATTCCCAACTCTGGTGGGACCCGTTTCCCCACTCGAACGCCTTGTTGTTGTATCGACAGATGACCAAGTTGTGTGGTCCTGCCACTTTCTTTTTTGGACCTTTATTATAATTGATCACAAAACAACTTCTTTTCTTTTGTTTGTATTATTAATACACTTTAAATATAAATCGGTTAAAGGTTTTTTTAAAGTTTATTATTGGTTTGCCATTCGTAATGTGAGTCATTGCTTACTCAGAAACATTGAGTGCTTGACGTGATCTTATTTTATAAATATTTTATCAAAGAAAAACTAGTAGTACTATTGTATAGTGTTTTCTTACCATTGATTTAGAAGGACAAATTCTGTTTATTTGAAATTTCCAAGTGAGAAATAATTAATCAAAACCATAAAATTAATTCAAGTCAGTACTGGTACCCGCCTATGTGACACGTATTATAAGGAATTAAAAATGATAAACGGAATCTTATGTTAAATATTTTATTCAAAGAAATACGTGTACTACTACTGTACTAGTGTTTTCTTACCATTGATTTAGAAAGTCAAAGTCTGCTCCTTTGTGTTATAGTATGAAATTTCCAGTTTGAAAAACTATAATACGAATCATCAAAAGCATAAAAATGTGATAATTCAAGTCGGTACTGATAATTATTAATGTGACGTTTAATTTTGCAATTAAAAATGATAAACAAAAGTTGATCTATCAAATTTAGTCTAGTGAATAAAATAGGTCGGTGACGCTACTGCTCTTTTATTACAAGTAGAACTATGTCTTTCATATCTAAATTCAAAGTACAAGTTCTTAGAGTTTTTTTTACTATTTTGATCGTATACTTAAAAAATCCGGACTAAATATTTTTCTTAATAAGTTTCGATTTAATGTATAATGAAAATATTTAGTTATGAAAGAGAGTTTAAAGTTCTTCCAATAGTTTCTTTGGATTTTGTTACCTGCAGGCTGCAGTTAACACGTGTACCAAGATGTTTTGTCTCACAAAAAAAATACAAATAAATGTATTCACTATACCATAGTAATAAAAAAAACGTTACTGTCCAAAAAAGGAATTAAATGAAATATACATGTAAGTACAAGTAGAGCATTAAACAAATGAGAGGCGATTATAAATTTACACACAATGGAATGAAACATTGTCCAGGAGAGATGAATCCTAAGAGCGCAGAAAGTACACACGGGAACAGTTTTTAAAATACAGATTATTTAGTGAAAAATATCAGTAACATAAAATAAAATAAAATTAGAAACTTTCATTTAATGTTAATTTTATATTTGGGAAAGGTCCATCAATCATGCGTTATGCATGTTATTGTGGCAAACGAATCTCACAAACGCAAGACTTGTTTGATTCTCCTCGTCGAACGAGATCCACCCAAATTATTGTATAATGCAAAAAATAAAATAAAAATATGTTCTTTGATGCTCGACGATACCCCAACAAAATAACTGTATAAGCCGAAGAATTGAAAAACTGATGCTTATTTAGTATTTTTACTCGAAATTCGTCATTTATAATTTGATGAAAAAACAAACAAATAGTTGGTACGGACAAAGAGTTCGATTCTATCCATTGTATTTGAAGTTTTTTTTTTAACTTTATCGATGAATTTTCCCGGTAAAATAACCAGAAACAGAATTTAAGTATTTACCTGACACAAAAAGACAATAACAAAATAAAGTAATGAATTATTGAACTTTAACGTATAGATCTTTCGAGATTGGACCTCAGGAACGAATGAACGGTCAAGATGTATTGTAGACCACAGTAACTCAAGTGGTCCGTGATACATGTGATTGTCTCCAGTCAACCAGAAAGTCCGAAAGCCGGCTTTATATATGGACACCAAATCAATCAGCTTTCTCCTCCTCCTCCTCCTTCTTCTTCTTCCTCCTCTTTGAGCTGAATCTCGAATCTGCTTCTGCAGTCGACTTCATTTGCCTTTGAATTCAAAGTCTCGTTTCTTTTTGTTGTGATTAGTTTCAGCAATGGCTTCGTATTACTCTGGGTTTTTGGGTTGTGAAGAGCCACACTTTTTGGAATCTTGCTCTCTTTGCCGTAAACACCTTGGTCTTAACTCCGATATCTTCATGTACAGGTACTAATTCGATTTTCTCGAACCAGATCAAATTCTGGATCTGGGTTTTATTTTAAACGTATGTCTTTAAAAGTCTTTTTAATTGTCCTGATATTAAAGTCTTCTTTGGTTTTATGATTTACAGAGGGGACAAGGCGTTTTGTAGCAAAGAGTGTAGAGAAGAACAGATTGAGTCCGATGAAGCTAAGGAGAAAAGCTGGAAAATTTCTGCAAGATCTCTCCGGAAAAAATCTTCCGAAGCAGCGAAAGATTCCGCCGCCGGCAAAACCGTACGGACAGGAACTCTTGTGGTGGCTTAGTATAAATCAAGAAAATTAGCTTTATATATACCTTTTTGTCTAAAAGCTTTATCCTTCAAAAAATCAAAACCCTCTTTCTGAAAAAAAACCTGCAAAGTTTTGCTCTGTTTCTATTATCTTTTTCTGGATCGGAGGTGAAAAGGGGAAAGTTTCTGGTTCTCAAATTCCGACGAAGGAATCTGAGGAATTGTAGATCTGGTTTATGTAAATGAATGTGGGGGGAGAAAGAAGAAGATATATTGCCATTATGTTTGATGGTTTTTTAAAATTTTTGTTCGATGTTCCACAAGAAACAGAGCATATTATGTTTCTAATATTCAATTTCTTTATCCTTCTATCTTATAAAGTTTCGTATGTTGAGTCTCGTTGAACCCGAACAAAGTGGAGAAATTGTATTGAGCCAGAGTCAATTACAAATTTTGATAAACAAGTCTGTCGATTGTTCCTTTGCGTAATGCATTTTCCGACATAAGTAAGAACTCCGGCGGTTCTTTTACATGTGTAAAAGAGACAGCTAATTTGGGCCTCACATGGGCTTTTAAAAGAAGCCCATATACGCAAGCCATTGACACATCCCACCTTCTATGGGAAGTTCATAATCAGAACTAATGGGAAGGGGCTCATGCAGGGCCCATGCCTACCGTTGCTAGTTTATGTGTATTTAGTTTCTAATTAATTTACTTAGTAAATTAGTAGGTCCAGCCCAAAGTTTGTTGTTTTCTTTTCCATATTTTTTTAGTAAATTTATCAAACCTCGTCATTAGAGTAAATATGATATTTTTCTAAAAGCAAAACATTTGGAGAGAGCATGAACATTATACGAGTTTATCTACAAGACTACAACCAAAATTAAGGTAAATAACATATTCTACCTATTTTAAGATAAAGATCAATGAGCTGTTATATGTCTAGTTACTAGAATGTTCTTTGTGTATGTATAAAAACCGAGAATGATATTGTTGTTTTGGTTAAGTTGATGAGAATGCATTTTAGTCTCCTCAATAATAGAGGCGTCACGAATCATGGACAATCTTATAACATATTGTTCATTGATGAATTATGTACCTATAGCGTAAATTCAGTTAATCCAGCGATTGAATAAATGGTGTGGCTTAGTTTCGTAGATCACAAGAAACTCAAGATAACAAGGAAAAATCTCAGATGAAAAAAAGCACATAAATTCTCAGCTTATTATACACAACAGTTAAAAGCAAAATCCAAACTATATCTGTAACTGATTTTAATTGAATCCCTCCACAGGTAAAGAATTTTCTAAGACCCATGTTTTTTTCCCGTTTCTCTCCCAACCCACCAAAAGAACGTTTCTACATAGATCAGTTTCTTCTGACAACTTCCGAGATTACATACATATAACTCAACCTTTTTGTTCATATACGCTCTTCTCAATCCTCCAACTACAATTTAGTATGATCCGTTGTAAAGCCCCCGACCATCAGCAAGAAGGATTGAGCCACCGAGATTTGTGTTTCAAACTCACTGGACTGGTGAGAGGAGAGACCTGAGAGAGAGAATCATTGCTTTTTGTGTACCTTAAAGCCAAAGATTTTAGGAACGTAGTTTTGAGTCGGCTTCTGCGGTTTAATGTTCCCATAGGCCATGAGAAACAAATGTGGGAAGGTAGTCCCAAAGTAAGCTCCATCAATGTCTGCAACAAGCATTAAGGAAAAACAAAAAAAAACCACTAAGACAAGTAGACAAAACTCTAAAATATCTTCCAAAGATGCAAAGCAAACAATAGCAAGAATGTATTATGTTATGCTAAAGGGCCTTTTGAACAAAAGGAAAAAAGGATACTGCCTTGGAATTTAGATCGCGGGTAGTAAATATCCTCGCATTTTGGGCAGTATATCTTCACCGTGCTCGACCTCGGGATGTCAGATTGTCCGACCGGAAGACAAGACTGCCCGCAACAGAAAACTCTCGGGCATCTCCCGAAGTCATAGTTCTTGTACTTCTCCATCTAACAAAGGAGATTCAGCAACATAAGTTTATATAAAAGATCAATCAGAGAAAAAACAAAAAGTGGTAACTAAAGAAACTCATCTTTCTTACCATAGCAGCCATTCCTTTAGTAGTGAGAATGTAACGAACATGAATAAGACCATACAACATCTCAGCAGCTGATTCCACCATCTCATTCTGTTCTTCAGTAAACATATCACCTAATTTCGAAAAACATTCACTCAACATAAATATAAACGATCACACAAAAAAGTTAAGAACCTAATTCATCAATGGAACCTGAACACTTACCGTTTGATGATTCAATATCTAATATGAGGTCAAGTGCATAATCATAGTAAGGAACTTGACCACTCAACCCACAGAGATTGAAATCGTCTTGTATGTAATCTTCATCTACTTCGCAGAAAAACTCGTTCCCTCTCAAATTACAGAACCACGAGATCCACGATGTATCATCACCTTCTGAGCCACTCACATCTGATCCTTCACTATCCGTTTCAGATTCAACTACAAAAAAAAAAAACCAAAATTAGACCCGAAAATCAGAAACTTTCCATAAAACCACAGAAAAATGACTGAGATTTAAAGCAAAACCTTCGGGTGAGCGAGAATGGCGATGATCGGGAAGCTGAGATTTAGCAGTGGAGGTCGAAGGGAAGGAATCTTTATCTTTAGAAGTGAAAACCTTAGATGTGGAAGGTGAAGATTTCTTCAGATGTTTGTCTAAAGCATCATTGATCCGTTTCCGATCAATAGCTCCACCGAGGATCTCCGATCTCGACGATCCACCACCACCCATTATTCCTCCACTACGGTCCTTGTACATAACTCGAATCGATTTCCCCTGGGAGATTAAGCTCAGATTCTCAAAGTCTCGGACTTTCTTATCATCAGAGAAAGGAGAGAGGCGGAGAAATCTAGGTTTTTTTTTTATATATATTTTAATTTAATTTCTTCATCACAGAGTGTAGAGGAAAGAGAAGAGTGCTCTGCTTTCCCCTGTGGTTTTCTCTCCTTCTCTACTGTTTGTTTGCTTCTATCTGATTTATTATCTTTCTCTTAAATACAAATGGGCTTTCCTCTATTGGGCCTTATCTTCTTACTCACACTCTTTCACCTTGTGAGGAAAAACAAAAGTTTGCACAAAAGATTCATTTGTTTTTAAGGTTCGTGATCATCGTCTCTGTACGATTTTAACTATGATTCTATATCACATGTAACTTAGGAAGAAAGGAATCATAAGTTTTTAATTCTTTTCTATTTTTGTAAGAACACGATAGTAATAATTGACTTGCCCTTTGCTTCTTGTTAATGATGAGGTGTTTGGTGGTCGATCCATTGTCTAACCTTATATTCATTTGTAAAATCGTACAAACAAAATCAATTTGTTAATTAACTTTATTCAAATTGTTGTTTTTAATTATTTTTTTACAGTTTTAGTTCATTTGTAACATTCTAATTGCGCATCCCAACTAATCCCAACCATGAAAGTAAGTCTTTACATTCAAAAAACGGAAAAAAACAAACCCACCAAATTAAAAATAGTCTCTTTTAGGCTTTTGCCTCTCTGACAGCTCCAAATTAAAGTTGACTCCTTTTTTATCTCCACAACTTTCAAAGATATTGCAGCTTTTCCTCTAAATTCCCCTCTTCCTTCTACACTTAACTAGAAGCACAAAAAGAGAGAGAGAGAGAGAAAGAAAGAAGCTAAAATCAGAGAGTTTTCTCAATCAATGTCAGCTTCAAGTGTTGCAGCAGCAGCAGCAGTAGCAACAACAACAGCTACAAAGTTTATAAAGTGCGTCACTGTTGGCGATGGAGCTGTGGGCAAAACTTGCCTTCTTATCTCTTACACCAGCAACACTTTCCCCACAGTATCCATCTCTCTCCTCTCTTCTCTCTCTTGGATTGCTTATTTTCTTAAACAGTCTTTGGGCATTTTGGTGAATGTTGTTCTTGTTATTACAGGATTATGTTCCAACAGTGTTCGACAATTTCAGTGCAAATGTCTTAGTCGATGGCAAAAATGTCAATCTGGGTCTTTGGGATACTGCTGGTAAAAATGTTCTTCACTTTCTTTCAAAGTTTTGTTCTTGTAATTCAGATTTATATCCTCAACATTTGTGTCAAGGTCTAATCTTTTTGACCCTTAAAAAGGAAACGTTACTTTTGACTTTGTTTCTTACAATCTTGAAGTTTCTGTGTAGTTGAAAAAGAATGGATCTTTACACTTAATGCTTATTGATCTGTTAGCCATATGGATACAAAACTGTTTTGCTTATTGAATTCAGTATGGGATTTTGTTTATAATCAGACCAATCGTGAATTTTGTTTGTGGTATATCTTTTCAGGTCAAGAAGATTACAATAGGCTAAGACCATTGAGTTACAGAGGAGCAGATGTTTTCATTCTTGCCTTCTCACTCATTAGCAGGCCTAGCTTTGAGAACATTGCTAAAAAGGTTCACACTTTCTTTCTTCCTTTCCCACTTCAGTTTCACTGCAAAATGTAACTTTTATCACACCATCTCATGCGCTTGCGGATCGGTTTTCTCTCGCAGTGGGTCCCCGAGCTGCGACATTATGCCCCCACCGTGCCTATTGTTCTCGTGGGAACTAAATTAGGTGAAACTTTTGACTCAAATCTGTGAATATTCCGTTTTCGTCTTAAATGTTAAAATGTAATATCAAACTTTTTGTTATTGCAGATCTAAGAGAAGACAAGCAGTTTCCAATGAATTATCCAGGTGCTTGCACAATCTCTACAGAACAAGTACGTTTCCTTAATATTCTTCTTCAAATGTATGATCAGAACCATTTTAGGATTTGAAGCTTTTTTATAACCTCAAAGCTAACTCTTTTTAGGGCCAAGAACTAAGAAAGGAGATAGGGGCATTAGCATATATAGAGTGCAGCTCAAAAACACAACAGGTTCTGATCACTTACAGTTACTTTTACACTTACAATTAAATCTTGTATAGCTTAACATCGTGTATAGCTTAACCTGCTAAAGAGAGACTTGTGATTATGATGATGTTCCTGCAGAATGTTAAAGAGGTGTTTGATGCGGCGATAAAAGTAGTTTTACAGCCTCCAACAAAGACTAAGAAACAGAAGAACAAATTTAGTTTCTGCCATGTTCTTTGATCTCAAGCTTCTTTGACTTACTCAAAATCTCTGGCTTGCTTTCTTTTAATCTTGTTGGTGTGTTGCTAATGCTATGGACGACTCTTTTGTGGATCAAAATCTGCAGATTAGTATGATACGCTATCTTCGTTATAAGAGTTTGATTTTGTAGTAGAGAGTGTGCTGTAACACCTAATAACTTATAGCAATAAGCTAAGTCTCGTCTATGTAAAATACTAAAATGTAAATGATCAATGCTCTTGTCTCTTTGAGTTACAGACTCAGGTTCAAGGCAACTATATAAACCGGTTAAAACCGATTAAAACTGGAGAACAAAATAACCATTCTCCAGTTTGACAAACAAAGATGAACCGAAACCGATTTTCTTGGTTGATAATCGAAACCTACAAACACACTTGGAACTTGGTCAAGATACGGTCTAAAATATAATCCGCCGGTTATAACAAAACCATGCCATTGTTAACGGCGTCATTTGTGAGAGTGAGATGATAAACGACGTCATTTAGGATCTTTATTTTCCTACCTTGTTTTTTAATTTATGACAAATCACCACCACCGAAGTTAAAAGCTTGATCGCCACGTCTTTATTTTTTCTTATCGAGTAACTTTGTTTATTTAATTATTTTTTTTAACAATTTTAATCCAACAAGCTCAGGCTCACATCTCTCTGCCAATTAGGGTTTCTTCTCTCTCCCGATTTCATTCAATTGTTGATCCGCTGAGCTAGGATTGTTCGATCCCGATTATTGTGTGGCTTACCTCTGATATCTGTTCTTCGAATCAGGTTGGATTGGTAATCAATACAGGAAAGCGATGCCACCGAAGGTTGTGAAGAGGGGAGGAGGCGCCGCGAGAAGAGGCGGGAGGCTTACGAGATCGGCGCTCAAGGCTCAGGATCCGCCGGTTGAATCTTCCCATGAAGAATCTGTTAATATCGGAGAGTTATCTGGCTCCGATGCTGTAGAAACGAAGGAGGAGACACCGGAGGTGGATACGCCTGATGAGGAAGAGGATAAATTAGATGAGCCGAATCCATCTGATTCGTTCGATGTCTCTGAAGCTCCAGCGAACTCGGATAGCTTTCTTCTATCGAAAAGTAAGATTCTTTGCGCCTGGCTTTTAAATTGCTTGTTTTGAATATTGTTTGATTTTTGGGATTATCTAGTTAACGTTCGTATCGCTTTCATTGACTGATCTAAGCTTCGCTTTGATGAAAGTTTGCGACTTAGTCCTTCCAACATATCTGACTGTAGAATGTTAAGATTTAATTTGGATGACGAATTTAGATTTTAGTGTTCACTCTTCCAATTTCTTTGGAAGATGGACGTATCTTCTCGGGTTGTTATCTCTGAGAAAAGCTTTCGGCTACCTCGAATAGTCTAGATGTTTTACTCGCTTTTACTCGCAGAGGAGACTGAGGGAAAAGATCCTGTGGATGATTTCGGAAAAGATGAAAGATTGGATTTAGATGACAATGAACCAGAGTATGACCCCGAGGAATATGGTGGGGAGGAGTTTGAAGAGAGAGAATTGGAACAGGACGATCATGAGTTGGTAAATGAGGAGGACGAAGAGGTGGAGGAGGAGATGGAGGTGGAGGATGAAGCAGGTGAGTTTGCAGACGACGTTGGAGATGGTCCAGAGGAGCTTGAGAGTGAAGGTGATGATGTGCATGCGGATGAAGAAGTCAAGCATGGAGAAACTGTTGATGTGGAAGAAGAAGAGCATAATGATGTTCTCCATGAGAGACGTAAGCGTAAGGAGTTTGAGATATTTGTTGGAAGCTTGGACAAAGGTGCTACAGAGGAGGACTTAAAGAAAGCGTTTGGTCACGTGGGCGAGGTAACTGAAATTAGGATTATGAAGAATCCTCAGACAAAGAAGAGCAAGGGTTATGCTTTCCTGCGTTTTGCAACTGCGGAACAGGCAAAACGAGCTGTTAAAGAGCTTAAAAACCCAATGGTAATCGTCTACACCTTAGTATTTGATGGAGAGTTTGTGTAGCTTTACATTGTATATCATGCTCTTGGTCATTGGGACTGCAGATCAATGGTAAAAAGTGTGGTGTAACTGCAAGCCAAGATAAGGATACCCTCCTCATTGGTAACATATGCAAGACATGGACCCCAGAAGCTGTAAGTATTCGGGTGTCCATAGATATGTCAATTCAACCCAACTCCACAGTTCGTGGTAATCTTGACCATTAGGTCTTTGCTGTTGTTCCAGTTGAGGGAGAAGCTGAAACACTATGGCGTTGAGAATATGGATGATATAACTCTGGTAGAGGACAGCAACAAAGTCAACATGAATCGAGGGTATGCCTTTTTGGAATTCTCATCTCGCTCAGATGCCATGGATGCTCACAAACGCCTTCTCAAGAAAGATGTGATGTTTGGAGTTGAGATGCCTGCAAAGGTTTCTTTTGCAGATTCCTCCTTAGATCCGGAAGATGAGATAATGGCGCAGGTACTCACAATGATAGGATCATATAATTGTTGCAGCTTTCATGCTACCATGTCTTCTTTAGAGCGTTGGAGGAGTTTACAGGGGCGAGCGTGGGTGCCACCTGTTCACTTAACATGTTTTTCTCCCTTACCGTTTCTGTAAAATCCTTTCTAAACCCATTAATGAAAACAGACGCAGAATACATTTTGCTATGGCCCTCTAACGGCATGCTAGATACAGGATTATTGATTGTTGGTGAATGCATTATATCTGTCTCATAGTACTTAGTTTCATTAATTTTCTGGTGTTCCAGGTTAAGACTATATTCATTGATGGTCTGTCACCTTCATGGAATGAAGAGCATGTTAGAGACCTTTTAAAAAGATACGGTAAACTTGAAAAAATTGAGCTTGCTCGCAATATGCCATCAGCCAGGAGGAAAGATTTTGGTTTTGTAACCTTTGATACTCATGAAGCTGCTGTGAGCTGTGCCAAGTTCATCAACAACTCAGATCTAGGTGAAGGAGATGACAAGGTATGCATATTTTTAAATATCCTTCTCATCGCAAGTATTTTCTTGCTTTCTAATTCCTCTCTTTTTCTTCCAGGCAAAAGTGAGAGCACGATTATCTAGACCACTTCAGAGAGCAGGTAAAGGCAGACGGTCCAGTCGCTCAGAACACCGGTCTAGGCATGGGGGTGGACGGTCTGGAAGGAGTTCATTGGCTCGTCTGCCACCTCGTAGCCTTGCTTCCTCTCGGAGTGCTAGAGGCATTGGATCTCGGGCCCCACCTCCTATTGCAAAGAGAGCTGGTGGATCTAGAGGAAGACGTCCACGCCCACCTCTACCTCCGCCTGCAAGATCCAGGCCCTTGCCACCACCTGCAAGAGCCAGGCCCTTGCCACCACCTACAAGAGCTAGGTCATATGACAGAAGACCTCCAGGTACCACCACTAGACTTGTTGTTTTTCCATGTTTTATCTTTTTTTTATCTTGAACGTCTTTTTTTTTGTTGATGATGTATTTGATCATATCTTCCAAATCGTGTGTTTGCAGTTCCTCCGTATCCAAAGGCTAGCTTGAAGAGGGACTATGGTAGGCGTGATGATCTTCCTCCTCCAAGAAGCAGACCAGCTGTGAGCTATAGCTCCAGGCTTTCTCCTGAGAGGCATCTGTCTTACAGAGATGATTATGCACCCCGTAGTGCTGGTTATTCAGATCTTCCTAGAAGTTCTTCTCGCTCAGAAATGAGGAGGCCGTACGTGGATGACCTTTACAGTCCGAGATTTGAAAGACCTCCGACTTACAGTGAAGGAAGATCTCGTGCTTATGAACCTCTTCCTCTTCCTGGATCAAAGCGACCGTATGCTGCACTGGTATGATTTGTTGCTTTATCTGACCATTTTGTTCTCTAGATTAAAACTATATGATTGATTACTTTAACAAGTGTTCATCATTCAGGATGACATTCCTCCCCGTTATGCTGAGGTGGATGTTCGTCACTCAAGAGCCCGTCTAGACTATGATATAGGCTCATCTCAATATGGGGAATCGTACGGGGACCGGTATGTTCTCCTTCTATGTATATCTTTGTTTATCTGTCGCTGCAATTTACTTTGTGGCAAGTGTATTTTTAGTTTCTTACTTCCATGTTTGGTGTAGGATTCCTAGATCGAGTCTAGGATATGGAAGCAGCCGAAATACTATGTCAAGTCAAGACTCGCGTGGCCCATACAGCAGTCGTCAGGGAATGGACTATGGAGGAGGTTTGATTCAGAAATTTCTGTTGTGGCTTAACATATATCTATACTTTATCGATATGCAAACGCTTACTCATGGCTATGTTGCTTTTCTTCAGGCTCTTATAGTGGTAGCGATGTAGGAGGAGGAATGTACTCATCAGGCTATGGTACCGACATACCCAGAAGCGACATACCCAGAAGAGATGTAAGCGGCTCCAGCATCTTCGTGTCTTTTCTTTTTTTTTTGGAAGGTTAGGTTGTGTAACATATTTGTTGTTGGATTTATAGGGAGGAGGTAGCTCGTATTCTTCAATTTACTCAAGCCGTGGCTTGGGCGGTAGTAGTTACTCAGGTGGTGGTCCAGGATCATACTACTGAATGTGAGTTATAATTGTGATTTTCTTCAATTCTAATTTTAGTTGCATCTACTGTGCATTGTTAGTTCTTTCTTTGTGGGATATTTTGGTTTGTTGGAAGGCATATGCATCTCCTCTTTGAATGTGAGAGCAGTGTAACTATGAAACCAAGTGATAACTTTGTAAAAATGGAACAGATTTGGCGGCATGCTAAATTAGGAAGGAGGTTTGGCTATGCATCGTCGTGCAGAGACGAAGCAGTTGCCTCTGCAAAAGGACCAAGCTATAGCCTGGATGAGATCGACTGTTGGAAGGTTTAGAGAGTGTTTTTGACTCTTTTTTCCAGATGTAATGATAAGCTTCACTTTCTATAGAGATGTCTTTATTTTTCCTGTGACTGTCAGAATAATGGTAAATGTGGTCGAGGCATTGTTATGCCTACAAAGAACAGAGATTTTAGCTGTGTTTGTATTTGCCCATCAATTTATAAAAGTTTTCTTTGAAAATTGCGTTTCTTTTGCTTGGATTTGATGCTTGCTCTGTTTTCCTCTCTGTGTGATGTGCCTCGACTCCATTAATGTCAATTTTCAAGCTTTATCCAAGAACCTTTTTATCTCCGTATATTCTTATAGGAAACCAAACGACGCATAATTTTAATAATCCGAGATGCTTCGAAACTTTCATATTTATACACTTTTAAACATAAGTTCAACATACATTACTGATGTTAGAAATTGAATTGAGAGAGATTTAGCTCATTTGATTTCTACAATCTAAAATTGAAAACAACACAATAACTCATGGCCTTTTGCTCGATCAGGAGTCAGCGGCTAAGGAAGACATTCTTCTTGCTTTCTTCTTCTTCTTCTCCTCTGTATTATCCGACATGCTTTTAGCAAATGCTTCCACGATTCGTTGTTGCGACTCCAGGATCATCTTCGTTCTCTTCATCTCCATCTCCATCCTCATCGCTTCTATCTCTCTCGTCATCTCCATCTTCGTCTGCTCTGTTCTCAACAACGTATCTCCAAGTAGCTTGATCGCACTCGCTATCTCCACCATTGGATCACCATCCTCCTCCGTCACCATCATCATCTCCCTCCCTCGTTTTCCCGCTGTAGTACTAGCTCCTGCTCTCTCTTCTCCTTCAGGAATCCTCACAACACTAGCTCCGTAATTGGGTCCCGCTCCGAGACGACCAGCTCTCGCATTTGCACCGAAACTTGGACTCGCCGTGTATTTCGGATCGATCTTGCCGGGAAATCTAGGGCCTGGCTGTGCTATGCTCACTCCCGTCGGTATCCGAATTCTGATCCCGCCGCTACTGCTACTCCCTCCGCCACCACCAGATCCGGCGGTACCATTCCTGTTAAAGAACCTCGGCGTCGTCCTAGCGGCTAAACCTCCGCCGTTTTTCAACGAACCGCCGCTGAATTGATACCGAGCTGCGTAATTGCCATCGTCGTTATCCTCTTCCCCACTTTCGTTGCCCGGTTTGGTCTCGGGTCGATTCTCCATGGCTTCCATTCGCTTGTAATGGACCCAAGAGGATACGAACCTCGCCACCGGCACAGATCTCGCTCGCTGGATCTCGGTGCGGTACCTTTTCCGGAGCTTCTCCATCTTGTGCCGGCACTGAACCGCGGTTTTCTTCGGCGTCGCCTCCGGACAATTAGCGGCAACCGATTCGGCGACTTCCTCCCAGTGATTAGCCTTGAGATTTCCACGGTTGAGAGCGTACCATTTGTCGCGGTACCCGTCAATGAGCGCGATCGTCTCCTCGAGAGACCAGCACGGCGGAGGCAACCGCCTTGAGCTCTTTGACGTCGCCGGGATGGAGACGGTCTTCTGATCGGCAGCAGAAGCCGGTTCTGCCGAAGCATCGTCTGGACCGGAGGAAGATAATGGTGGCGGGAGGAGAGCTAGCGGCGGAGAGGATAGGTTCCGCACCGGTGATGGATCCCGAATTGGATCATGATTCAACGGAGAATCTGGATCGGACATGGATCAACACAGATAAGACCGGGAAAGATCAAATTTTGAGAGGGTTGGAAAAAAAAAAGTCAGATCTCGTGAAGAGAAATGGCTGTGATGCGATGGCTTTCCGCGGCGGCGATATCACGTAATATCGAGGAGATAAGGGAGAGAGAGAGAGAGAGTGGAGGAGATGCGCATGATAATGGTGGGTGGCGGAGGATAAGGTGTTAGATAGAAGCACACATTAGCAGAGTTGGTAATAAAGGAAAAAGCCCTTAAGCGGTGGTGGCGGAGGGTGGTGGGGGCACCGTCGTGGACAACAGTAACGACACGTGGAATTAACAGCAGCGGAAAATAAAAGAGAAAAAGCTGCTGATTTTTGGGGACGAGGCCAACAAGCCACCGTATTCATGGTTTGGAGTGCTAACGTGAGCCGCGTATGACGGGACCGGTAGGTGGCGTAGGGTAGACTTGCGAACCGCTCTTGCCGTTTCGGGGTCTGCTTAATCATCTTTTTGGCGTCTTCCTCTTTCTTGACTTTTCTCTCTCTCTCTCTCTCTCTCACATTGTTTTCTTCTTTTTTAGCAAGTCATTTACTATAACCTCATGATTGTTAATTTAAGGCCTCAAAATCCCCTGCCATTAAACCCCATTTACTAAATGGGCTTTTAAGTTAACTGTATTAATTCTAATGGGCCTTTCTCATTATTCTTCACCATCAACCTCAACCTGTGTAAGCGGGGAATCTTCTACAGCTGTCATAATACCTCGTGTTATTTGAGCATAAGAAGAAAGGAATCTCACGACAAACATGTGAGGACTTATTGTCGATAGTGAAAGTGAAAGTGTTAAGACAAGCTTTTTACTAATTTATTGTACTGGCTTTTTTGATTAGTGAGAAACACCCCAATAATTAGGCTTACTAAGCTTTTTTTTTTTAACATCTAGTGGTATTAAGCTTTATCGGGTTCTTATCTTCTGAGTAAAGGAATTATGCTCGAAACATAGTTTAAAATTCAATAATTAAAAACACGGAAGGTATTTTTATCAGGTGGCAAACTTCATCATCACATATTCTCTTCAGACTACTTACCAATATATATATGTGTAGATGGTGTACTTGTGTGGAATGTGGATAACCTTAATTTAAAAATTGGATATTCCTTGGAACTCAAGAAAGTTGAAAAGCATGGACCACAGATTGTTTGATGCAGCTCTTACAGGAAACATAACAACACTTAAGTTGCTGCTTCAAGAGGATCCTCTGCTTCTCGAGCGTCTCTCTCTGTCGTCTCCAGAGAATCCTCTCCATGCCGCAGCCTTCTCCGGCCAAGCCACCTTCACTGCAGAAATCTTGCGTCACAAGCAAGGTTTAGCTCTGGAGCCGAATCTGCAAGGGTTTAGCCCTCTCCATATTGCTTCAGGCTCAGGGAAGATAGAAGTTGTGAGAGAGCTCCTACGTGTTGGCCGGAAACGTGATGTCTGCTTCCTGAAGGACAAAGACGGTTTGATTCCTCTTCACTGCGCAGCGCAGAGAGGAAGAGTCGAGGTCATAAAAGAGCTGGTTTCGGATTTCCCTGAATCTCTCGAGGAAGTAACTGCTTCTCTTGAGACCCCTCTTCATGTTGCTGTTAAAAACAATCAAGTGGAAGCTACAAAGTTGTTGCTGGAAGAGATCAAGAATCGTAACATGTCTCGAGGGATCGTTAACCTGGAAAATCGAGAAGGCAATACAGTCTTGCATCTTGCAACACTTGGTAAACAGCTTCAGGCAAGTAGTTTCTTCTTCTTTACAAACCTCATGTTATGAACCTTACATTTTTTTTTCTTCTAAAAACTACTATATTTGATTCAATCATGCTTTATTAGTATTTTTACAGCCTTTAAAAATTGTCACAGCCTAATTTCTTTTCTATTTTTCTTGTTATATGATTTTCGACCTTGTTTTTTTGTAAGTCACATCTGTTACGTCACAACAATCATTTTTGGAGTACAAAATACATCAGCAACCAATCAAACCTTAGTATTAAAAAAAGTGTGAGAAAGCTTTGTTAACTTTGACATGAAGAACATGCGTAAGCGTCACTCCTCTCATTGCTAAATGATTTTCAATAATATTGTTGTCTACACAGATTGTGGAGATGTTGATTGGTGAGGAAGCAATACTACCCGGATCGGTAGATGCAAATAGAGAAAACAGAAACTGGTTAACACCAAAGGATATTCTCGACGTGGTGATTGAAACCGAAGGAGGAAGTGTTTCTGAAATGTACAAGGTTGTTCAAATCTTTCAAACAGCCGAAGCAAAGAACGCAAGGGAAAGACGCAAAAACCCTAAACCAATTCGGCATAGTAGACTTCCTTGCCGTATGATAAAGAATTTTATACACTACGAGATCACTAATTCCACACTTGAACAACGCGAAGTTCTGTTGATTGTTGCAACACTCATAGCCACACTTACATTCACTGGAGTCCTCCAGCCTCCAGGAGCTTTCAAGAGTGAAGATTCTAATGGTGGTTCTGGCTCACAGAACAGTACAACAACAGCACCTGCTCGAGTCATAAACACCATTTTCGGTGCAAGGAACAGCACTGCAGGACAAGCAATCATGGCGAGCAGCAGACCCCTTGAGTTCACTCTCTACGCTGCCTTCAACGCGGTTGGGTTCTTGGCTTCGGTTACAATGATATCGCTGCTCACTAAAGGGTTCCCTTTGAGGAATTGGATGAGGCTTTGCATCATCTCGCTTGTGGCTATTTATCTGATTGCTATATTCTATATAGCTCCAGATGAGGATATATTTTGGGTGGTGATTCTAGGTGTATCGTCTCTCTTGGTTCTTCGTGAGCTTTATCTCTTCATCGATTCATTGATTAAAGGTTTTAAGACTGCAAAGCGTCTCATGATTTCTTCTTAACTGATCTCAGTTCAATCTCTTTGTTGTTTCTTTCTCATATTTTCTTTTGTATGAGTGTGTGTGTTTTCTTTTTGGTTGATTATTTATCATTGTAAAATTTAATCTTGAAATGGGTTTTCTCTCATCTTTGTCGTGTGAATTTGACTTTTTGAGATTAATAAATTAAAGAAATTTGAAGACGTGGGGAGTTTTGAAATGTTCTGTTTCTCGAATGCTCTGACTTGACAAAGTTGAAAATTTTATCTTGTTAATGTTGAATTCTTGCAAGAAGGGTTTTTGACTTAGCAGAAGAAAAGAGAGAGAGAGAGAGATGGAGAAAAATCCGTTAATGGAGGCTGCTCGGAAAGGAGATGTCGAGTATTTACTCCGATCAACGGAATCCGATCCGACTCTTCTCGAGGTTATTGTCATCAACGGCGAGTCTTCGCCGTTGCACGTTGCCTCTATGTACGGATACTTGAGTTTCGTCAAAGAAATCCTCAAGCTAAGAGAGAGTCTCGGAAGAGAGCTTAACAAAGACGGATTTACCCCTCTACATATAGCAGCATCCATGGGTCACGTAGAAGTCGCGAGAGAGCTTTTGGAGAAGCTAAGTAGTGAGATCTGTTTGATCAAAGGTAAAGAGAGGAAGATTCCTCTTCATTACGCTGCTATGAGGGGAAGAGTTTGTGTTCTTGGTGAGTTAGTGTCTGCAAATCCTGAATCTCTTGAAGAAGTCACTGCTCGTGGAGAGACAGTGCTTCATCTTGCGGTTAGATTCTGTCAGTTCGATGGATTCGTTGCTTTACTGGAACATCTTAAGGAGTTTGATAAGCTTTGCGTGTTGAATAAGCAAGACAATGCAGGGAACACGGTTTTGCATTTAGCTGTTCAGAAACGACAGTACGAGGTATCCGTCGATCGATCTTGTTGCCTTACATCAACTTATGATTCTGATCGGTCCTGGACCAATCTGTCATGCATATAATTTTTGGCTTTGTTTCTTTTCGATTACCTGTGGGCCACGGCTGAATCAGGATCGGACATAAACCCTAAAAATCAGAGCAAATTTAGAATTTGGCTCAATTTTTTTTAGGATTTTAGGTTTTTAAAATTTTATTTGACATGGATGGGTTTTTGTTTTGATTTTCAAACGAATATTTTTCTTATTTTTCTTTTAGAAATTAATAATTCTTCTTTTGGTTTTTCATTTTAAAATTTCAAATGCTTGTAATTTTTTGCTTTGATTTGATTTATAGTGTATCATCCATTGGTATGAAATTGCAGGTGATTGACTTGTTGCTTAGCTCTAGATCTAATATCACAATCTTCAGAGATTTCATTGAAGTGAACTCTTTAAACGCCAATGGCTTCACACCTCTTGATGTGTTACATCACTTTGGAGGTGAACCAGAAGACACAGAGATTCATCAGATCCTCCGTGAAGCAGGAGCTGTAAGATCCAGAGATCATAACACAAGACAAGCAGCAGAAACAACAACAGAGAACGAAACAACACAATCAGAAGAATCTCTGACGACTCACAAGCAATGGCTAGATTACTTCAAGAGCAAGAAAGACAGAGTTTCACCTAACGAAATCCGCAGTGTCTTACTAGTTATCGCGATTCTGATAGCCACAGCGACTTATCAAGCCGCGCTAAGTCCACCTGGAGGTGTTTGGCAAGAAGATTACTGCAACAATGGATACTGTCAAGAAACTGACACAAAAGGAAAGAAAACCAAGCCGCTTTATCACGCTGGGACAACGATAATGGGATCGAAGAATTGGATCTCTTACGGCATCTTTATCTTCTTAAACTCAATAGGGTTTTTCACTTCTATTGAACTAATCTCATTACTCACAAAAGGTCTCCCTTTCTACCTTGAGATGCAAGTTTCACTGAATGCTGTTGCCTTGACCTATGGATTTGCAATGGCTGCACTTTCTCCTAGTTTCGGATTAGGCCTCTTCTTCTTGGTGATCTCCGTGGTAATACCCATCTCAGTAGCGAAAATCCCGAGTCTAATCCGGAAACATACCAAGAAAACAAGAGTCTCTCCTCTAAGAAGTAGTTCAACAACTACCTCCTAAAATCCCAAGTTTCAGTCTCAAAATTCTAATTCCCCTGTTTCTTTTTTTTGGTTTCTTAGTTGTTTTGTGTTCTTGTGTTGTTCTTGAGTCAAAAGGTAAAAACTTTTTATGTTGTTGTCAATATCCCATTATGTGTATCATGCAAGTCACAGTCTCTTAGCCTCTTTCAAGTTGTCTATTGACTGAGATTTCTTTATCGTTACACTCTGTCTCTGCTCTGCACATGTTCTTTTGTTCCCTTTATTGAACCAGAAACAACAAATCTTATTCACAAATCCCAATTATTGTACCTTCTGGTTACTATTATTACTAAAATAACAACCCATGTTTCTGATCTGACATGGGTAAAATTTGAATATCAGACAAAACAAAAAAATAATCATAACATTTTCTAGTTATTTTAAACTTAGGGTTACTAGTGTACATTTAAATTCTTTGCCCAAGCCAGTCTGTAAAGATGAATCATCCCATCTGTCCACATCTAAATATATATATAGAGAGAAAGAGAGAGAAATGGGGTCAAGAGCTCACTGGCTTGATTTTGAATTTCTTAATCGAGATTGATTAAGACAAAGATAAGAGTTCCCTGCCGACTAATCTCTACATCATCATCTACATCTACACAATTCATTAAAAAAAAAAAAGAGGGGCCGAGAATGATCAAATGTTTATGAAAAAAAGAACTAAAAAAGATTTTGATATTTTTTTGTTTTTTTTTTGGATTTTTATGTGAATCAAACAGCGAGTTGTTGCTTCTGATGAGAAGCTTCATCTTCGTTGAAGGCACTGACAGATCTTGGTGGGGCAACGACGAGAGAGAGAGGTTGAAGAAGAGTCATTTCCTTTTGAAGATAAGAGAAGTAAGCGTGGAATGTGTTTGGCGTCACGTTTAAATCAAATCCTAACCCGAATAAGAAATCCAGCTCCAGAAGATTCATCTCTTTCGTGCTTATCCCTCCCACTTTCGCGTAATACGCATTGTTGTAGTACCTGTTCAATTACCGAATTTAGGGTTTAGAGATTCATAATCAAATCAATTCATCATATAAATAATTAGAATTTAAGGCCTAGAACTTCAATTTTAGAGGTAAGAAACAGAGAGCCATAAAAACAGGGGATTGATTGATTATTTGATTAACCATTATGATGTTCTTGACCAAACAGAGATTAAAACTGAATTTAGGGTTTTAAAACAGAATCAGGCTAACATTTTTTTAAAAGGATATTTTTTTAGATTCAGACAAAACAGAAGAAACAGAGCATTTTATGAAACAGGGGATTGATTGATCATACATTGAGGGATGTCTGAAAATTTAGTTGTGATAGTGAATTCAGAGCTCGAAATCTGAGTGTCACTTTCAATTGTAAGATCAAGAAACGGAGAAACTTACAGATCATCGAGGAATTTAGCAGAGACCATGACACTGGTAATGAGGAGACGATGAACGTTAAAGGAATTAATCGGAAGCGAAGGTTGTCTGTGAGTGAAACGGTCGAGATAAACATACGCCACGACGAAGCAAGAGGGACTACAATTAGCGTATTTGAAAATCCTCTCGAGGTAGCTCTGAATCGTTATGGTGGGTCGACTCAGTCCGTGGAACACCGACACCCTCTGTGACTGAGTCGTGACTCGCCGAGTTAGATCGTTAGATTCGGCGACTCGTTCTAGCAACGAAGATAAGAAGGCTATTAGCTTCGGCATTACTCCTGGACTCTCAAGCTCAGCCATTTTCTGTGTATGAGAGAGAGAAAAAAGGAAATTTAATTTTCTGTGTGATCAGAGGAAGAAGTCTCTCTTTGCTCTGCTCTGTTGCTAATGGCTTGTGTTTTTAAGTTGGTCGTTATATTGGGTGGTTATTATTTATTTTTTATTTTTTAAGTAAGTATTTTATTTTATTATTTAAGAGGTTGGTATGTATATAATTTTTTTTTTTGGATCAAATTTTCAATTTTAGGAATGTGTCCCTTTTGGATATTCAATTGTGTTTACTTATTACTCATTAGCTCTTGGTCTATCTATCACCGTCGGCGGTGGAACCGAAATAAATAAACTATAGCGAAATAAATAAATAAACGACTCATTTGAATACGTAACAGAAAAGGGAAAGTGGTGCTTTTATTTCATAAGTTGGGTTAATGATGATTACTGAATTTGAAAACTTAAGTTGTAACAAGAGGGAAACACAATTAATACAATACATCAAATCGACGCAGATGAACGTAATATCATATCCTAATTAATATATATATATATATATATGCATTATGATTTTTTTAACCTAATATAAATGTGATTTGAGGAAATTAAACGTACAAATTATAAAATATCAGAAATAAGTAGGGATGATAATAGATACAGTTATGTGAATTACAAGGAAAATGTATAACAACTATGCGTGTCTAAGTTTTTTTGTTTGTAATGTGGAGATGGGATCCCATACTATATACTCATCATGTTACATGACATGTGGGAAAATTAATTTAAATTAGAAAGTCACGGTAGTGATCTAACGAAATGCATGTGTTTCTAATAATGCGAATCAATTCCCATCTGGTAACATACCATTTAATCCTTTCTTCATAGCCCCCAAAAAAATATAGATTGTTAAAAAAGTGTAGATATTAATAAATTATAGACCGATCTAAATCTAACATGCCAAGATGAACAGCTAATTTGGACGCATTTAGGCAAAGTTCTTAGACCAGCAAAACCCAAAAGTTTAAAAGCAAAAAAAAAAGGAGAAATAGGAAGAGATTTTCACGTTAACAAAAAAAAGAAGAAGATTTTCACTTTTTTCGTTAAAAGAAAATGTTTTAACTTTACAGGACGATATGTCAACTTGTGTGATCATCCTCCCTTTGGAACGTTACAAATTTAATGGAGTTTATCTAACAATAAAGGTTAAACTATCTATGAAAGCGTATAAAAAAATAATGAAAAAAAAATCATCTTGTTATGTGCTTGCATGTGAAGTCCTTCTATATAAAAAAAATGAAAAAATTTTGCGGATCAACCGAAATTCAAATTATCGACTTTGAATGCAAATGAAATTTACGTGGAATGCATTTAATGTGTGGGACTATAAAAAAAAAACTCAACGATATGTTTTGCTAGGTATAGAACATTAGAACATGATCACTATTCACTAGATTATCAAAATTTTTACTACTGATCCTCTACCATTCTACCCAATTTGCAATCCAACAACTGATGCATTTTTGTTAGTACGTTAGTAATTAATTTATCCTCCATATAACATCAAAATATAGCCCCTGTCAAAGTTCATTCATGAACTATAAACTGAAGTAGACAAAAATTGATTAACAAGTACGTACGCAGGGTTTACGCGTATTATGTGGCCAATGTTTTTTATTTGTACCTGATCGTATACTTACCTGAAGTTACAAGAAAAAAACAATTAATTAAACATGACAGCCAGGTTAGATGTTAACTGATTGTGATTGGAGTGATGAAAAAGTAAAGCATGTCTCGTGAAAGAACTAAGAATAAATATATCTTTTTATACATACAATATCGTTATGATTTTAATTGTAGAAATAGTATATAGTATTATTTTTGGAGCATTTGGGGATCGTCAATAACTGCGTAACGTGTCTCTCGCTTCTCGTATCTTTTTCATACCCAATTTCCATGTGCTGCTGCATGTGACCCTCTATATCCTTCAAATACTCCTTTTTTCTTAAGTTTAATTCATATAATAATAGTATGTATAAGGGATACAAAATAGTTTTGATTCACAATATTGCGTTTGAGAGAACATTTAATATATTGATTTATAGTGTAGGCATAGTATGCATAATTTTATAGAATTATATAAAGATCGGTGGACCACATTAGTTGGTAGCCTTATACAATTATCCAAAATTCTGAATGCGTCTGTAGAAATTTGCAAGTTTTTTTTTTCAGTGAATGTATTTATTTAAATCAGAGCAGATCCTTTTGTGTTGAAGACTTTATCTGACCAATCTATTTTTATTTGGTGGGCCTAGCTATTATCCATTTCATTTTAAGTTGAATACGACGATATTGTTCTACAAATATCTTCAAAAAAGATCGAGATGAGTAATAAAACAATCGTTCGTGGAAAAAATCAAGAAAGCAAATAGTTGTGGTTAGAAGAAAAAAATAGAAGACCAAAACAAAAATAAATAGTTGTTGTTGGCTTGTAGCCTTATTTGTGAGAATCTAATATTTAACCAATGGTTTGCTGCCACGTGATGATCAAAGAAAGAACCTCACTTTTGAGACGATTTTGGGCCTAAACATGGGCCGTTTTCAACAACCCAATTATAAAGAATATTGTAGTGTTGAGCCAAGACAAAACAAATCTTACCATATCTCTATTACTTTCCCCAAAATCCTATTATAGAGAAACTTTTGTAAATTTGTAATGTTAATCCAAGAGAAAAAGTAAAATCTTTACCATAATAATGGTGAAATGAAGATAAACCAAAACAAATCTAGACATCAGATCATAAATCTTACTTTTTGTCCCTCAAGGCTCTATGCATGATGCCATGATGTTGCTATTGGTTGAGGGAATCAATACCCTATGATACATTAATTTTTTACTAAAATCCAAAAGAAAAAGAAAAACTTTATGCTTTCTTCCTCTTTAGTCTTTACTTGTTTAATATTCCATTCCATTAGGAAAATCTCGTCATAACGAAATGAGAAGTGTTAACAAATCGTGTAATAAGAGGTGGACCAATATATGTATAATAAAAAAAGTGAGGGATGTGTCAGGGCACAAAATAGGTGGCTTACTCAGTTTTTCACACTCCACTTGTGTCAGGCACACATCATAAGCAGCGAGTCACATGCCCTGACTCAGTTTTAACGGGATCACCGTTCGCCATTATAGCTTTTTACATCTATAAATATATTAAGTAACCATCTCAATGTTTTATATTAAATCTATAGTTTTCTTTGTTTTAGGTTTCTGTTCAACAAGCTTTCACTAATTAGGTAGAGTGAAGAAAAGAGAATGTCTGCAGTAGAATTTGAGTTGGTTCTCCATTCCATTAATGGCCACACTGCACTTGCAATATCGTTCAAGAACGAAGGTGATGATGACGATGATGTAGTCTATGATTACGCTCCGGCTGCATGAGTCAATCATCTATAGTTATAACATCATCATTAGGAAGAGAGAAGCTTTAGTAGGTAGCTAGATTTATATAGCCCTAATTAGCAATATATATGTGATATGTAATATATAGACCATGAGCTAGTTTGTAGCTAGGTTTGCTTGAGTGTTGTTACTACTTATAACATTATAATAAATCTGTTATTGAACTCCTTTTTTATGATACTTTATGGCTCAGACTTAAAACTCATCGTACCAGTTTCATAATGTTGAATCGTGGACATCTCTCGCTGGCGTTTGTGATAATCTTATGACATGTGTCACACTAATCAAGTTTATCAAATATGTATATGTTTGCTATATGTTAGTTTTCTAATTAATCGTTTTTTTAGCGTGGAACTCGATTGTTGCAAATCAAAGTGAATTTTTTTTTTCCCGTATAACTCTTGAATTTGATTCAAAACAGCGGGAAATATTTTGTAACTTTTACATTATAATGGTGTCATGATGAACCAATATAAATCGTGTGTGACATAAGTTTTCTTCTGTCTAAGTCGAATTTGAGAAATTTTCTATATAGGAGATCGATTTTGTAGGAGTAGATTCATTTTGCTTATCAAGAAAAAAATATCTTATGTTCTTCAGTCGGTAAGTATTTTGTTTCAACATCACTTTACCGAATGATCGTACTGCGTCACGTGATCAAACTCAAAATACTAATCCACTGAGAGTATATATGGATGATCATAAACGAAAAGTCAAGAATATATATAACATCTGATGATATACTCTTGAACAACACATGCAATTTGACCCCCAGAGAGAAAAGAAAAAACACATGCAATATCAAATATGCAATAAATCACACGTCCATATGTGCATATTTATATATCTGTCTATATATATATATATATATATATTTTTTAGGGAGAGAAATTAGAAGGAAGAGAGACAATCATGGTCAGGAGAAGTGGAGTCATCAGAGGGAATGTGGTTGTGACGACCTTCGTAAGTAGTAATCACCATTCTACAATCTTCCGACAGTCGCTCCACTCTCTTCTTCACCCTACAGTTGTTGTATGTGCATCTGTAATAACTCCTGTATATATATTTCCACATTTTTGTTTTAATTTCTTATACACATCATTAGACACAATAGTTAGTATCAATTAATCAACTATATAATTAGAAACAAAAATGTGAAATTGAGAATATGATGAGCCTTATAATGTATAAACAAAAATAGTTGGAAAATGTGTAGACTTTGCACAATAAAAAGAGACAAATATAGAACATATTGTGTTGCATTCTTAATGATGACAACCCTTGAGGAACGTACGATACATACTAAAACTGCAACATATACGTACAATAATATTCTACAGAAAATGTATACAAATGTATGAGCAGTCATGTCTATAGTACTTGAGCTAAGATTCGGCAACAGTCTGAAGAGAGAATATTATGATACACCTAAATTTAGTTCCTACCTCAGCTTTTACGAAGCTATCAATCATCAATCAATGTGATTATACGAGAATCATTATGCACATGTTATCAGAAGTATTGGTAATGTTAATTTAGACTAATTAATAGAGTTGATTAAATATGGTGGTGTTTATGAATTACCTGGGGTGAAGGCTGTTCTTGACGACTTTCTGACCGTATTTACGCCATTTGTAGCCATCGTCGAGGACATCGACATCGCTTTTTGTCTGGAAACAAAATCTTGGCTCTCTTAGTTTCCTCCTTATCTTCACTTTGTTCTTCTCTCCACTCCCACTACTTGATCTCCACCTGCAAATGCAATCATTCTATTATGTATTGGGAGCTTATTTATTCCTTAGGTTTAATTATCCTATGTCATAAGGCTTTGTATATACTCTATCTTTTTATTGGATCTCAAGATATTTCAAGGGAAATCCATAAAATTGATAGTGTTGAGGACACCCAAAAGAGAAAGAGAAAGAGAAAGTCCATTTATTGAACAAATAAAAATTAATATTCCAACTTTCTCATTTAGGTATTAGTTGATGGTAGAAGAAGAAGAAAGTAATGGATACATGTTCAAGTTTAAGTGAGCTAAATTACCAGGAATTAGAATGGGCATCACTGTTAATTCCAGCTCTAAGATGTTCCTGATCATCACTAACCACCTTTGAATTTGATCCCAATGGTCCTCCACCCTACAAAAGTGATATTAAAACTTTCCAAATTAGGATGAATCAATACTTAAACTACAAAAACAGGATCATCACAAATACGAATCATATATATATATATATATAGAAAGCGAGATCATAGCTAGACCTGAAGATTATTAGAAAACCCTAGAGGTGCATGTGTAGTATTAGTAGTAGAGGAAGAGTTGTGAATGGGGAAAGAAGGAGAAGAGAGAGAAGAGGAAGAAGAAGTAGAGAAGAAGGTTAAGACATTGGTTTCTTCAAAAGGGACGAGGAAGTTCATATTCTCTTGAATCGTCGTCGACGACGATGTCACTTGTTGTAGATCGTAATTATTGACTACTACTCTTCTCCCTCCTCCTTCCATTATATTAATCCTAAATCTCCCTTCTCCTTTTTTTTGTTGACTATTGTGTATCAATTTTGTAATAGTGTATCACACTAATTTTGTCTATATTTAACTTATATTAATGAAGTTTATAAATGTTACTTTGACGTTTTATCTTCTCTTGCTTTCATATAGAGGCTTAGAGAGGTAGGGTTTCGTGTGTACGTCCCCACACGTGTCAAAAACCCTCTAAACGTATCATTTGTACCATTCGTGTCTTTGGCAGTCAGCTTCATGTGAAATGTTTCTAAGTTTTATAATCATATCACTAAAAAAACAAAAGTTTGTTCGGCTGAATATATAAATATATATATATATATATATATTTCTCAATACATGGGGGGAAATAATATTCTATGTAAATTTCTTCTTTCACCAATAATTTTTGTTTGCAGCGATTGTTCAATAAGTTGATAATGATGTGTAAAATCTTACTTCCTATCACCATTGATTGTCTTCTTAATTAGACTATAAACGAATTTACTTTCATTTATTTAAGCAAGTACTTTGCATCATTAACTGAACCTAACCATTCCATAATGACGCCAACAAAGGGTTTGGAGTTTAGACAGATTGTAATGACCAGCTTTCTGAAGCAAGTCAAGCAACCGAAAGAATTAAAAATCTAACTAATCAAATGAAGTAAAGATTTATCTTAATTAAATAAGAAATTGGGGACATTTTCATTTCACATGACAATTTAGAGAGAGAGAGAGAGAGAGAGAGAGAGAGAGAGAGAGAGAGAGAGAGAGAGAGAGAGAGAGAGAGAGAGAGAGAGAGAGTTGTCAAGGAGGTAATCGAGTGTGTGGTGGAGGTACATCAAAGCTTCCATCCATCTCAAGATGTGTCCTAAAGCTGATGATGGAAACGACACCCAGAAAAGTTACCTCTTCCCAAATCATGTCGAATCCACCACCTTCATAAGTTTTGTTTGTAATTTAATCCCAATGATCTTTTTTTTTCTTAATAGAATCATTTCACGAAACTAACTAATCTAAGCTATATTTATCGTCGCTTCTTTTATGTTTCTTTTTATATACTAAAAAGTATCATGTACAATGTTCTAAGACTCGTTAGATGTAAATCGGGTGACAAGAAAACCTAAATATTGTTTAGTCATTAATCTTCTCTTATAATTATATATTTAGACCCAATAGATTGAATTAGTCAATTGATTATAATTGGTTGTTTGCTTATATTCCATTATGATTCATTTTGCATATAGATTGATCAATTTAGCTAGCCAAATTTATCTAACTTAATCATATCTACAAAACTAAACGGTGTATTTTAAACGTCTGATTATAATTGATTATGTGCTTATACTGTTAGAGTATCGTGAATTTGATAACTACACACAACAACACCTCAGGAAAAGAGCAGGCCAACTTCCTCCACAATAGCAACACAAAGCAACAATGACTAATAACAAAGCATATAATATATATAACAAAAATTTTTAATCTTCTTTAGGACAATTTTACTTTGCCGGTCCAATTTACTCCGCAATTAACTATCTACTTAATGAGGAACACTTGCTTAAATAGGCACTAAAGGAACTCTAATATATTATTAACTAGTTTATTGATATTATTCTTACCGACACCAGGATAAAACTATAAAGCATGGCCAAGTTAGGTCTCAATAGCTAAGGAAAACGTTTTTTTATTGTTTGTATTTGCGTTCAAACAAATTCATATATATACATATACATTTCTTTTTATAAAAATAATTTACAAATTGGAACTACAAACATGATGCAAAACGTAATCGAAATGTTTACCTTGTACAATGATCTAATAAAACAACATTTGTAGATCTTGTTTTAAATAGTAATGGAACATAATTTCGTAACATGTATATGCAGCAATAAACACATACGTATGGAAGAATCAAAAGATGAAAATGAAAGGAGAAAGATGATGATGAGAGAAGGGCATTTAATTTATTAATTGTGAGGTCATAGGTTAAGAAAAGAGACAAAGAGAGGAATATTAAAGGTTATATATAATAGGGGATGAATTCCATGCAACAATGATTACACGTTTCAATCAAATCCGTAAGGAATTTTTTCCAAATTTAATGATGGTGAGATTTCTAAGGCATCTCTTTTCTTTTTCTTCTCTTGTAGGTTCCCACTGTGTCTCCCCCCTCCATTTTTTTCACTCTTTCTTTTTCTCTCTTTTTTTTTCCTACTTATTTGAATTTCAAGTGGAGATAGAAAAGCCGATACTTAATTCCAAATGATTGACAAGTTAGAGAAAAAAAATTAAGTTGAATGATTCATTCCTATAAATTCCTTTGAAAATTAACCATTTAAGATAAATATGTATTCTGCTAAAATATCTTGGACTCCACATAATTAGAGGAAAAATGATTGATTCCTCTCAAATTTATTATTCAAAAAAAAAAAAGAGAATACGAGAGGAAAGATTTTATTCAGCTAAGTAACATTATTCCCTTCAATTTTATTCAACTGATTATTATTCCTCTCATTCAACTTATTCCTTTTATTTATAACCATTTGCACCCAAAATTTTACGATCCAACAATAAATAAGTTGTTATATATATATATTATATATATTCACATGAAACCCCCCTTCTCTCCAATGAAGTTTGATTTTAAGTTTTTTTTATGTTACGCCGATATTAGTCTAAAGTTTAATTTACAAGACGGGTTAACAAAAAAAAGTAAGCTTTCATTACCATTTTTAGAAACTCACATAATATCAAGATAATCTCCAAAATGTGAAATATGAAAGTTTTTTTAATTGTTTAGGGGATTGATTATGAGATTATAAATTAGTGTGGGGTATAAATCTCATAATATGCAAGTTATCTCTAAACAATTTTGATCATTCCTCGTACTGCGAATTTTATAGAAGACATCATAATCCTTTCATAGTGACATAATAAACCTTTTCTGTTTCTGACTTGGTCCAAAATATGACCCAATGGGCTTAGTGAACTCCAACCACTTAAACTAAAGGCCCAATTGGTTTCATATCCCCAACTAATATAAGTTCGATTATCTTTGTCGCCGGAAACTTGAGCCATTTGCAAATGTACGGTGGTGTTAACAAAAAGAACATTTACTGTATTATAGCTTTACTAAACATCAGCTACTGTTACTTACATGTACTAAAGATTAAACATCAATCTGAAACAGAGGAAACACACAGAACAAGAGACGAGTTTTACTACTTGGGTTCTTCTGTCCATCGTCTCTTCACTTCAGATTTGGATCTAACTTCTTTGAGATTCCCATCCAAACCATAATCTCTCTCCATCACAAGATTGATCCCTTCATCTGAGTACCATCCAACTCCAACGCACAAGACTCCATCTTTCTTCACATCCACGTAAGCAGTCACACCACCAGGGAGCCACATCACAGACACATCTTGCATATCTACAATCTCTTCCTCTCCAAACGAAACCGAACTTTCCGGTAAGTTCCTTCTCTTCAGAGCTTCTGTGCACAAGTACACGTACGGTGTGGTTTCATCACTGCTTTGACCTGACAGCTCCATTTCCTCTTCTTCTCCATAGATTGGAGTTGCACTCACTTCAAATACTTTCCACGATCCCGTTAGTTCTGATGGTTGCGTGCGTTTCCTCTGTGAGAATGGTTTCAATTCCAATGGTGCGTCATTGTTACTGATACATACATGTATCGCCAATGGTCAGGAACAGCGACATACATACCCGAGTGAGATTGATAAATAAATCACAAAGTCAGAGTTAACCTTTGTTCTTCATAATTCGATGGACTAACCCACTGTTCTTCATAAACACCAACTCTCATTATCTGTATATCTGCACCACCATTGGCGAACTCTATGGTGTGGACTACTCTCAGTCTCTTATGACAACCCTTCACCAAACACTGGCCGAGAAGAAAGAGCAATGAGCCACCATTTATGCGTAAAAGGACCAAACTTGAAAAACTCAAAAAGCAAAAGTACACACATATATATATATATATACCTGTTCAAACTTGAAAGTGGGTGTGAGGTAATAGTTTGATTTACTCATCTCCCCAACAGGGATTGTAACTGGACCTCTGGAATAGGATCCATCCTGTTGCATCAAGCAAATAGGAAACATTAAGCTCAACTAATGGAAGAATGAGAACCAAGTAGCTTCAATGAACAAGAACACTGAGCCATCATACCTCAAAGTAAACGAGGCCAGGCTCGTCTCCCATGGAGTCCTCTTCCATGACATCGCTCGCTTTCAAGTCAAAAGATTCGAACTTGGGCAAACGGCTATCTACACCGTTCTGGTCAACGGGTGTCTCATCTTTAACCTCAGCATTCTGGAATAACTCTCCATGAGGATTCAAAGTGACCCAATTGATTCTCCTCTGTATCTCAGACGATGCTGAAGATCCTCCAGAAGGTGATGGCAACGCTTCGATCCGAGAAAGAGTATAGCAATCGTAGAGATTCTCGTTCTTCTTCCCGATTTCGATCGGCTCCATCTCTGCTGTTATCGGCGAGAACACAGCTCCTACTCCTTTCCATATCCCACTTACACTGCTCGCAAATGTTCTCCAAACAGGTTTTATCACAGGTTCCTAATATTCATCGATCCCGATTAGAATCGCTAATTTCGCAGACAAAATTTGAGAAATTGAAGAGATGAAGATCGAAACCTGGGTTTGAAGAACAGTCTCAGTCTCAATTAACATCGTCCCTGAAACCAAAACCCTACCATTTTTACCCTTCCTTCCTCCACCTAGTCTCTTCCCTCTCCCTCCTCTCCCCTTTGGCTTCCGCTTCCGCTTCTCATTCTCCGCCATCTCGTTATCTACGCTCCATGTATTCTCTTTACTACCCTTCAGAGTCGCTTTCCCTTTGTTTCCCGGACGGCTGTTTCCGTCGTTTGGTTTGTAGCTCTGCGCGACGATTCTGCTCCCGTTGCCATTCTTGGGTCGCCGGAATTTGCAGATTGAAGGGGCTAGAAGAGCATTGTCAAACCCAAAGCACGGATTGTGGTATTGGCATGAAGGTAGAGAAGAAGTGAAGCTTTTGCAGATATGGAGAAATGGCGTTTGCATCATATCTTCTTCGAGAGAATCAAATAACAGATTATGAAGGACTAAGCAAAGAATTTTTTTTTACGAATCTTCTTCAATCGCGTTGAAACATGTCGATGATGATTAAATGGGCCGTTGTTACAGGCCTATGCTCGTAATGTTAATTAAATATTTCAACAGCCCAAATTAGCCCATCATGATCCTATTGGGAATAATATAGCATCCTCTTTTCTTTTCTCTTGTTCGGAACTAAAACTCTGTAATTGGCTAGAAAGGTTTACTGGGAATCGACGTCTGCTTTAAGGCCGACAAAGTTAATGGACCACGAGGAGTTTAAAAAGTATAGATTTCTTTCTTTCTTCTTTTCTTCAAAAGGTCTAATAATTACTTTTTTTCAGTCTCAATTTAAAAACAATATTGTTGATACCTTTTTCGTGTATCGCATAATGGTAGTTAAGAAAGTAAACGTGCATAATGAAGTTCAAGACATTGTAAAACTAAAACATAAAGACGTAATTTTCAGATTAGTGGGTTTAGTTTTCTCACGACAAAGGTATTTTGGAAACTTGAAATGATGCATTGGCGAATGAAGCATGACCAGAGACAAAGGTCATTGGATAAAGTAGGTCTTTTTTGTTGCGTAAAGCAAAAGTAATGTAGTAATAAAACATTAAAAATGAATGAGATACATGGATCTTAAATATTTAGTTGACAAAATTGACAGCGGAAGAAAACATACATGAAGGCCATAAACTAAGAAGAGCTTTGACCAAATCGTAAGGTAAATAAGCTTTGAGAATCAGAAGAAGATCTAAATATCCAACTGGTGCAACGGTTGTACCCGTTGTGTCTCCACAGCTTGCTAGTTTCATACTACTTCTTTATTGTTTCGACGATACTACAATGATGATAATATAAAATATGGAATAAATAGTATTAAATGTGTTCAAGATTGGTTTTGTATTCCGTCGACAACCCAATTTATTAGTTTTGTCTGTCAAATACTCGATCACTAGATTTAGTCCTTTTCCACTCAAAATTGTTTTTTTTTTATAATTTTTTTCTTTTCGACAAAGATATTTCATAATATATTGGTAGGTGACTGAATAAAATATGAAATATTTTCTTAAGTTAGAACCGGTAGCAGTAGCACTAATAAAGTGGTTAAAATCATTAAAATGGGTTGGGATTAACAATATTTGAATATATTCATCATGAGATTTTGATACAAGGCAAATAATTATAATTTCCACCCTCTTTCTATACGTGATAGTTGATAATACCCGTACATGGAAAAGCTTGTAGCTCTTACTTTGAGTTCAAGTAAAGGTGTTGAAATTATTTATGTTCTTGCTCCTTTTGAAGCATGAAAGAATGTGATCGCTTTTTGTAGCCATAGGATTATTATATCTTCTTTGGGACCTATGAAACGTTTTTTAATCTACTGCATGCAGATAATATTCATAAATTTAAAATTCCACATGATCTAACATTCAGTCCCGCTCAACCTTTTTTGTACATTGTTAAAATGGACACCGGATCTCACTTGAAAAAAAAACATCGATTTTTTTTAACCGAAGTAGAATTCAAATAACCCAATATTGAATAGAAAATTTTATTTGGTAGTGGGATAGAGAAAAGCATGTTGTGAAGAAGAGTGGACAAAGTTGCATAGTACAGATGGTAGTGAACAGTCTTGATCGAGTTCCAGTGACGCTAACTGACATGATAGAAGATTACACGTACCACAAGTTAGGGGTGGGTACGGATCGGTTATCTGAAATTTTTTAAGTATTTGTGGTTTGCTCCGTTTTTAACGGATATTTAATTTTATAATTTGATTTGCTCCAGAAATATACGGATATCCGGATTTTTGGATATCCGGAAAATTTACAAGTATTTACAGATATTTACAGATATTTATGAATATTTAGTTTGATCCGTTTAATATACGCAAAACTGAAAATACATCAATTTTTATTATAAAAAAAATATTTTTCATCTAAACTATTAAGTGAAAATAACTAAAAGAAAACATTTTACCTTATAAAAAATCTATAAAAAATAAACCTACAAAATTAAGATGAGGAAAAATGATATTTTATATTTAAAAATAATATTAAGTATTTGAAACTTTAATATTAAACTTTACTAAAAAATATTTGTTGATATTTATTAACTAATATCAAATAAAATATTATTTATTAACATATTTTAAGTTTAAATATATTATTTATTTTTATAATTGGTTATTTAGTCATTTATTTTATATAATCAAAAGAATTTAGAAAAAATTGAAAATTTAGAAAGAAAATCGAGAGTATATTAATAAAAGATTATAATATAATTGATATATACATGATAATATATACTAATATATAATAAATTTATAAAGATACGGATCAGATCGGATATCCGACGTTGTCTAAAAACATATTTGTGATTTGCTCCATTTTGTACGGATACTATATTTTGCTATTTGCTTTGCTCCGAAGCTTTATGAATATCCGAATTTTTCGAATCAAATCGAAGTAAATACTGGTTCAAAGTGGATATACCGAATATTTTGTCCACCCTTACCACAAGTTCTAGAAAACTATAGAACGCAACATATATATAAAAATAACCTCCGAATTTTGTTGATTTGAATGTAACATCTTCTAAAAGTTTCATTTAATTTGAAAAGATCTCTTTGTAGACATGTCACATGTATAATGATTGATTTATAATATCGTGGACCAAAAAAACAAACAGAGTAATTACACGCAGGCCGGCTTTAGTTAAACTTCAGCCATCAAAACAGATGGTCCATGCCTCTTGCAACTGTACATGCATGATTTGTAAAAAAAATGTATATATATATATATATATATAGGTAGCTTACCCAAAAAATGAATCATATATACAAATCCGTTAAGTTTACGTAAAATTAAATTTCATCTACAGCATCACAAATTTGTTGCAACAAACATCAACCCATTTGCTGCAACAACAACTATGTATTGTTTATGTTGAAATAAAGTTTTTGATACAAAAGTACTTTTTTTTTTATCAACCTCTTTAGTCTAACACAATCACATTTCATTTTATATGACAGTATTAGATAAAGTTACAGAATAGTTTGCCAGAAAATTAGACAATCGAGTTCATTTTTTTTATATAGAAATTATTGTAGTTGATAAAAGAAAAAATTGCCTACAGATTATCTTGTTCCACCATAATATTGCAAACAAAAAAAAAGGATTAAATTCACAAAAACAAATGAATAAATTGGTTGACGTTTGACTTTGAGTACCAAATTTATTAACCTAACTCTCACACGAGTCGCTTTTTTCCGGTATGACTTGTGTGACGAAGCTGATGGCGATTGAAGTGCACGCGCGGGGTCCTCCAGCCTAATTTGCCACCTGTTCCCCAAGCCCAGCCCGTCGTTACAGTGACGTAACTATAAATATCCCATTTTTTTATTTTAATTTTGTTTTGCGGAAACTCCCCAAAAATAAAGAAAGAAATTAGAAAGAAACGACGAAAAATTATATGCGGAATATTGTTCTTTCCTTCTTCCTCCCCTTTCCGCTTGATTACGCCGTCCGATTATCTCTATCGCCGATAAAATCCTGCGCAACTCAGTAGATCTTTGAAACCAACAGTTGTTTTTCTTGCTTGTATCCTCGAAAAGCTCTTCTACGTCGTGCTCAAGATTCTCTCGAGGATTCTACAGCAATTTTCGAGTTTCATCGGTCTTTGATTCGATTGATTGAATTCTCCTTCTCAACGGTGATTGAAATTCTTCTTTCTACTCTCCTTTTTTATTTTTTTGAAGTTCGCTATATCGTTCGTGTGATTCGCATTGCGTCTGTATCTGATCAGGTTCCGATTGGTTTCATTCCGAGAGTTCTGTTTGATTCAGTATCCAATTTCTATTGCTGATTGGTTCTGCATTTGATTGTCGCAGGACGTCTCAGGAGATGGAGATTCTGAGGTAAATCGGAGGAGCGAAAATAGAACTTGGGATGGATGATAGAGAAGGCTCGTTCGTTGCCGTCAGGCGGATTTCTCAGGGTCTCGAACGCGGAAGCGTTTACAATCCCTCATCTGGTAATTTCAACCACTAAGCGTTTCTCTCTACAATGGCGGTTGCACTTTATTTATTTATTTTTTTTTCATTTTCCTGGGAATTTCTGTGTCGCAGATCTTTGTTTCTCTCTGATATACTCTCCATTTGCGCCTAGTGTAAATGCATTTTCAGCTTCAGAGTAGTAATGAACTGATTAGTTACCTTATCTTTGATTAACATTCCTGTTTGTTGTCAAGGAGCATTGTGTTAGTTAAGCCCTTAGTAATAGTATATGGCAGAGTTTCGTTGTATATTTGTCTATAAACCTTTTGTTGTGTGTGGTTTTGTAGAATTCTGATCTTTTTATATGTATTTAGAGATTTAGAGTAGCTTGCTTGCACGTATTATATAGACATAACATCAATTTCCTGATCATAAGTTCATAATTACATCTTCAAATCTGTGAACAACAGCTTACTCAGTATCTCGAATAAGCAGCTAGTATTCCTCTGTTGAAAAAATTGAATCTCCATAAACGTTGAAGTTTATTTGTTTTGTTATAGCTGAGGGTGTACCTGGATCAGCAGCTTGGTTAGGCCGGGGTCTTTCCTGTGTTTGTGCTCAGAGAAGAGATAGTGACGCTAATTCTACCTTTGATCTAACACCTGCTCAGGTACTTATTTTTCCACTATTTGGAGTTTAAAGTTAGAACTTTTTGGCAAACACTTATAATAACGTGTTTGTAAGTGTATCTAATAAAGCTCGACCCTGTTGTTGGAACTTGCAGGAGGAATGCTTGCAGAGTTTGCAGAACCGTATTGATGTGGCGTATGACAGCACAATACCTCTGCATCAGGTACACTTTACTTGAGGGTTATTAAGCTGTTAACTTTTTGTCATAATAAAACAAACAGACTTGAGCCATCAATCGGAAATGGTAGAAAGACTGCAGTTTTTTCCATCACTTTGGTTTCTTATTGCATGCTTGCATCATTAGTCCACATGTACCAGCTTTGGTAATTACTTTTTTAACTTCTTCAAATGCTCTCAGGAAGCTCTGAGGGATTTGTGGAAACTTGCTTTTCCTGAAGAAGAGCTTCATGGATTAATATCTGAGCAGTGGAAAGAGATGGGTTGGCAGGGGAAAGATCCGTCAACAGATTTTAGGTATTACACTGACTTTTCTTGTCATCTGTGTTACATTTCTTGCGTCCGTCTTCTTTGACTCACGGTGCAGCATTTGGCAGGGGTGGCGGTTTCATATCTCTTGAAAATTTGCTCTACTTCGCTAGGCACTTTCAGGTTTACCTATATACTACTATTACAAACGTTTCAGAAAAAGAATGAGTTACTTTTACTTTATTACTATAACTTTCCATGCACAATATGTATGTGTAGTTACGGGTATTGATACCCAGTAAATCATGATTTCCCTGATCTACTTTCATCACTTAATCTTAAACGCTACATGTCTATATGCTGCAGAAATCTTTCCAGGACCTTCTGAGGAAGCAGGTTGGGGATCGGTCTGTGTGGGAATACCCCTTTGCTGTGGCTGGTATCAATATAACATTCATGCTCATCCAGATGCTTGACCTTGAAGCAGGTATACAGCCACTCGAATTTACTTACTTGCCATTGTTAATATTTGACATATCAAGCCATAGTATTGGGAAGCCCATTATGATAGAATCCTATTGCATCGCATTAAGCAGCAGTCGTATTTGAGATAATCAAGGGGTTCACTAACAGTATATCCTTCATAACCTTTTACAGTGAAACCACGAACAATTGTTGGGGCAACTTTTCTGAAGTTTCTTTCTGGTAATCCCTCACACAATTAATGATTTTTTTTTATTTCCACCCAACAATGCTGTTTTCTTGTCATCAAATTGAAAAGCTTGTTTTACGCACATGGTGCTATAACTGGATCTTGACACTGATTCAGAAAAGTGTGTGGGGTTTTGTTTTGGGTGTTTGTGGTGTAAGCAGAGAACGAATCTGCCTTTGACCTTCTTTATTGCATTGCATTCAAGCTAATGGATCAGCAATGGCTTTCAATGCGTGCCTCATACATGGAGTTCAACGTAAGTACTTCGCTAATCATATCCATATACGATATTGTCTTTGCAAAACAGAGATATTGTGTTTTTGGTCATAATTAATCCATGACCTAAATGGCAACATACGATGATATTGACACAGACGGTGATGAAATCGACAAGGAGGCAGCTGGAGAGAGAGCTGATGCTGGAAGATATAACGCATCTTGAAGACTTGCCCTCCTACGCTCTTCTCTCTCAATAGCCTTATGATAATAAATAGCAAGAAGGAAGAGTTTCTAACCACTGTAATAACACAAAGGTTGCTCTGCTCTCTCTTCACTTTACATCTTCAACGATTTGGCTTCTGTCTCTTCTTTGATCTTTTATATTGTATCGTTTGTTGGTTGGCTCTAAGAAACAACTCCATCACCGAGTTGTAACTTGATATATTAAAAAAGAAAGAGAGAGAGAGAGAGAGAGAGAGAGGTTGGGATAAATATCAGTTTGGTTCTGGTTGCAAGGAGTGTGTAGGCTAAAATGGGCTTGGTTTCTAACAACTGTTGAGGTTTTTAGTAATTGCGTGTGTTGATTGATGTAAGACGATTGGGTAATGTTGTCGGTGTGGGGATAATAAATCGGTTTGGTTTGGTTTTATCTCCAAATTCAAAAGCAGTCTCCTCCGTAGAGGAACTCTTCCAGTGTTTGTATGTTGGTGGTCTTGAAAATCGCTTCTAATTGTTTATACCTGAGAATATTTGTGCGCGGATAGCAGAGATGGCGGCGTTCACAAGCAGTCACAAGCATATTAAATCTAAAAGCCTATTCGTCACCAGCACACGTGTGGTGGCATAATTGTCTCCATTTTCAAAAATAAAAACCATGAAGACATTTTTAGGTAATACTCAGTGCTTTTCTTTAAAAAAAGAAATCAGATTTAGAATCAACCACTAATAATAAAAAATATCAGCGCAAATGATTTTACGAAAAATTAAACAGCTTGCACAAACTAGTAAGTCTAACCGCATTAATAATGGCTTTGATCTTCGCTATGAATACTTGAGTTCGAATTTTATTTTGCTTAGACGGTAAGTGTAGGCTAACGGTAATGGCACGTGTCATACATTTAAGAATTCTTCAGGTTTTGACTTTTAGAGAAGCAAAAACAAAAGGAGACAGTTTTTATCTAACGGTTAGATATCCATCTTAATTTGAACCCTTTTTAGCGACAAAAAACAATTTCAATTCGAACTTTTAATCATCTTAATTTGAACCCTTTTTGATTACCACTATACTTCATTAACACCGACCGACAATAAATTTATATTGAGAGCACTTTTAAATTCGTTATAAAAAATAACCGGACGGCTACTTTAATTAATTAAAAAAATATAACCATTGATATATCATTTATCAAGTGGTTCTTAAACCAACTCTTTTGCAATCACTTTGGATATTTGCCATGGCGAGATGTTTGTCATCTTGAGAAGATGTGATTATAATTAGTAGACATCTCTTCAGTAAATGTGACATGAATTTTTTTTTCTCAGCTGGTAGAGGTATTGGAGCATTAAACTAAACATTTTTGATGATATATAGACTTCAACAATGTTTACATAGATAAGCTGATAATCGTTTCAATGAAATGGTGATTCAATATGTTAATTTAGAACATACTGATTGATGCTACTGATTCTATAATTTCAAAATTGTTTGAAGAGATTTTTGAGTATGAAAATGCACATATAGAAGGTATAATTCATTGTTGTGGTGTTAAGCTATATTAACAATTCACAGATTTAAAATGGCAAAAAAGAAAGCATTCATTCTAATATTTCTATCGAGCGTGAGTTTATATTATAATTCGCTCACATGAATTTTATCATTCTTTACAATATAGAGTTAGGTATAGAGACTGCATTATAAAAGTAATGTACTAGTGGTTCTTTTTACAAATTTATGAATGCAATGGTGCATTTTTTGTCCAAAAACTGCAGTTTTTTACATTTGGGATGATTCCAAAGAGACCATCAATTTTTGTTGTTAGATTAATTAGAGAATATAGGTATTTAAAAACTGCAAATGTGAAAACAATTTAGATATATGCATCATGTTTTGTAAGATCGTTAGTTTACTCATAGTTGTGTTTGTTTGATAAGCAACTGACTATGTTTTAGTTTACTTATAGTTGTGTCTGTTTGATAACCAATTGACTATGTTTTTGTTTATCATTTAGAGATGCTGCGTGTGAAGTCTTTCCTCTATTTGTGTCAATAATACTTTTCGACAGACTTTGAAAGGTAATGTTGTTATTCTCTATTCAGATCATTTACAATCAGATTTTTTTTATAGATCAATTAGAGAATTTAAGTGTTTAAAAACTGCATAATTGTGAAAACAAATTAGACATATGCATTCTATCTTATAAGATTATTAGAAATGTCATAAATTTCTTTTGTTTTTTCACTATCCTGTCAGTTTTTAACACTTAAATTTTCGTTTTTTGTTAGATATAACTTCTCAATTGTCATTAAGGTCTCTGTCAATAACATAATTTGAAAACTGCAGATTAATCACCATCACTATCTATTTCACATAATCGCAAACTCTGTTTTTTTTTTCCATGAAGATGGTTGCTGATAGAGTGAAGATGGAAGAAGAGAGTGTAGTTAAGATGAATAGTACGATATTATTGAGGTAACGTTCCCCAAAGCTCGGGAGGAAACAAGATTCATCGACTCACATATCAAGATTTCTAAAACCATGTCGGAAAACCCCAATCTCATACACAGAATGTAGTTGTGAATAAGCCAGAGTCTTGTTGAACACAACCACTGACACCTGACTTCACTCAAATTCCAGCGCAAGGTGAGGTGAGGTAAACTCTTCCTTTGGTGTAGGATGTGTCTTGTAAAAGGACCTTCTGGTGCAAAACCAGATCGCCAGTCTCTTGTCTCCACTATGTGTTTGAACTTGAACCACCAAGTCTTTGGAAACGTTTTCTGTTTCTTATTCTTCTTGTGTGCACTAGTGACACAGGCATAAACAAGTTTGTGATTGGTTTCAATGTTTCCTCCCAAATTGCTGATGGCCAATCATCACTGCAGAATCTAAGACTAGAAGTTCGAAGACAAGAATCGATTGTGGAATTATGAAATCGATTTTTGAGTCATCTTCCTGAAACATTTCTTCTTCTCTTTGATTCTGATGCCTCAGTCATTTGGACAAGTTGCATTCCTTTATGTGATGTCCTATACAATTAACAACCGCCACTATTCAGCAATTAACAACTGATTTCTTTGGAATTTATAATTGCTCATAGTTGTTGTTGATTCAGCAATTATATGTGATTCATTATTGAAAACATAATATTAAAAATCAATAATGAACTAATGTACACAAGAGTCATGTAGATCACGAGTGGGATATGGTGGTGGAGAAGAGCTGTACATGTGACTCCAAGACCAAATACACGGAGAAAGAGAATATGAAATACGAATGATGGAGTGGTTCCACACGAACGGAAAAAGAAATGGAAAATAATAATAATTTATTGCAACAAGAAAAAAAAACAAAAGAAAAGTGGAATGATAATGATGTGATAACGATAATCAAAATGCCAAAATAATAAAATCCTAATTATAAGAGCTGATGATGTGGCACACAACCAAAACCAAATAGATCAAAAGCAAACGCACTGACTCCACCCTGGCTCTCTAAACCGATTACATCCACAAACCATAACCCAACACCATCGAAACTCCGACCAAAACGTAACTCATCACTCCCTTAGAGGCACCACTTGCCTTGGGTGGAGGAGGAGATGTTGACCCTGAAGCCGGTGTGGGTGTTTCCGGAGTTCCTGCAGCCGGCGGTGAGTCCGGTGTGGTAGGAGTTGTCGGAGTTGTAGACGGCGGCGTAGGGGAGCCTGGAGTTCCGGAAGAGGCGGCTACGACCGTAACGGCAAGCTTCATGCCACTTTGACAGTGACCAGGTGTAGGGCAGATGAAGTATTTTGGTCCAACTGTCTTGAGATCGATCGTTGTGTCTCCGTCGGAATGAGAATCGATCGGTGTGCCTCCACAGCTATCGTAACCGGCTTTGTTCACTTCGTTTACTGAGTGTGAAGGACCATACTTGAACTCTGTTTTCAAATCCACAATCCAACAAAAACGTTAGTAAAAAAAAAACCAAGTAGATAGCTTCCTTGCGTAATAATTAATAGGTTATCTCGATTTTATCAAATATTTTTGGCTAACCCGAACCGATTTTATTAAACCAAACAAAAGATTGTAACTAAATTTGAATTTGATGATATATCTAAAAGCCCACAACTGAAACCGAACCAAAAAAGAAAAAAAAAAAACAGAAACCTGAGATGTTTTTCTTAGAATCAAGATATGAAACTCGAATTGAACATTTATAATTACAACACATCAATTTGATCATGAATACTTAACTCAACCGGACCGGATAGTAACGTACCTAGAGTGTCACCAACTCTAAAAGTCTTTCCTGTAACCCATGCTGTGTAGTCCACACCACTGTTCCATTGAGCAGTGCCTCCTACCGTGAATGTCTCAGCGAAAGCGGCTGGGACGACGGCCAGGACTAAGAGAAGAGCGGTTGCGACCATCTTGGACAAACCATTCATTGCCATTAATTTTTTTTATTTTGCTTAGAAGAAAGATAATTGTTTTAAAGATTGTGAAGAGAGGAAATGGTGATGGTGTTTATTATATAACAATGAGAGATGTGAGATTGAGAAGGACTATGGAAAAAAAATTAAGTAAATGGAATGTATGAAAAAGTCGCCGCCTCGCCAACTCATTCAACAACTTCATCCTCTCTTTTTCATTTTTCGTTGTTATTTTTATATTCATTTCTTTGTTTTCTAAGACATTGTCATGATGCGTACCAACTCTTTGTTCTTATATATTCAAAGGAATGGATAATTAATCGTAATTGATCGATGGCTCTTGGATGTAAATTATACGAACCTATATCACCCTAATGAGTGGCTTCTTCCTATTTGGTTTTTTATGTTTTTCTACCTTAAAGTATGCTGAGAACATGGGTTTGTTAATTTGCATATCTATAATGCAATTAATTTAAATTATAACTATTGTATTCATTAGTTGACAAAAAAAAAATAGTTGACAAAATAAAACTACTGTGTTAATAACGTATATCAAGTAACATGTTATAGAATTTGCAGGTGCCAAGGATTTCCTTCAAAATGAAGCAAAATATCAGCTAAATAGAATTTAATCTAATGCCTTAAAGACAGTATTTTTCCTTTTCTCGGTAGCATTTCTTATTTAACAAAGAACAAGTTTTTAAATGTATGAGTTCATATACTACTGTATTCCTTTTAGTTTTTTTTTTTGTTAATGTCTAATTGGCAATTGGTATATCTTCAAGACATCTCAATTTTGTAAGTTGTTTTAGTAAACCTTTTGGGGTTTTGTTTGTGTACGTTGAACAAGACTTTATCAATGCAACTCCTTTTAAAATTTATTTCTTGAATCACACGGAAAGGGTATGAAAGCTTTTGTGTAGTATATAAATCTCATTATTGTATCAAATTGTTTATCAATGGAAGGTTTGCTTAGAAGCATATAGCAAGGTGTTGACCATTGACTAAGTTCATTATTCAACAGATTCTTTCAGTTTGGAAAACATCGTTAGAGCCACTGGGTCAGATTTTGTTTATCGTTTTTAACTTCTTGGTCCAATCTTTGGTCAGAGGTTATACAGGAGAAAAGATGAACAAATATTCGAAATGACATCCTAACTCTTTTAGAAATAAAATATGTAATATAAATGAGAGGAAGATGCCTAACACGTTCTCAGGCTATTTTAATATATTTGTCAATAATCAAAGATGGGTATGGTGTTAGGTGAAACAATACAATATTCGAAGTTTTATTGTTCTGTAAAGATGAAAACACACGTAACCAAAACAAAATTTGAAAGTAACTCATAAAAGCGAAATGGTCAATGATAGAAAAAAAAAAATCAAAATAGTATAATCACACTATGCATTACCCTGTCAGTTCTCTGACCAAAACAAATATTGTTTAGGAGATCGAGAAAATAAAAACAGAATTTAGGAGATTGATTCTAATGTCAAATGAAAAAGGAGAATGGTTATACAGATGGATATATTTTAGATAATAATATATTTGTCGAGCAAGAGAGGGAGCTTCTAGAGGAGGTCCTGACTCCTGAGCGTGCCATGTTGGGATTCGATGGTTATTATTATTTTCATGTCATCCATTATATATATAAAAGGAAAGGAGAAGCTACATAAATATCACAGCTATTATTAAATCAATTAAAATTTTTACTTTGACTGTCATGATGAAATCCTTTTTTTTCTTTAAAATTATAGATTATATTTATACCTGGTATAATTGGATAAATCCAATGTGTTTGTCATTGTCAACAGAATTAACAGATAAAAAGTAATTCTTTTTTTTAGTTAACCTGAATTAATCAGTTTAGAAACGTGATCTTCTTTTCCAGATATTTCCATGACAGGTTCATAGTATATTTGTTAAGCTATGCACGTCAATGAAAGAGATTAAAAGTAAAGAAAAATACAAAGAAAATATAGATAAAGCGTTTAGTTGACTGACTCGGTGGTTATTAGTCGTGGAAATTCCAAACTAGTGTATTCATAATTCACTTTGGATTACCCATAAATGAAATTATCCCATTACCAAACTATATGAAAGCATCCAAAATTTTGGGCCTATAACCCATAAAATTACATATCTGGGCTTATGGTCAGCCCAACTTATCTGGGCTTATGATCAGCCCAACTTATCTGGGCTTATGATCAGCCCAACTTATCTGGGCTTATGATCGGCCCAACTTATCTGGGCTTATGATCGGCCCAACTCATGGGATATTGTACAGATGCATTTACGTATGGGCGTGGCGCAAAGGAAACCTCTGCATACCGTTTCACGGCGAGACTCCATCGTCTTTGAAATTCATCAAAGTTTGATATAGATACATCCTCTTCAGGTCATAGCTCTCCGGCACATAATGGTACAAAACATGCGGAATTGAAGTAAACGGCCAAGTAGCATTGTAGTAAAGTTTTACACCAAAGGGTGATGTCACTATTTGTCTCTATCCTCCAATGCTACAGGAACTCAACTTACGAACGTTTGCTAATTTTTCTTCAGCCTGAGGAAAAACCAACTCACATATGATAAATCTTGTACAGTTGCATGTAAGTTCCCAATTCTCAAAACGTTTGAAAGCCCATTGAATTTAATTGTCTATGTTAAAATATTAATATACAACTTCATTATTTTAGTGCGGGTCCATGAATCTCGACCGATATTTGAACCTCATAAATGACGTCAACACAAAACAAAAAATTGTTTCTTATTTTGATACTATTTCCTTAAAAATTGAAACCAAAATATCTTAAAACCTTTATGAATGGCGGTAAATCCAGAGAAGACGTTAGAAAGAAGCCTGATCACGATGCCCCACCGGAAAGGACGATTTTGCCCCTGAAACGGTTTGTTAAGCTCGTCACCGGTTTAAAAAGGTGCAAACAAAAACCGGTTCTCTTGTGCCCCTGTACCCGAATTTACTATGTGACTAAATATCTAGCAAGCAAAAATAGGATGCAACTTACTACTGCATGAGTCACAACTCTATTAGATACTTCATGAAGAAGACGTACGCGTCAATTCACTTTAAAATTTTCACACTCACGATTTGATCTCTCACTTCATTTAATGTAAAGATGATCAGAGAAGCAGCAGGTGGTTTCCAAAACCGTAAGCAAACGAGGAAAAATAGAAAAGAAAATAATATGTTGACTTTAAATCGAATTTTCATTAATAAAATTATCTTTTATAATGTATATATAAGCTATGCATGTTGCATAGTCTATAGTAAGTCAGGTAAATATTATAACAAAACGGAAGCAGAGACCCCTACTAGCATATACTATATTTCATTCTGTAAGCAAACAAGAAAAAAATGGAGGAAACAAATAAGAGCTTGCTTGATGATTCTTTTACAAGCGCAATGACACTTACCGATTCAGGTGTGCCTCAGGTACCTGACCGTTACGTTCTTCCGCCGTCGCAAAGGCCAGCTCTTGGTTCAAGCACAAGCACCAGAGAGACAACACTTCCTGTTATTGATCTCTCTCTTTTACACCAACCTTTACTTCGATCCCGCGCAATCCACGAGATCAACATGGCCTGCAAGGAATTTGGTTTTTTTCAGGTAATAGTTACATGTAATAAGTCATATGTGTTATCAAAAAATCCAGCAAGCTTGGTGTTTCTACATGTTATAATTCATCATAGTTCAGTCTAAATGTTTCCATGCTTAGTCACTAGAACTAGCTCTGGAGTGAATTTATGAAATCTACCAATCAACAAATCGGATATGACTTAGAAAGACGGCTATTGTCTTCTTGCATTTATGTCATAAGGAACAAAGTCCTCAATCAAAAAGAAAGGACAAAATCCTCAATCTCAGTCTTAAATGAGTAACACAAATTGCATGCATGCATATGTTTTCCCTACTTAAAAGCCCTCTTATTCTTCACAAAACTAAGAGATAAAGCCCTATACTTTTACTTCCCTACAGGTTACAAACCATGGGATACCATCATCGGTGGTTAAAGATGCCTTAGATGCAGCAACACAGTTCTTTGATTTACCTGTGGATGAGAAGATGCTTCTGGTGTCTGCAAATGTTCATAAACCAGTAAGATATGGCACAAGCATGAACCATTCAACAGACAGAGTTCACTACTGGAGAGACTTCATTAAACATTACTCTCATCCTCTACCAAAATGGATCAATATGTGGCCATCAAATCCTCCATGCTACAAGTAAGTAAAAAAACCTATGCTTGGAAAAGGTTTCTGAATTCGTAGTCAATCTTTTTTTAGTGAAAACTGATATTCTCCTTCATTTTAGGGATAAAGTGGGCAAGTATGCAGTGGCAACGCATGTGCTACATAAGCAACTAATAGAAGCTATCTCAGAAAGCCTAGGACTGGAGAAAAACTACTTACAAGAAGAGACAGAAGAAGGCTCACAAGTCATGGCAGTGAACTGTTATCCAGCGTGTCCTGAACCTGAGCTTGCCTTGGGAATGCCACCACACTCAGACTTCGGCTCACTGACCATCTTACTTCAGAGCAGCCAGGGACTCCAGATAATGGATCGCAGCAAGAACTGGGTTTGTGTGCCGTATATCGAAGGAGCTCTGATAGTCCAGCTAGGAGATCAGGTCGAAGTGATGAGCAACGGCATTTACAAGAGCGTGATTCACCGCGTGACGGTGAACAAAGATGTCAAGAGGCTGTCTTTCGCGAGCCTTCACAGTCTTCCTCTGCACAAGAAAGTAAGTCCAGCACCTGAGCTCCTCGGCGGAAACAATGCACCTGCCTACGGGGAATTCAGTTTCAACGATTTTCTTGATTACATATCGAGCAACGATTTTCTACAGCAAAGATTCATTGATACACTTAAGAAGACACGTTCCTGAAGACTTATGGCAAGGAAAGCCACTCAAAACCACAGAATTTTTGTAATCCTTAGGTGCATCACTGTTGTATCTACTCTACGCAAACTCACCAAATTATCACATAACAGCAACCGAGTAAACTTTTGTGCACGTAAACAAAAAGAAAATCCGTTGTTTACCTCACATAAAAATCAGAGTGAGATGTCATAGTAAATTGATTTCTTTCTTCTCCTCTGAAAATGATTCTATAAGTTTATCCAGTTATATCTTCTCCAATCTTAGCTAGTTTGAAGAAACATCTATGTGGTAGACTATCTCTGTTTCTTGCTGCTATATTGGTGCTTGTATTGTCTCAGTAAGCAAAAAATGAGATTTTGTTATTCATATAAGATCACAAAGCACATCGTAGTTCATACTTTCAGCCAAGATAAGATCAAAGGGGATTTTTAATAAAACTGTAGATTACTGTTTTTGTGAATCATCAGAAACGAAAACTGCAGTCAAATATCATTCAGAAATTAGGGATAATAACACATGAAACAACCAACAATCTGCTTTAGTATATGAGCATTTTCAAGGAAAAAATCTCTTTGGGATCGCATTTATATAAAAAAAAAAAATCAGCGAATTTCACCAGCAGATCCGAATTGTCACAACTACGTATCCATACAACGACTCTAGGGATTCAAATAACTCCGATTATAAACAACATTCTATCGAATTTCTCGATACAGGAGAAAATCCAATCGCGAAATATAATCATAGCATGAGATCGATACTTACAGGACATCTACAAAGATCAAACAGTTTCCTCCGGCGACTTATTAACGGTGCACTCAACTTTTCCATCAAGCTCTTTGACTACGGCCTTGGCCTCTCGATTCCGCCGGCGGCTCTTTCTGGTCGCGAAACCTCCTCTCTCTCTCTTTTTTTTTTTTTCCTTCCTCTCGCCGATTGTAATTTTTTTTGTTCTTTTAACTTTCCAACGTTATCCCGATCAGTTTTTTTTTTTTTTTTTTTTTTTTTTTTACCGTTGTTATTTTATCTTTCTCCTTGTAGTTTATCTCTTTCTATCTTTTATTTTATTTTACCAAAACATTTACCCGTGTTTTTTTAACATTTACATATGGCATAAACGTAAACTAATTCACAATATTTGTTGCCTTCGGAAGAATAATTTACAACGTCAAACAAATTTCTCTAAATTGCTGTGCAAAATATAAGGTAGATTACAAGAGATATTAATATACAACTTTTTTGTAATTTTTGTGATGCTAACAATGTCATGAACCTCGATGATTTGTATATCACAAAATGTCATGTATTTTTAATTATTCTTTTGTCCATTCACAAATGTCATGTATGTATCGATATGCATTTTTGTGTTATTATACTTTACAAATATAATGGCAAATATGTCTAAAATAAAATAGGGATAACGATGCAATATATAAACAAGAAACAACTTTTTAATACTTAAAGGTGGTAAAACAACACAAGGCAAAGATTCACCAAAGCCTACTCTATATATGTGTTATATATGATGACGATCAAACGTTTAAAATTATATTTTATAGCTTTCAGATGAATTTGAATTATATAGACATTAATTAATGTAAGTATGATATTTTAAAACGTACATGTATAATTAATAATTATTGGTGTATTTTTAACTTCATTTAAATATGAATAGTGTTCTTGAATATATTAGATTGATAATATTCACTAATTAATTCAATATACTCACTAAATTAAAATAAAAGCGAAAAATATAATGTGAAAATAAAACTATTTTACAATATTTAGAAAGAATTATGTTTTTAAAAATAAATGTTTTCTTAAACACGTATATACATATATTTCAAATGATTTAACTACTTATATATATTATTGAATGCTTATAAATTTTAAAGAAAATATCAGTAATTTATTGTATATGAATAATATTGTATAGATTCACTAATTCAGTCGACTAAACAAAACTAACATATTAATCAGCTATTTCCGGTAAAATCAATGTTATAGGACATATATAATACATTCTTCATCATCTAATCATTCGTAGCAAAAATTTGATGGTGGAAGGATAAAATATGAATACATTTTTTGCTAAAGACAACCTTAAATTTTTAAATTTCTACTACATATATACAAATGTAATGTTTCAACTCAAAAACGAACAGTATGATGTTTTATTGTTTTGAAGAATTTATGGCACAAACTCAAAATACAGAAGAAGAAAAAAAACATGGCAAAAAAAAAGAATTTAATGGCATAAACTGGAAATGCCAATATTACGTACAGGCAAAATAGAAGGAGAATATAATTAGCATAGAAGATTTATGCCATGAATTAGATCATTTACTGGTTGGAAGATAAATGGAGAGCACTGTTTTATATTTGGCGTACCTTATTTACAAATACCTCTGATTACTTGGTCTTGCAAATAGGTAAACTACGTACATGCAAATGCAAATTTATTAACTCACACAAGACACAACGTGTAACAACCTCCAAACAAACAAAAAAAAAATCACAATTATTAGCTGTTAAAATTTCATCCTCGAAATCAGTTTCCAGCAAAGACTAAAATAAATAGAAGCCAATTTATATACTAAAACATGTAGGATGAGAAACAAAAAAAAATATATAAAGGAAATTAAGATCGTCAGCTCCAAATTAGGCAAAAATAATCAAAACCCTTCTTAAAATCCTTGCATTTATAATTCACACTCCATCTACAATAGCAAAATATTATCTTTTTCCACTCTAAACATAAAAGTCATATATAGAACAGAATATCATACATGCTTACAAGCTCGTATATAATTGACGGAAAAATAAATCAAAAAAAGGAATGAAGTTTGTTGAAGCGAAGATGCGAAATCTCCAGCTCGGACTTGAATGTATATATATGCATCTGAGCATGAGCAATGTCTAAGTACGTACCTACATGCATAAATATTTATACAGTCCCGAAATTCAATTGTCAAGATATATAAATGTAAGGAAAACAGCAGGCGTGCATGAATCTCATCTATTTTAACGGTGCAAAGTAGACAAGTTGATCGATATCATGAATGCGTCTTGGCACTTATATATGCGTCATTTAACCAATAGAGTTGTTAGCATAAAGGTCAAACAAAGTATTTAAATATAGTTATATAAAAAAAAGTATTTAAAGATAATTTAATATATTTTTTTCAAAAAAAAAAGATAGTTTAATAGAGTTAGCTGATTTGACCACTGGCAATTGCTTGCATGATGCTTGCATGGTACATACAAAACCAGATAAGGATTTCTGCAACTTGTTTTCGTTTTTATTTATTTTTGTTGATATGCATGACTTTAAATTCGTATAAATAGCTTTATTTGAAAAATATCATCGTTAAAATATCAAATTTTTAAACTATTTCCGGAATATGCGTATAGATTTTTGGTGTTTGTATAAAATGAATATGACCAAAACGTTTTAGGTAGCTATTATTTATTTCGTACTTCGCATAGTATATCGTCAATGTGAAATACAAAGCACCAAACCAAGACGGTTCGAGGGAAGACGTAAGAGACAGCACGAGTTTTGTCTATTGTGGTAAGAAAATTATATAAAACACCACATCTGTCGTTTTGTATACAGAACATGCGAAAAGTAAGTATTTAATGTTTCGGACACCATATATTATAATAGATTCTATTTATTTACGCTTTGTTTGAGAATCTTTCCGAAACAGGAACAACATACGATAGTTTTGAGAAAACCACTGTCCACGCATCCATAATGGTAATATTTATAAATCTAACATATATAATAAATAAAAGTAAGTCAGTCGCAAAACTTGTATATGACAGAATATTATAACTCATAGTGCGATCAAATCCTTTGAACCCTGCTTTATTTGCGGGTTTTTAAAAGTAAAAACCTTATCTCGAATTTGTTTCATGACGAAATGATTTCACAGTAGAAGACAATTTATTTTATATAATCGGAGAATTCAGATCAAACTTAACAGTCAAATAGATATTGATATCATTTTTTTGGGTTTAAATGTTATTATCATTTGTCATTTGTAAGTTAATACGAAAAAAAAAAAATTTAAAAAAGTTAATACGTTCACTTTTACCAAATTCATATCATTAGATGAATTCAAACTTTAATCTATAGAAGAAGAGTTGACAAAAAAATTATTTTATATAATCAAAAAAAGTTAATACGTTCACTTTTACCAAATTCATATCATTAGATGAATTCGAACTTTAATCTATAGAAGAAGAGTTGACCAAAAAAAAAAAGTCTACAGAAGAAGAAAAACAGAATTTGAACTTTTATTTGAAAAATACAAACGAAATTACCAGTAATTAACCATTCAAATTTAATCAGGGAAACTGAACCACCGTGAATAGCAAGCTTTTAGCCACAACTGTGTTTCGTTTTAAGATTATGTTTTACCACTGTGATTAGTTTAAAAATTAAGCATATAAAAATATTCTCGGTTTTCTTTTTGAACGTTTCAAAATTGATTATGGTGTTTCAGTTGTTGAATGGTTTATTTTGAAGTTGGAAAAACAAAATTAGTCGTAGTTAACAACTACAAATACATTAAATAGCAAAGAAATCAGAAATCAGCAAACAAAATTAGTCGTAGTTTGAACTTTATCCGAGAATCGAGATCCCTCGTTATCAAAAATTGTTCAATGTAGTGGCGCCATGCATCCAACGGATCCACCGCTTTTTCAATTCAGAAGAAAATGAATTTTGTTGATTCAGTTGGGCTTTAATTATTTTAAAAGGGAATTATGAGTTATTTTGATTGGGCTTTAATAAACGATGGGAGCCCAAAAGCTTTATCAGCTTTGTCTTCGGAGGCGAGTCCAAGAATTTTCTCGAATTCACTCGCCTGCTAAAGTACTTTAGCAATAGTTTACTCTATATCTCTGTAGAATGATATGATAAAAACATTTATTTTTATCAAATACACAATTAAATTAAGACGATGTTAAAAGATTTAAAATGTAAATAAGTAACATATCTGTAGAAAACAAGTTGCGTATAAACCATTTTTTTCTTTCTATTGTTTGTTTTGTTATTTTTTCCTAACTAGTGGTGTTTACCGCGAGAATGATTTCTAATCAAATTCAATAATACAACGTGAAACCAATGATTTCATATTTTTTAGAAAAAAAAAACATATGCTTTGTTTATAGTTTATTGATATTAATATGAGTCTTTTTTGGGGGTGCAAATTTCTTTTTGTGCAAATTAATATGAGTCATGTGATTGGTTATATTGGACGGTGGCTAACATTATATAGAACAAAATAGTTTTAGTGAAAATGAAAGTAAGATTTGAAGGTAATTTGATGGACTTTGGTCAGATACAAAAAACGGCTGGATTTGGACCAGCTTTTGGAGACTGATGTGTTCATATAATTGCAATTCTTATTTCCACATTTTTATTTATTAAATTATAAATATTCAAATATGGGACTCATACGGATCCGTAGAAAGCTGCATTTTGGGACCGGCCTATATGTTTGACATCTAGGGTTATACAACAAATATACAGTATTAATACTATAATATCATCCTAAAGCCAGCAATTAAATAATAATACCAACCTATCCCAATATTTATCATTTCTATAGCATTTAAATATGTTAATTTTGTTTCAGTATTCAGTATGTTTTAAATTGATAAAAGACTAGTATAATACATTGTGGTTCCTTTCCATATATTTATACTAATGTTTGGTACTGATGTATTGATGTGCATACATATACCGATATACGGATATACCATATGCTACGGTTGAAACCAATTAAATTATGGGTTTTCTTTTAACATTCCGAATGAATTATGTTTGTATGAAAAAGGTTGATTTTGATTGATAATACTGTGTTTCGATAAAGTTTAACTGATCCAACCTAGTTCCAGTTCATAAAATAACAAATACAGTACTCCTAAGTCTC